ATTTAATTATTAGAATACCTTAAGAATACTTAAGCCTCTTAAGAACGCTTAAGTATACTATTTCTAGTAATATATAATATATAATTAAACTTATTAACTTATAGCTAGGTAGGTACTTTAGTAAGTTCTTTTTAAGTACTAAAGCCCTTCTTAATAAGGCTAAAGCCCTTTTTAATAAGGTCTTAGTAAGCCCTTTTTAGGTATAAAAGCCCTTTTTAATAAGGCTAGAAGCCCTTCTTAATAAGGCCTTAGTAAGCTCTTTTTAGGTATAAAAGCCCTTCTTAATAAGGCTAGAAGCCTTTCTTAATAAGGCTAATTAAGAGTACTAAGGGCTATACTATAACTTTAAGAGAATAGGAAAGCTAGTAGGCTTTAGCCTAGCTAGAAATAAGTATTTTTCTTATTAAAGGTAAACTTCCTTTAGTATTAACTTTCTAGTTTCTAGGCCTAGCCTACTAAGTAGTATTATATTAATTACTACTAGGAGGAACTAGTAAACCTAGCTATTTATTACTACTAAAAGAGAGCTTCTAATTCTAGTATCTAGACCTAGTCTAAAAGGTAAGTAAAGAAGAATAAAACCTTAAAGGTAGGCTTATTTTAAAAGACTAAGTCTAGAATAATATAACAGCTTTAGCTAAATTAAACTAGGTAGTAGTCTATTAGTTTAAGTACCTTACGCGTTTAACTAAAGAGCTTTATAATAAAATTAGTAATAGAGTTAGTAATAAAGTTAGTAATAAAGTTAGTAATAGAGTTAGTAATAGAGTTAGTAATAAAGTTAGTAATAGAGTTAGTAGTAAAGGACTTTAGTAGAAATATATCTATCTCTATTAAACTTATTTAAATGCCTTTAAACTCCTATAGGTTGTATATAAGACTCTAAAAAAACTTATAATTATTATTCTTATATATATTAGGTTAGAGTTAAAGGCCTAGTTAAAGTCTATATTAATTATATTAAGTTATAGCTCTAGATAGTATTTAATCTAGCTAAGGCCTACTACAGTTATATTACTATCTATACTAATATAGGCAGTAGTAATACTATTATTAATAGTATTTTAGAGGGCTTTAAGTTAAGAGCTAAAGGAGTATTATATTAAGATACTAAAGTATAGCTTAGTAAGGCTCTTAATAAGCTAGGTATAAATAAGAGATACTATTATAGTAATAATAGGTAATTCTTTTAAAAGTAAAGTTAATAATAACTAATTATTTAATACTATATAACCTAAATAGCTTCTAACTACCTAACTATACCTATTACTAGGCCTAAGATTATCTATTTTAGTATTTAGTTTAATTACTATAAAGGTTTTATTAAAGAGTAATTAGAATCTTAGAGCTAAAGTTCTTTAAACTCCTATAAAGTCTTAAGAGAAGAAGAGCTAGCTACTAGAATATAATTAATAACTAAGAGTAATTAGAAGTAGGCTAAAGTTCTTTAAACTTCTGTAAAGTTCTAAGAAGAGTATAGCGCTAGCTACTAGGACGTAATTAATAACTAAAAGTAAGTAAGATCTTAGAGTTTAAAAGGCTTTAAAAGTAGGCTAAAGTCCTTTAAACTTTTATAAAGTTCTAAGTAAAAGAGTTTATACCTATAGCTAAAAAGTAAGAGTAACTAAGAATATAACTACGCTGTCTTATCTAATTATGTTACAGTATAGCTAAATAAGTTAAAGATCTATATAAAGTAAACTAGACTATAAGGTATTTCTAGCTTACTAAGTATAATATAAAAGACTAATTAAGTATAGAGATTACTATACTAAATAATAAAGTAGCTTAGGTAGTTTACATTAGGTTAAGTATAAGTATTAAAGCAAGATCTATTATTATATTATTAACTATATTATATCTACTATATACTAAGTCTGTATATTTACTAATATTAGTAAATCTATTAGTAGGTTCCTCTTAAGTTAGTACTAGTAAACTAATACTAGAAAATTAGTAAATATATTAACTATTAAACTAATTAACTTTCTCTTCTAATATATCTATACTAGTCTATAATATATTATAAGAGTTAAACCTGCGTAACTTTATAATATAGTAGTACTTTCTTTTTACTATAAAGTTTCTAATATATAGCATCTAGGTAAGTAGGAATATATCTAATATAGCTATAGCTAAAGTATAAGCTAATAGTATATATTTACTAAAGAAACTCTTAAGTTTATTATATAGGCTTTAGATCTAAACGTTATATAGTATAGTATACTAAAAAATAATATTAATATTATAAGTTAAGTTCTTCTAGTTATAGAGATTAATCTTATAGCTATAGTTAAAGTACTTAAGTACTAAATTAATAGGCTTAAAGCTTAATAGTTACCTAGGCTAATTTATAAGACTAGACATAAGTATTACTTATTATAATATTAGTATATTTACTGCTAATAGGTTTTATTAATAGTAAAGTATCTTATACCTATAGTTATACTGCCTAGTACTAAAGAAAATAATAATTAATAGATTAACTATATACTAAAGTATACTAATATCTCTATACTTTACTATATAACGTATAGTAAGGAATATCTTAACTTTCTAGAGTAGTTAATATATAGTATAAAAATCTATATTAAGTACTAGGTTCTTTTATATAGTATATATAAACGTAGAAGAGTAAATATCTTTAGTAAGCTCTAAAAACTAGTTTATTAATAAATAATAAATAGTATTATATATAACCTCTATTTACCTAATATTATTACCTTTATAGTTAAATAACCCTCTTTACTGTATAGTAGTATAGAATAAAGTAGTAACCTATACAGTAAAGCCCTAAGTAATAATTAGTTTTATTAAATAATACTTAATATTATTATAACTACCTTATAAATAACTCTATTATATAATATTACTAGATATATAGTATATACTTATCTAACTTGCTTTAAAGGGGGCTTAGTATATCTAGATAATAGTATTTAAAAGATTTATCTATATATAAAACTAGGTAGGTACTATATAAATCTACCTATATTAATTATAGCTTTAACTAGTATATTATTACTCTTACTTAACAGCATAAATCTAATAGGCTATAAGCTAGTTACTATATATAAGAAATAGCTAATTAGTAAAGTTATTAAATACTTCTAAAGTATTAAATATACAAAGTTTAAGCTAGTTAAGGAATATATTATTATATATAGTATATATTTCCTTAATAGTACCCTTATTAGTAGTAATACTAGTAAACTACTAAAACTAAGTCTTATATAGAACTAAAAGCTCTATTATAGAGAACTTAGAATACTAGTTTATATTATTCCTCCTAAAGATATTAGTAACTATAACTAAGTATAATTATTTAATAGTATTAGTAATTAGACTTATAAAAATCTAAAAGCTAATATTATTACTTAAACCTATAATAGCTAGGCTTAAAGTAATATTATTTAGCTTTAATAGTACTATAGAATTATATATATCTTATATAAGACTACTAAGAGGTATATCCTTATAAATAATATATATAGTATTTATAAATACGCAGTATATAATAGTATAGCTAGCCTCCTTATTATACTTCTAGTCTATAAAATTAATATTATTATATATAATAAGAGTCTGTTTATTATACGCCTAATATTAAAGCTGTTACTATAAAAGAATTAAAAGGTATTATAATAGTTAAAGTAATTTATAAAAATTTAAGTAACTTTATAAAACTAAAAGATACTAGAGAGATTTTCTATTAACTTAGAACTTTATAGGAGTTTAAAGAACTTTATAGAAGTTTAAAAGACTATATAGGACTTATAAAAGTATATTTACTAAGCTTATTTATTAAGAAATTTGTATAATAATAACTATAATATAACCTAAGGCTAGTAAGAGTTTTAATAATACGCTAGTATACCCTAAACTTTAATAAATATAAATTAAGATATAATAATAGTATATTAAATATTTTCTTTACGTATAAGAAGTATATAACGCTAGTAACTATAAATATCTACTAATAAATAAGGTCCTATAAGTTATAAGTACTATAGGTAGCTTATTTTATATACTAATTTTTAAGAACTTATTAAAGGACACTATACTATATAGAAGCTATTACTTAAATAACCTCTACTACCTATATATAGTTTATTACTTCTAGATTTATTATAAGGTTAAACTAAAAGAAAAGTAGTTAAGTAACTAGTTAATTAAGCTTTAATATATAGTATTTCTTTAAGTTTTCTTTTTTATATATTTTTTCTAACTCTAGCCTAAGTATAGCTTTAGTAAGTACCTTATACTTATTCTTACGCCTATAGTATTATTAATAATTAACTATAATATTCTTTTTACTATAAAGCCTAACCTATACTTATATAAAGTCTACTAACGTCTATCTAATATATTATAAAGCGCCTATTATATATTCTAGCTTCTTTTATTATAAAGAGTATAGTACGTAGTTATAAGTATTTATTTCTTATTTATTACTATCTATTTTGCTATTATTATTAGCGTTACTAGTGTTACTAATATTATCTTTATTATTATAATTAGTATAGTAAGAGTTTTAACTATAGAGTAAGAAACTTAGTAAGTTATTATTATTATTAGTTAAGAATAAAGAAAGTATAATAGAGGGTAGGTTAAATATTAGACTTAAGGGTTCTACTAGTGCCTCTAGCAGTAGTTATAAAGTACTATAATTATTAGCGCTAGACTTAAATAATATATTAAAACTTAGGCTTTTAAATAGTTATATTTTTAGGTTAAAATAGTAATATTATAATAATAAAGTACTAGGTTAAAGATAAATAGAATTACTCTTAGTAATAAAATAGAGTACTACTAAACTATAAACTATTTTTCCTTAGATACTTTAGCTAAAATAGCCTTACTATTATTTTATTAGCCTAAGAGTTTATAAAAGTTTAAAGGAGTTAGAAGGAGATTTAGTAAGGCGCTAGCCTTGTGCTAGGCTAGTTAAGACTCTAGGTAAGGGCTAAAATTTCAGCTAGACCAGGCGTCTAATTCATGAGATAACCTTCCGTAACTATACAACACGCAATGTCGCGTGATTGGTCTTATCTACTAGCGCGAGAGTTTTCTCACAGAAAACTAAACCGACGTCATCGCAGACACACGCTTCTCCACCAACGATTATTTTCACATCACAAGATAAGACTGACTCGACTATTTAGGTAATCGAGGGGTAAAACAAACCACTGTGCGATACCTGAGGGTAACAGAAATCGAACCGCAATTTCCTAGGGGTAATAGAAACCAAGATCGAGTTATCTGGGGGTAACAGAAACGACCGGACGCAAACAAAGCGCGCAAGCTCACGCCACAGTCAAACTACGGCTCACTCGGAACTTCTGGAACGGCTACCCAAGGCTTGACTCACTTTCGAAACGGTTATATTGCAAATTCAGAAAACCCGAGGTATTCAAGATGGAAACATTCAAATACTATCATGGGTTGGTGGACATGGGAAGTAATGGCATTCGGTTTTCGATAACGGATCTGTCGCCAGCAACACAACGTATTCTTCCGACAGTGTATCTTGACCGTGCAGCAATATCTCTCTATGACGCCCAATATGAGACCGGTAACCTTGGGCCTATTCCAGAGTCTACAATCAAGCTGGTCATTAAGTCCCTCCTGCGCTTCAAATCGACTTGTCAAGACTTCAATGTTCCCGAAAGGCAGATCCGAATCGTAGCCACCGAAGCCACTCGTAAAGCGATCAACTCGGAGGAGTTTCGAAACAGGATTCAGGAGACTACAAAGTGGACTGTCGAGCTTCTGCCCAAAGAGATGGAGGGAAGAACCGGAGCGCTAGGCGTGGCGAGCTCATACGAAAACGTTGTTGGATTAATGCTAGATCTTGGAGGCGGTAGCACACAGCTAACCTGGATCATGACCGAGCATGGCAAAGTGAAAATGAGTGAAAAAGGGAGTGCGAGCTTGCCCTACGGAGCTGCAGCACTCATCAAGAGACTTGAGGCAGCGGGATCAATTGGTAGCAGCGGATACCAAAATTTTGAAAGAGACGTGGTCCAGGAGCTGAAAGCTGCCGTGCAACAAATTGAAATACCTCAAGAACTTCTCGAAAAAGCAACGTCTGCCGAAGGTCTCCACCTCTACCTGAGCGGAGGAGGTTTTCGAGGCTGGGGCTTCGTCCTAATGTCGGAACACGTTATAAAACCCTATCCGATTCCAATCGTCAACGGCTTCCGGACCACCAGAGAATCGTTCCAGGACACGCAAGCTATACAGGCAGCTGTGGGGAATGAAGATACGCCTGAGATATTTCGAGTCTCAGCGCGGCGTGCGAGTCAGGTACCGGCCGTGGCATTTCTAGTAAATTGTCTATCACAAGCGCTACCCATAATTACGGACGTCTATTTCTGCCAGGGAGGGGTTCGAGAAGGTATTCACTTTGCGGAAATGAATGCAAGCACTCGAGAAGAGAGTCCTCTAGTCACGGCAACAAAGTTGTATGCTCCAGCGTCAACACAAAAGCTCGTGGAGGAATTATTTGGGGCCCTCCCGTCTCAAGAGATATTCAAGAGCACTCTTGTTACAGCTGTGGTACAAGGAATGTTCGCGCACACAGCTCAAGTGAAAGATCTTCGAGGAGGATCAGCTCTCAGGAGCACTACGACAGGCATCTTTTCAGCTGCCCACGGCTTGAGCCACGAACAGCGAGCTCTGCTGTCAATTGTTCTTTGCGAGCGATACGGAGGTTACAACTCCATCAGCCCGACAGAGCAGGACTTCTACCGCCGAATGATACAGTTACTTCCCGAAGACGTGGAATGGTGGTGCATGTATCTCGGGCGTGTTGTTGCTGTCCTTGCTAGCGTTTATCCCGCCGGTATCGTTAGAGAGAAAAGGGTGGATATCAACGCGGAGTGGACTGTGACGAAGAAAGGCAACGAGAAGCTCTGCATTGATTTCGGGTTCAAGCAAGAGCTAGATGAGTTGGATGAGGGACTAGACGCTGCTTTGAGGAAGGTCGAAAAGGCGGGCAAGAAGAAGAATTGGGTTGGAGGGAAGGGGTACAAGGTGTTGCTAACAGTGAACGGCAAAGAATACAGTGCTGGCGAGAATTAGGTAGGGGAAGTGACCTAAACAAAGGCGGTGACTCTTAATATTGATATCCAAGTAGTGTTACTGTCTCATGACCAAAGCATTGTTCTCACAACGGTTCAGTCAGGATCATGACATACTGCTTCGCTGCATTAGTGGTGAAGATCGTGAAATCCAGAATCTCGCCGAGGTCGTGAAACGTGTCGGTTGCTGCTTTACGAAGGCATCGTGACTTCGAGGCGGTATGTTGCCACCACCGCGCCGTAGCATCGTGACCTCTGGCGGCGGGAATAACTCAGCCCAAACTAAGCTATGGTGAATTACCCTAGTTGACTGGATCCACGTGCAGCAGCGCACGCCCAGTGCAAATTGGACACGTAAAATCGGGAGAGGGTTTCTTGAGACGCTGCCAAGGATCGTGAACTCCAAAGACGCGTGATACAGGGGCAGCTGCACCTAGCTCGTCAAAGCTCCCAGGGAATTGCGCGATATTCCGTCGTTGTAGTCATACCGCAGGGCGATTGGCAGGCACAGCGCAAGTCGGCAGTACTGCGAAAACTCTGCACCCGGGTGCGTGTATTTTAGGGCTTTGCAGGTCACGATGTTGGCGTCGTCTGTCTACTTATTACGTGAACATTGAAGTTCACGATGCTGGTGCATGAGCTAGTTAGCGTGCCGCAAACTCTGGGGTAGCAGCGCGGCTTTCAACGGGTCATCTCAGCAGGGGACGTCGCCATGCAGTCCTCAAAGATGAATTCTTATAAAGATGGCTCGCTAGCAGCTTGTTTGCTATGCTACAGCCTTCCACCTGCCTTATCTGTGATTCCCGGTGTTACTGTTCCACCTGAATATTCTTCTCAGATTGTGGAGTCGTACCCGCTTCAACATCTCGCTCATTGTCGGTTCTCGCAACGGCGCTGCTGCAGGTCCCAGAGCTGAACAGCACACAATCAGCAGGAACTTCAAAGAGCGGTGGATCCTGGACCAATTGCGCCTGCTTTACTTATCCTGCTGTCCCAGGTTGCATCGAATGTTCCCGGGCTTCGATCGGCTTGTGGATCACATCGCAAAGGTGAGCTCGCGTCATGGTCGTGACTTAAAATAGCCGCGTCTTCTCGTCAGACCAACGTTTACTTAAATGGCTGACTGAGCGCCTCACCGTTGGAAATCCCGCTGATCCAGACAGACACGTTTGTTCCTTCTTTGATCAGCCTTGCTGCCCCTCCACCCCGCGACCATTAAGCCTCCTCCAAACCTCGCACGTCTCACGAGACAGCTAAACCGCCGAGCTCTTGTCACTCGGCCAAGCTCCTCATTCTTAGCCGAGACGTTTCATACAGCTTCGTTCGCCAGATTTACTTCTTTCGAACCTCAGCAAAGCTACAAAGTCTCACCTACGTCCACCCAAACAACCACTACACACACACCATATAATGGCTTCCACACCAGTCAACGGAGCAGCTGGAGTGCACGGCGCCCAGCTTCAGCACAGACTGCTAGATGAGGTAGTTCGAACACCAGATCGACGCCCGTCCCCTCTGCCCACACATTTGAGCGTCTCTGGCTCAGGGACCGGCACACCGCGAGTCATCCCTCAAGAAGGCTCAGGTGGCTCTGGATATGTGGCGCCCGTATTCGAGGGTAAGGAGCAGCAGATGGAATCTGTTATGGACCGCGTTGAGGAACAGGGCTTCATTCCACCAGAACTTGTTGAGCAAGAAGTAAACTGGTTCTACTACGAGTTGGGCATAGATGACATGTACTTTGCTACTGAGACGGTGGAAGTGTGAGTAAATTCTCAAGTCTGTGTTTCAACATATCTAACATCTATAACAGGGTCGCGAAGCATATCCACTCGCTGTATGGCGCGAAGGTAGCGGCTTACGCCAGGGACGACAAGCGCCTCGAGATCCGGCTAGATAAGGAAGCTGAAGATCACGCCGTATATATCGACACCAGCAAGCCGGGAATATCAGTTCTTGACGGACCAAAGTACGAACAACGCATTGGCGAGAAATACCTACATGGCTCAAGCAGCGCTGCAAGGTACCGCGTCGAGAGTTTCCGCTCGGCCAGTCCATTGCCGGGCAGCGATGAGCAGCAGGTACGATGCTACTTCGTCTACAAATGCGAGTTCGTGGACCCCAACCCTGGTGAGACTGAGACAAACATCGAGAAGATTGGCGACAAGCGATTCTTGCAAAAGGCCACCCCAAACACCAAGAGCATCTACCAACAAGCCCTGGAGGTTGCTGTTGAGCGTACTGGTCCAGTGATCGAATACTTCAGCATAGAAGGCTCGAGAGATAAACGCTTGGTCATTGCATACAAGCAAGGGTCTGCCTTGGGGCTATTCAGTGCGCTGAGCCATCTCTACCACTACTACGGCCTAACGACATCACGAAAATACGTTGAACAATTCTCCAACGGATACACTGTCATGTCTCTGTATCTGAGCAGCTTGCCTGGAGCTGCGGGGGCAAAATACCCCATAATCGAGTCGTCCATCCATCAAATCATGAAGGAGGTCTCGTTGCTCTACTGCATTCCTCAAAACAAGTTTCAGGCTCTGTTCGCTACAGGTAGGCTAAGTTTGCAAGAGACCATCTACGCGCACTGCGTGTGGGTATTTGTCACTCACTTCCTCAACCGTCTTGGTAGCGAGTACACTGCTCTGGCGTCGATTCTCGATGTCGAGAACAGCGCACATGCAGAGCTACTTGCGAAGTTGAAGCGAAGGCTACGTGCCGAGACTTTCACCGCCGACTACATCTGGGAGATTATCAACCAATATCCGGATCTAGTTCACCAGTTGTACTTGTCGTTTGCGAACACCCACTATGTGCAACGCAGGGGCGATAACGACGATTTTCTTCCGACTCTGAGTTTCCTTCGTCTCAAGATTGACAAGGTCCAAACTTCCGATGAACTTACCGACAGCATTAACAAGGCTGTTGTTAACGAGCATCACGAGACGGTCATGAACTCTTTCCGTATATTCAATAGCTGCGTTCTCAAGACCAACTTCTACACACCGACAAAGGTCGCAATCAGCTTCCGCTTGAACCCCACTTTCCTCCCTCCCTCGGAATACCAACAGCCGCTGTACGGAATGTTCCTTGTTATTGGCTCGGAGTTCCGTGGCTTTCATCTGCGCTTCCGCGACATCGCTCGTGGTGGTATTCGTATTGTCAAGTCTAGGACCCAGGAAGCCTACTCAATCAACGCCCGATCGTTGTTCGACGAGAATTACAATCTTGCCAACACGCAGCAGCGCAAGAACAAGGACATTCCCGAAGGAGGCTCAAAGGGTGTTGTACTTCTGGATTTTCACCACCAAGAGAAGGCCCGTGGTGCTTTTGAGAAGTACATAGATTCCATCCTCGATCTTCTTTTGCCTCCTAGCAGCCCGGGAATCAAGGATCCTATCGTCGATCTGCATGGAAAGGAAGAAATTCTTTTCATGGGCCCAGACGAGAACACCGCTGACCTCGTTGATTGGGCCACTGAGCACGCTCGAGTCCGAGGTGCACCATGGTGGAAGTCATTCTTCACTGGTAAGAGCCCCAAGCTGGGAGGTATTCCGCATGATCGCTATGGAATGACAACCTTGTCTGTCCGAGAATATGTCCTGGGTATTTACCGCAAGCTCAACCTCGACCCGAGCAAGGTCCGTAAACTGCAAACCGGAGGTCCCGATGGCGATCTTGGATCGAACGAGATTCTACTCAGCAACGAGAAGTACGTTTCCATTGTCGATGGCTCTGGCGTACTTGTTGATACAAACGGAATCGATCATGAGGAGCTTCTGCGATTGGCAAAGAACCGCTTGATGATCAACAGCTTCGACGCTTCCAAGCTTTCGTCCCAAGGCTATCGTGTGCTGGTCGATGATGTCAATGTCAAGTTACCTAGTGGAGAAACTGTCTTCAACGGTACCACCTTCCGCAACCTCTTCCATCTCCGCTCAGACATCAAGTACGATACTTTTGTGCCTTGTGGTGGTCGACCTGAGTCCATCGATCTGGGTACCGCTAACAAACTCATTGTGGACGGCAAGTCTGTCATTCCGTATATTATCGAAGGAGCGAACTTGTTCATTACCCAGGATGCTAAGCTTCGTCTTGAGAAGGCTGGCTGCATCCTGTACAAGGATGCCTCAGCCAACAAGGGTGGTGTGACGTCTTCGTCGCTCGAAGTGTTGGCATCTCTGTCCTTCGACGACGAGAGCTTCATTGAGCACATGTGCGTCCGTGAGGATGGAACTGTTCCCGAGTTCTACAATAAGTACGTCCAGCAAGTCCAGAAGACAATCCAAAACAACGCTCGTCTTGAGTTCGAAGCTATTTGGAGAGAACACCAGGCCACTGGTCAGCCCCGAAGCATTCTGAGTGACGTTCTCAGCAATGCAATTACCAAGCTGGACGAGGAGTTGCAGAGCACGGATCTATGGAACAATGTCGAGTTTAGGAAGTCGGTCCTTAGCGAAGCATTGCCCAACTTGCTCCTTGAGCAAATTGGTCTGGATAAACTGATGGCGAGGGTAAGTCTAGATGCCTTTCCAATTCTACTTGACTTGTAAGCTAACAATTTCAGGTACCGGAGAACTATCTTCGTGCTATCTTCGGAAGCTATCTTGCCAGCCGATTCGTATACGAGTACGGTGTCTCGGTCAGCCAATTCGCGTTCTTTGACTTCATGAGCAAGCGAATGGCGAAGAACCACAAGGCTTCATCGCAGTAGGCTTGTCCAAACTGATTTGTTTTTCAATGCTTCCAACGGTGTCTCGGTTGCTGGGTTGGCGTTTAAGTGGAGAGGCCAAAAGTCCAAATGTACAGGTGGTTCGCATTACAGGAAGGGGGATTCTTTCGTTGCGGGTAACGATCATGGGAGCAGACAGCGCTTAGGTACCCTAGAGGCTTATGACAGCTGATCTTCGATACTCTTAGAAGGAAATATCACAATTCTCATATTAAAAGTGTTTCATGAGCGATATTGCGTTTGGGATTCAGTTTTGCCTATCTATAATATCGTCGCGCCGAAGATGGCGCAAGTCGTCACTCGGGTCAGCAGACGAAGGACCAGGAACAACAAAGGCGCGCCTGATGACCTTGGGCTCGTCCCAAATAAACAGGATCCAGACTACTCACTCGGCTCCTGCCCTATTCGACAATCGGTATTATTGGCCAGACAATATCTGGAAGTGTTGTTGTGAGACACGTCTCGTCCTCGCTTCGGAGTGAGTGAGTTGGTTTCCCCTCCTTCCTTTGCGCGTCGGATTCCGTCCCACTTTCCCTCACAACCAAAACCTACCGTCTTTTGGGGCTCGTCGCATTCTCAACCCACCACTTTGTTGCTCTCGTCTGTACCTGTTTGTAAGTCGCGTGTATGTTCTCGGCGGTTCGGTCGTTTCTTCTCGTCTGAATCGGGCGCGTTGGGCTGTTGTTTTGCGCTTTGCGCGGGCCTTGTCTCCCGCTCTTGCTGCGCGTCTGGGAAGAACTGCGTGTTTTGCTGGCTATTTGGTGTGTCGCGTTACTGTCACCTTTTTTCTTTCCTACTGTTCACGTGTGTTACGTTTACATGTTGTTTTTGAGCTTTTCGCAAGTCCTCACTCATCTCGCATCGCATCGCATCGTAACGCGCGGACGACGCTTCTACCCACATCACAACACGCACTTTCCCTGTTTTCTCAGTACATACCGAACCCGCGTTCTTTCGTCCCATCTCTCTCTTCACCAGTACATCCTCCACATACACACGCATTTCGCCATCTCTCAAACGCTCCACTAACCCTCCTCAGCAACCCTCCAACCGCCAACATGCCCGCAACAACCCGCGCAACAACCGGCCACTCGCGCCCGCGCATCGTCTCGCAAGCAGCCGCGCTCCTAACCCCCACCACAAAGGCCAACACGTCCAAGCCGCGCAGCAACAAAGTAGCCTCAGGTCGTATCGCGAAACCCAGCACCACTACGACTACGACGACGACTACTACGAAGACCAGCCCAGCCACGGCACCCAAGACTAAGGTTGTTAAGAAACGCTCGCCCGTGGAGAAGGCCAAGGATGCGGTTGTCGGCTCGGCGGAGAAGGTGGTCGGTGAGGTGACGGGACGGCCGGGGAAGAAGGTATGTTGAGCTATTTACTTGCCATCCTGCGCTCCGTTTTTTGTGTGTCTTGTAGTGCGCTGACGATCATGTACAGGCTGCCGGAACCAAGAAAATCAGGGGCACGGCGTCGACGAGTGCCGCTGTGACTGCGACTCCGGTTGCAGCTGCGCCCAAGGCGAAGAGGGGGCCGCCTAAGCAGAGGATCTAGACGTTGAGACGGTGTATGGGAGAATGGCAGTGGGCGCCGTCATGAAGTGTTTCCGTTTGGCCGATTTGAGACGATGCGTCGGTTGGGTAGTGTAGTGGTATCTGTTTTTGTCTGTTTTTCTTCACATTGATGAGTTACGCATGATTGATCGGATAGTCTTTCTTCGAGTATTACTGTTTGAGTGTACGATGGATACCCCTCGCAATGCAATGTAAAATGTGTTTCCGAATTTGTGGACTGTGTGCACGCTTCACATGAGAAGGTGACTTGATCTTGAGACATCAATGCAACGCAGAGTGAACGACAGTGTGGAACAATGATGAACATATTCAACGTTCATTTCGATTCGATTCGGTTCGATTGATTATCCTATCCTCCACAGACGCAACCAGCGTCTAAGCCTCAATGTGCGCGTTGACAACGCACTCAGGCCCCAATGTTGAAAGCTCCCAACTCTAAAACGCCATGCAAAGAAAGACAGCCCGCACTGGGTCACTGTCGCAAACCATCTAGAAAAGTATATGACAGCTGCAAGAAAACTTTTGGAAAAAGAGGGCTGGTATCACAGGGGTATATGCCCTTCCCGACGCCGAAAACTTGTTGAAAGATGAATTTATGCCCGCCTCGTTCCAAAGATATGTTGCAAATCATATCATTCATCGTCTTGTCGTAAATCTTGACCTTGTGGGTGAAGTTGATTCAAACCCACTCATGCAGAACACTATGTTGTGTCTTATTTAGAGCTTCAGTTCCTTGGGCTTCTCCCAGGTGAAGTCCTGGTTGGTGAAGTGGCCGTTCTTGGCCGTCTGGTTGTAGATGGGGTTGGTCAGGTTGAGCTCCTTGACGATGACACCGGGGCGGAGGTCGAAGTTCTTGTGGATGACCTCAACAAGCTCCTCGGAGGTCTTGTCTGATGTGCCGTAGGTCTCAACGAAGAGGGAGAGGGGCTCAGCAACGCCGATGGCGTACGACAGCTGGACGAGAGCACGGCGGGCCAGCTTGGCGGTAACGAGCGACTTGGCGATCCAGCGCGCAAGGTAGGCAGCGGAGCGGTCAACCTTGGAGTAGTCCTTTCCGGAGAAAGCACCACCACCGTGGGCTCCCCAGCCTCCGTAGGTGTCGACGATGATCTTACGGCCGGTAAGACCGGCGTCACCCTGGGGTCCACCAATGATGAAGAGACCGGAAGGTTGGATCTGGTGATCGTTAGCGGCTGGGCATGACAGCGGATGGATCTGGACATACGTGGTAGACGGTCTTGTCGTCGAGGAACTTGGCGGGGATGACCTTCTTGATGATCTTCTCCTTGATCTCCTTTCGGAGCTCCTCGGTGGTGATGTCCTCGCTGTGCTGGGCAGAGACGACGACTGTGTTGACACGGAGAGGGATGACGGCGCCGTTGTCGTGGGCATACTCGACGGTGACCTGGGTCTTGGTATCGGGCCGCAGCCATGGCAGGGAGCCGTCGTTACGGGCATCCTTCATGGCCGAGTTGAGCTTGTGGGACAGCAGCAGGGTCAGGGGCAGTAGCTCCGGGGTCTCGTCGGTGGCATATCCGAACATGATACCCTGGTCACCGGCGCCGAGCTTCTCGAGGGCCTCGTCGTAGTGCAGACCCTGGGCGATGTCGGGCGACTGCTGCTCAATGGCAACGAGGACGTTGCACGTCTTGTAGTCGAAGCCCTTGTCGGACGAGTCGTAGCCAATCTCCTTGATGGCATTGCGGACGACCTTCTGGTAGTCGAGGTGGGCCTTTGTGGTAATCTCGCCGAAGACCATGATCATGCCGGTCTTGGCGGCAGTTTCACAGGCCACCTTGGAGAGCGGGTCCTCCTTGAGGCAGGCATCGAGGATGGCGTCGGAGACCTGGTCGCTGGGGGAAAGTTAGGCGGTTGTGCTTGGAGAAAAAAAGAGGCCGGTCGAACGCGGGACATGTGTCCGCGTCATCTACATGCTTATCTTGGAGGGAATTGCCAATTGAGCAGCAGAGAGGAACGGAGGAGAAGTGGCTACATACCAGATCTTGTCCGGGTGGCCCTCACCGACGGACTCGGATGTGAAGAGGAAAGTCTGAACAGTGGTAAGAATAGGGCGGGGTCGCATTGGGCGCGGTGGATAGTACCTTGCCGGTGTTGTTGGGGACAGTCATTTTGGCGGTATTTCGTGTCGTGATGGTGTTGGGGAAGGGGAATCTAGTCTAGGACTTGCGACCGGGTGGAAGTAAGGGAACGCGAAGGGAGGAGTGTCTGGAGGAAGGAAGACACGGAGGGGCAGGCGGTGGGATTTAATATGGCGGAGAGGTTTGGGAACGCGGGAAAAAACGTGCACGACGCTACGACACTCCCAAATCCGTTCTCCGAAGCTGCGCTAATCGTCTTTGTAGCACGCCATCTTGTGTCTCGCGGCACTTCGACCGCCGCTACCCAGCCAACCACGGCCGCTCCCCACACACGTCTTGACCGCCCGCCGGCAGAATAGCCCCGTCCCGCGCTCCTCGAGATTTCTTCCCCCAGATGACGCGCAGCAGCGCCCAACCGCGACCATGAGCAAATTCGGGACCCTGGTTATGGTATGGATACGCTTCTGTCTATGGCTGTGTTGATAGTATGCTAACGTCTACATCAAGGGCCCAGCCGGCGCCGGCAAATCCACCTTCTGCACCGCCCTCATCCAGCACCTCCAGAACAACAAGCGCCCATGCTTCTACGTGAACCTCGACCCGGCCGCCGAGGATTTCGCCTTCGAGCCCGACCTCGACATCAAGGACCTGATCAGCCTCGAGGATGTCATGGACGAGATGAGCCTGGGGCCCAACGGCGGCCTGATATACTGCTTCGAGTTCCTCATGGAGAACCTCGACTTTTTGACCGACCCGCTCGAAGACGTCACCGAGGACTACCTCATCGTCTTCGACATGCCCGGCCAGATCGAGTTGTACACGCACGTCCCCATCCTCCCGGATCTGGTCAAGGTGCTCATGACGGGCTCGCTGAACATCCGCATGTGCGCTGCGTACCTGCTCGAGGCCACCTTCGTCATCGACCGCCCCAAGTTCTTCTCAGGCACGCTGTCAGCCATGAGCGCTATGATGATGCTGGAAATGCCCCACATCAACATCCTGAGCAAAATGGACTTGGTCAAGGGCCAGGTTGCGAAGCGCGATCTGAAGCGCTTTGTCGACGTCGACGCAGACCTCATAGACGACGACCCTTCGCGCCAGACGACAGACACGGAGAACAGGCAATACAGGGACCCGGCGTCCAAGGAGAGCCTCATGAACGGCGCCTCCTTCCACAAGCTGAACAAGGCGATTGCTGAGCTCATCGATGGCTTCAGCATGGTCTCCTTCCTCAAGCTCGATGTGCAAGACGAACACAGCCTTGGCGCAGTGCTGAGCTACATTGACGACGCTATCCAGTTCCACGAAGCGCAGGAGCCAAGGGAGCCAAAGGATGAGGATCCAGGGACGGAGGAATAGGAAAGCATTTCAGTTGTATCTGCATGGTTGGCGTTTGGTTTAGCATTTGAAGGCGTTGATCCATGTCGATCCCGGTCGATGTTGGTAAGCAGAGTGTTGTAGACACGATATGCGATGAAGATAGAGACGAGACACGATACCCAGTTTCAAAATATTCAGTTTAAAAGGCATTTGATTACATTTATGAATGAGACTCATTGCAGACATGAAGCTGCTCACCTCATTACTGGCAAACCAAATAATTACCTGTCATGATCATATCGCCCCCAATACCTACAGACCGTCCTCAACGAAAAGCAACCTTGATTTGCTTAGCCGGCTGCAACACGATATCAGAGTGGAATCCCGGCTCCGCGCCCTCCATCCTGTTCTCCACCGTCTCAAAACGCTGGAATATCCTCACAAGTGTATATCCCATCTCCGTCAGAGCAAACTGCTGGCCGATACAGATACGCGGGCCGCCGTTGAATGGCACATATGTCCAAGTCTTGGGCGTCCAATTATCCCACCTCTCGGGTACGAACTTGTCACTATCAGGGAAACCAGACTCAGGAGTAGGATACATGTCCTTGCGGCGCTGCATAACGAGTGTCGAATATGCGATTGGCGTGCCCTTGAGTATGCCGATGGGCTCAGTGCCGTCGACGCCGCCACCGGTGGGGAGAGTGGTGTCCTTGAGTGAGATGCGCACGTTGTAAGGCACGACGGGGTAAAGACGCAGCGCCTCGTTGATAATATGCTGGAGGTACTTCATGTTCTTGAGATGCTCATATGTTGGTGTTTGCTCGAGGCCGACGGTATCGATGATCTCCTGGCGAAATTTGGCGGTCACGTTCTTGTCCATGGACAGGTGGTAGATGACCCAGGTCAGCGTGCAAGCAGTCGTGTCGCGGCCGGCGAGCAGCACGGATACGATTTGGTCGCGCAGCACCTTGCGGTCGCGCGTGTACCCTGCGATGGAGTGGAGGAACGTATAGCCTTGGTCGTGGTTGGTCTTCTCCTCAAGCTCCTTGGGCGAGAGCGCGAGGGCTTTGTCGATGAACGTGCTCACAAAGTCGTCGATGATCTTCATAGAGTCGTAGAAACCCATTCGTTTCCGGGGAATGAGCCAGTTCATCGGACTGGGCAATGTTAGTAGTTTACTTCCGTAAGAGCGCCCGGCAGACATACCCCATTCGACCGATGATGCTGTTTACTCGTTGCGCATTGTCGAAAGCGTCTGCGAACTCCGTCTGGGGATTGTCCAAACTGCCCACGCTCTGTCCTAGTAGAAAGTGTGTTGCTGCATCTAGAGTATACCTAAGCATCAAGTTAAGAGTGTTGATTTCCTGGTTGAGGCCAATCTTGGACAAAAGAATCTGAGTATGCTCCTCGAAGATGTCAATATCGCTCACGCGGTCCTTGATGAATTGGGGTCGAAGTAGCTGGCGTGAGTTGTGCCACAGCTCGCCATCAGTCGTGAAGATTCCTGATAAAACCATCAGCATGGATCCCTTCACACTTTCCTTGCAAATGCCTTTGCTGGCCCAAGTCCATCCCGACCGTGACGCAAGACATCAAACGTACCATCACCCAAGAACCCATGCCACTCCTGCCGAAACTGCTCTCCCTTGCCATAATCTTTGAACTGCGTGGCGAGAATAGCTTTGATATTCTCCGGTTCGGCCGTTAGAATGACCCTCTGGCCGACGCCTGCCTCGACCGTATATCGGCCAGGGCTGCAATAGTCGGCGAATAGGTTGGTCCACATCTCGTAGATGGTGTCGTTCCTTGAACACATGACGACGTCGTACGCCATGTCCAAGCCCATGAACACATAGGACTTACGGATGGGCGCTCGCGCACCGAGTTTGCGGATTTGGGCATCGAGGGTGAGTATCTGGAATATCCTGTAAGTGGCATATAGGACGGCGAGGGCACCGAGGAGGTACGGCGTTGATAACGACGTGGTTGTGAGTATAGCCATGGCGGGCGAGTGATTACAGATCGTGGTTGAGCTGTGCGGAGATCAGCAGTCCATTTATATTCGGGGTTTCACATAGTAGAAGTGAAAGAGAGTAGAATTGAGAGAGGGAAGAAACACTAACCTACCTAGACTACTAGTTCGAGCGGAAGGTGACATACATTCGTTTGTGCCGCATTGGATCATATCCAACCGCCCCACATCTCGAGCCATGCCATGTTCATCCCTTCGTGCTTAATCCCCGTCAACGTCCCGCTTGCATTGCTTCATGTGCGCATCCGCTCACCTCAGCATGACACCGGGCGCATAAGCATCGCAAAAATCGCTGTATGCGACATAGGCCATCAGACTAAGCTCGCGTAAAAGAAGGGTCGCATGGCTGCCGAGGAAGCGGGGAAACATCGTTTGCATCAAGCAGCGGATGTCTTGTGTTTCCGAATCGTCGGGAAAGACGTTTCTCGGCAGCCGAGCGCGATGCTGATCTTTCCCGGCTACATGTCAGATTTTATGGAGTCTCAGGGCGTAATGTTGGACGGGGCGAAAGCTCAGCTTACTACCGTTGTGTCTTATGATCAAAGTTAGGCGGGAGCTTCGAACTCGCGAACTAGCAAGTAGATTTTATCATCACGTACACGATAGGAGGTAAAAAAGCTCTATCGTGCGAATTTATGGGCTTGGACGAAGCTGCATCTCGTTGGAGTTTCACCGTCCGCCCAGAATGCCCCACCAGTCGTATCACTCTTGGCTCCCCACTTCACGTCACCAGATTCAGGCAATCGGTACATGCTCCAGCTCTACATCAATAGTGAAAACGATCCTTACGTCCGGTTTCGTTGCAGTAATTTGAAGACAAATCACTAACTCACCAATTTGCAATCAGGTCTACTGTCGTTTTCACCTTTGTTCGGGTTTGCTTCTGCGGAAGGCTTGTTGTCTCCATATTGCCCAATATGAAGGCTCTCGTCACACTTCCTTTCTTCGTGTGTCTGGCCGCAGCGATATGGCCTCTTCCAGTCAATTATGAACACGGAGACACTGTATTGTGGATTACAGATGACATTCGGTGGGATTTGTACGAGGCTGACACAAGCGATGTAGGCTCAATTGTAGACGAGCGTCTGAATCAGAATGCTTTCGTCCTTGCATCGAACTCTAACAGAGGTCCTGAGCCTCAAGAGTTTGATAGTAAATTAAAGTTCCAAAAACGCTACATTGTCCCTTCATTGGATGATCAAGCCGACTATGAGACAGAAGAGGAAGTGTCTGGCAAGGAGATAATAGACTACGCTATCAGGTCTACTTGGACAAAACTCTTCAAGAAAAACTTCTATCCCTGGAAATTCCACCCTCGAGACTGGAGTGAGCCGAGTTTGTGCGAAGACTCAACGAAAATCTCCGTGGTCAACATCCACCTTCTCTCTGCCGATCCCTCAACCGTCGGAAAGCCACTCGCAGGTGCAGTCGATGAATCCTACACGCTCACTCTGTCCAAGGAGGGAAAAGCCACCATCGCAGCAAACTCTAGCATCGGCATAGCACGAGGCTTGACAACCTTCACTCAACTGTTTTATGCACACTCTAACGCTGAAGATGTGTACACCCCACTCGCTCCTATCACCATATACGATGTACCGGCTTTCCAACACAGAGGCATAAATCTCGATGTCTCCCGCGCCTACTTCCCTCTTGCGGACATAAAACGGCAAATCGACGCTTGTGCGTACAACAAAATGAACCGTTTCCATCTTCACGTCACAGACTCGCAAGCGTGGCCACTAGAAATCCCATCTATGCCTGAGTTGTCAGCAAAGGGGGCGTACCACCCAAGCCTCGTGTACACCGCTCAGGACTTTGCGGACATGCAAAGACACGCTGCAATACAGGGCGTGGAATTGATCACCGAGATAGACATGCCAGGACATACATCCAGCATTTGGTTTTCGCGCCCCGAGCTCATCGTGGCATTCAACGAGCAGCCCGACTGGGGCACATACGCTAAGGAGCCACCTTCAGGCACTTTGAAACTGAACTCCACTGCTGTGTTCAAGTTCCTGGAGAACTTGTTCGATGACCTGCTACCGCGCGTGCATCCATACTCGAGCTACTTCCACACGGGCGGTGACGAAGTGAACATGCATGCGTATGCATTCGACGAGACAGTGCGGAGCGACAATTTCACAATCCTACAGCCACTGATGCAGAAATTCATTGACAGAAACCACGGCCAAATACGAGCCAAAGGCCTCACGCCTATGGTCTGGGAGGAAATGCTGCTAGTATGGAGTTTAACGCTTGGGGACGATGTGATTGTGCAGTCATGGCGGAGCGACAAAGCAGTTGCGCAAATTGTTGAAAAGGGACACAAAGTCCTGGTGGGGAACTACAACTACTGGGTATTCTAGTCCCCTGGCAACTACGATACTAAATTTTAACACTAATATGAACAAATTAGTACCTCGACTGCGGCAAAGGTCAATGGGTTGACTTTTCCTCCTCAAATGCCGCTATCTATTGGCCGTACAATGACTACTGCGCTCCCTTCCACAATTGGCGCCTCATCTACTCATACGACCCATTATCAGGTATCCCTCCCGAACACCACCACCTCGTCATCGGTGGCGAAGCACACTTATGGGCCGAGCAAACAGACCCTGTTAATATCGACCGTATGATCTGGCCGCGGGGCTCGGCAGCTGCTGAGATTCTGTGGAGCGGCGCGAAAGATGCGCAGGGGCAAAACAGGAGCCAGATTGAAGCGAGTCCACGGCTGAGCGAAATGAGGGAGAGACTCGTAGCCATGGGCGTCGGCGCGGAACCTATCCAGATGCCATATTGCACCATGAACGGAACGCAGTGCCAGATGTGAAAAACTCGATGAGAGCGTGTCAGTCACAACGTCTCGAATTAGTCTAGATTATATCAATTAGTGTGAACATCACGAAGGTTGAGAGATGGTGGCCAAGTTTTGGGAAAGAACGTTATAAGAAGAGATAAATTACATGACAACTAAGTACTGATCTAAAGAAGATCTGAATCGAATACAAACATCAACTATCCAAATGCCACCTGAGAATCGTGAATGAAAAACCATGCTCGACATCCTTGTCCAGACGAGTTCGTTGCAACCATTGTCATAATATCAAAATGCTTCTGACCTGAATTGCTAGAACGTTCATGCTGTTGAGGACGACACGCTTAGACAGCGCCGACGAGGGGAAGGGCGGGGGCCGCGGGAACAGGAGCGGCAGCAACAGGAGCGGCAGCAACGGGAGCGGCAGCAACAGGAGCGGCAGCAACGGGAGCGGCAGCAACAGGAGCGGCAGGAGCCGGGACAGCAGGAGCAGGAACCGGGGCAGCAGGAGCAGGAACCGGGGCAGCAGGAGCAGCAGCGCCAGTGCCTGGGACACCTGGAATCGCGATGGGGATGATGGGTGTGACGATCGGGGCAATGACCGAAACGACTGGGGCGACAATCGAAAGGACAGGGCTGGCAACCGGGGCAATGATCGAAACGATGGGGGTGACGATGGGCGCAACGATCGATTCAACAGGAGTGACGATGGGTGCGACGATTGAGATGACAGGGGTGATGATGGGCGCAATGATCGAGACAACGGGAGTAAGGATGGGGTCGAGCGGGCCGGGGATGGGGTCAGGAATGATACCAGTGGGAAGAATAACCGGGGGCAAGAGGCTCGAGGGAATGACCTGGGTAGGAAGAATGATCACTGGGCCTCCGGACGTAGTGGTAGTCATGCTCGAATCAGTAGGAATGACCTGGGTAGGGAGGATGATGACCGGGCCTCCTCCAGTGGAAGAGGATGTGGTCATGGAGTCCGTGGGAAGGGTGATCTGGGTAGGCAGTACCACACCACTTGGGAGGGTCAAGGTGGGGAGGGTCAAAGTGGCAGGCAGATCAGTGGGAAGAATGATGCCAGTGCCAGTGGGCAGAATCGTGACGGTAACACCGTTGGTGACCGTGACGATTGAGGACGGGTAGATACCGTTGTTGTTGCCGTAGCCGTTGTTGCCAGAGTAGTCGTAGTTGTTGTTGTCGTTGCTACCATCGCCGGAGTAGCCGTCGTCGCCGTTGTTGCCGTTGCCAGAGTAGCCGTTGTTTGCGTCACCAGAGTATCCGACGCTGCCATCGTTTCCATCGCCAGAGTAACCACTGTTTCCGTTGCCAGAGTCGCCAGAGTAACCGCTGCCTGAGTTACCAGAGTAGCCACTGCCAGAATCACCGGAGTAGCCGCTGCCGGAGTTGCCGGAGTTGCCGCTGCCAGAGTTGCCAGAGTAGCCGCTGCCAGAGTTGCTGGTCGTGCCATCACTCGAGTAGCCGACGTTGCCGCTGCCAGAGTCACCTGAGTAACCGCTGCTAGAGTCACCAGAGTAACCGCTGCCAGAGTCACCGGAGTAGCTGGTCTTGCCGTCGCTGGAGTAGCCGCTGCCAGAGTTGCCAGTGTTTCCATCGCTGGAGTAGCTGGTCTTGCCATCGCTGGAGTAGCCGCTGCCAGACTGGCTGGAGTAGCCGCTACCAGACGAGTAGCCGCTCTTGCCGCCACTAGAGTAGCTGACAGAGTAGCTGTTGGAGCCGTCATCGAAGTGCTCGACAGTCTTGCCCTGCTCTACGGAGTAGTCATCAGAGCAGTCGTAGACATAGTAGTCGACCGGGGCGGCGGCGGTGAGCGCGGCGAGCACAGAGCTCACGACGATAGCGGAGGTACGCATATTGTTGAAGATGTTGGATCGAGGGGTATTAGAAGTAGTAGGGTAGCGACTGTGGTAATAGACAAGTATTAAGCGATGTAAAGGACTGAATGATTGTGCTAAAGTGAGTGAATGTTGTGTGGTTGTGATTCTATTCTGTGGGATGATGAGGTCCTTTTATACGTCGTCTCTTCCTACCTGTCCGTTGCTGAACTCCAGGTCTTCGCTACATCCCTGGTACCCTGTGAAAAGGCAATGTTGCAGATCCACATCGTTAATATTTCGTTTTACGGCGTGTCCTGACGATCGTGATGCTTTTGGGTGAAATTTGTAGGCGTGGTGTTGAACAACACATGAATTTGTCGAAGCGGTCTGTGAACACGAGGTTTAGCACCGCCACCCGCTTTGCTTTTCCACCTCTTCAACACCTTGCTTCTTGCTTCTATTCCCCAACTTCCACCGCTAAGTCCAGGGGTTCGTACTCTGAATCATAGGAATGGATGAAGGGTCAAATGTAATATTGGTTGACAGTCGTGAGAGTGCAGAAGAAAGTCTGTCGGAGATGAGATTCCAGATCCCCATCCATAGAACACGTTCCAAATCCGAATCATTCGTGATCAACCGGATTAAGGGACCTACGTTCGCCTATGCTACCTGCTCTGTGCTCCATGCTAAAACGCCTTGTATGCTCCAGATGTCCGCGAAAAAAATTGTCACAACTCCAACGTATCGTCATAATCTAGCCGTCTAAGCCAACAGTAATAATGTCCAGGGTCCTACTTCTACACTTCTCCAGCAAAAATGCTGCCACTGCCTACGCTTCCGCCAAGATCCCAGAAATTGCGGTTCGACCCAGCGCTCCGCTTACTCTTCTTGGTACTCTGACTCGCACAGCTCGAGTTGCTCCTCAGCTTCTGGTGCCGCAGACTACTCTGAGGGTTGAAATATGTACGGTATGTCGCGTCCTTCCGCCTCGTCTCCCTGATATTCGATGATGAGGACGACGTCGGGAGTCCACTACCCGTCGTCCTATTAACCAAAGGGTGGTTATGCCGAATAAAAGCCGCACGCCGAGCAGAAGATTCGCCTACGTCTGTACCAACCGCCGAAGCTGAGGCACTCGAGCTTCTCCTGGGCGGTGAAGAACCGGTGGATCCTCGGAAGCGGCTTAATAAGAAACTGAAGATCATGTTGATATCGAGATCACGCTCCCAATACTCTCGCTCACGTGCTAGGTCTTCGGCAATATTGGTGCTGCTCGTAGGAGGAGCATGGAATGATTCCACAGTGTTGGGTTCGGGTTCTTCCTCAATACCCCATAGGGATGCATCACTATAAACATGTGATGTTTGGCGGGCCGGGAAGGTTGGCGCAAACTGAGCCGAGGGCGGAGATGGAGCAGGTGTTTGGGCATCTGTCGGACGTGAGGATGCAACTTCGGTCGCGAGCGTAGGAGTCGTTGTGAAGGCTGCGTATGTCGGAATAGTTTGTGTGCGCTGATACGTGGAAAAAGCTCCGGGGTGTTCAGAAAGCTGGTGCACCAGGACACCAAGCTCTTGAGCCACTCGCTCCAGTAGTCTGGTCTGCCACATGTTATCCGAAAAGACTACCAGATCCTGTTGTGGTTTTGGCAGACCCGAGTCTACGGATGATCCAGCAGGCAACCCAGATTTTGGTGTTAGTGCTTCTTCAGGCAGTGTTTCGCCAAAGATGACGGACAGAGTGTCTTCGTCCAGCCCAATCAGGTCACGAATCACCCGCCTTGTTATCCGCTGCCAGATGGACATGTGCTCTGTACTCTCGTCTAAGGATTCACTTTGCGCGTCCAAGACAGCCTGAGCCGCCGGTAATGCTGCATTCCTCGTGTCTGGCTGGGTGATATTTGCGCGACTCCGTGCAGCACCGACGATGCTCATTCTTCTCCTGCGCCGAGTCTGCTTCTCTACCTCCTCTAGCAACGCCTTACTTTGCTCCAACCGCCATCTTTCAATACGCTGCCGTCGTTCTTGCTCTTGGTTGACCTCTTCCGTCTCGTCAAGTGTAGTGAAGTGTCTCTGCAAGCTGGACCTCCGTCGGCCAAGTCGTCTCCGCGGTAAATGTCGCTCAAACTGCCAAATGTTCTCTTCCATAGTCGCGTCTGGTTGGAACGTGCCCAGCCCGTCATGGGTTGGGAGTACTGTCTGGTTGCTTTCCTGTAGTCTGCTTGCTGGTGCACCAGATTCAGAAGGCTCGTGGAAGGCGCGTAGCCCATCGTCTAAGCTATCCAGCTCCTCCTCCTCTGTGTCGAGAAATGTTCCGTCGTTGCCGTGTTGGTCTGACCGAGCAGCAGTGTCAAGCGACCCAAATTCACTGAACCGCGACAGACCGGCTGTTCGCTCGGTCGTGGTGGTCTGTGTGCGAGCGGTAGTCGAAGGTGCTGCTGGCGAGAAGAGAACCCACTCCTCGGACGCGTCGAGAGGTCGTTTTAGGTGCTGTGAGCTGGTTGCGGCTTCGGTAACGGGCTCTGGCGCGGGAAGAGAGATCTGCCGCGAGCTTTGGGGGCGCTGTTGCTGTCGAAAAGCCATTTTCGGGTGAGGTTGGGTTGGATATCGAGGTATGGGAGGGGGCAGGGCAGACACGTCGTCCAGTACGTCAGGCACAGGTGATGGTGGCCAGACGCGAGGTTGGGCTACGGTCAAGAACCGCTTAGGAGACCCAGATGATTGGGGATGAGATGCACACGTCGCAACAACCACAGCGATTCTTATCGACTCTAAGACTTCATGTCTCCACGCGACAGTGTGGGCTTTGGCGGTGTATTGGGCGGGGACTGATGTTGACGTGAAGATCACACGCTAACGCGAATCAAGCTTGTGAAGATCAGGCGGCGCAAATCGCGGAACAGCAACGGTGGCGGGAAGACGTTACGGGAAGTTAACACGTCGGCGAAAGGGTATTCCCAGCATGTAAAATGGAAGAATTATCGTTCGAGGTGTTGAGGGTTAGAGTTGATGTCGTGGACCTTGACTCTGTTCATGGAGTGATGTTGACCATTGCTGCGATATCGATAAGATAGGGGAGCTTAGTCGACAGAAGCGGCGACCGTGCCAACCCCGCGCCATCGTGCTTCTACACCATGATGACGAGCAGAACTAGGCAAAGACTATCTCAAGTGTTCCTCTGACTCAAGCCCGAGAAGCACCATCTCTTGTGCTACTGTGCGTTGCCGGGGAATCTCGCGCGAGACGTCACCACATCGAGTAGCAATGCGACGACACTGCCTTTAGCAACCTCAACGTCTCCAGGACCTGCGGCGCGCCACGTCGAGCTGATCTACTGGAACTTGTTCCCTGCAGGGCGCATGTCCTGCTACCTATTTTCTCATACACGGGCCGCCAGCCTGATGGCTTGATGTGCAAGCCACCAGTGCCTAATTCTGACCAATCAAGACTCACTGTCTACATCACTTTTACTTACAGGTTTCATCTGCCACATATGCAGGCTAGGATTTGTATGGATAACTTGGTAGGCTCATATTTGAACAAGCCTGCTGACGCGCAAGGCTGCATTACTTTGTTCTTTGATGATAGTCTTTGTCGTCGGCATAATTTCACGTCGACCGAGTTGCTCTTTGTCGTTGGTTTACGTATTATCAACATCACATCATATTCACAAAACTAGCCTGCATGCATCTGCCATGTCAACGCCTCAGAGTACCAGTAGAATGAGCTCGCATTAATCGTCTTAGATAACATTTTCATCCTTACCTTTCCATGATGCAAAGTCATAATCAACACCAAACACACGTCGGGCATCCTCCTCACTCATCTCCTCGCCTTCGCCGATGATGGGGTATTCCTTAACAGGAGGCACGCGCTTTTCACCGAGCCACCTCTTTATGACACACTCCCCACTCCCTATACAAATCGTTTGGCGTCCCAAATTCTTGAACCGCGGGCCTAGGGGTCCGTTCACATAATGATACTGGCCCAGGAATCGGTATTGTCGTGGGTCGCTCAGTGGATAAAATTTGTCACCCCAGTGGCCCCCAAAATAGAACCAATTAACAGGAACATTCGGACTGAGTGTTGAAGGCACAATGTGGTCGCTTTTGTAGTCATACGTAAAGGAGTACATGTTTTGGACAGGATCCCATAGTGGACCGCGGTCGGTAACGTCGTGCAGTATGCCGCCTGGCAGGGCGTATGGGTGAACGCCTGGTGTGGCGTACATGGCGTGGGTTCCAATGGCAGAATAACTGACAGGCTATCGAATGTTAGCGTCTAGCACTTTCAACAAAGAAACAACACTCACCCGTTTGCCAATTTTTTCCACGGCGTCCCAGGTGTACGCCGATCCAGCAGCGTGTTCACTATAGTACACAGCCTTTGGAACGCCGTTCTGGAAACGAACCGCAGTGTGCTCCCAATCGCCAACATGATTGCCAAAGCGCACGTTGAAGACGGTGGGGCCAAGGTTATAACTGTAAAAGAAGAACCAGAATGCATCCACAACACCATCGTCTTTGGGTACAACAATAAGTACTGCAGGCGCATCGCTCTTACCGCCTACAACCTTCTTGCCCATCAACCTGCGACGCTGAGTTTGCAAAATCTCTTCGTCCTCCTCTTCAATCTGACCCTCCCGATGACCATCCCTCTTCCAATTAGCATCCTTGTCTCTTCGGTTCGGAGGATTTGGTATGTTGACCTCTCCCCCTAGCCATTCTGGGTAGTCCTCGACATTATCGTCACTCTGCAGGTACACAAAACGTCCCCATCTATTGAGATCGGCGAGATTCGATAGGTTCGGATGATCATCTACAGCTTGGAGGGCAGTATAATTCAGGTGAGGCGTGGTGTGGATCAGATGGTCCTGCATGTCGCATGGCCAGTATTGTTCGCCGGAATAAAGGTGAACGAGAGGCGCATGTTTCAAGACGTATTTAGGTATATCGTTCTCCTCCTGTCCCGTCAAGTCGTCAAACGGGTTCTGAGCACTGACCCAGAAGTCATGGAGGTCTATCTTAGCATCCTCCGTTTCCGCTGAAGAGTTATGTGTCTTGGACTTGGTGATCCACTGTGCCCTGTCCAGACGGGGTACATCGCAGAGTCCGAACCAGGTACAGACTTTACGTTCTACCCAGGATTGTGATGAGGTGACCCACGTCAACTCTTCCGGACGATCTGGAGGCGGTGTAACTCGTTCGGAGTTTACTTTTTGGTATAGATCGGAAAAGGCGCGAAGACTGAAGAGAGTTCCTGCAGCTGCCACGATGGCGGGTGTTTTACTCTTCGATTTGGTTTCTGACAGAAGTTCTAACACCTCCTTGTTCTTACTGGGGGTATGTTCTTGGTTGAATGGTCGCTCATTTGAAGTATGGGCTGTAGGGATGGCGATAGTAGGTATGGCATGTTCCCGAGAGGCGTCCAGCACAACGTCTGGTGCCCTGGCGGGTTGAGACGAATATGTTGCTACTGTAGGGTATTCAGGCAGATCGAGTGAAGAGAGCGATGGCGGTGTATGTGATGACGGCAAGAATGCCAGGAGTGGCGCCTGCACGCCACCATTCTGGAAGAAGGGAATGAGAGGCACTGATGAGTTAGCAGAAAGTCCGATTGCTGGGATTGAAACCAAAATCATAAGATGACAAGCTCACTACCGGTTTGCTGGAGTCAATCAAGGTCGTTGTTGAACTTTTGAATATCCATAGAGAATACCGTCTACAGGAAGGAACGCGCGGCTTTGAACGGCCAACGCCACGATAACATTGATAAACATAGAAACTGCACGCAGAGTTTGAATTTTACCAACGAAGCTCAGCTCAAGCTCGAAGGTGCACGCAGAAATAACAGAGAACTTATAGCGATTTGACATGGCCATGATCAGGGTTGTTGTTGCCAAACAAGTACGGAACCTCACTTACTGGTTACGCCTCAACAGGCAGAATCCGACAGCAGTTTTCCGCGATAAATGGTAGATGGTAGCACTGGGGACAGAACTCAACGACTCAAGAATCGCGACGGAACAGGTTGAAGCGTAAGTGAGGAATCGAGCCAGAAGCCAGAGCGCGTAGGCGGGATAGCAACATCCGGTCCGAGGCTTGCTGACGTCGTATGACGCTAACCCGCAAAGCATGCGGCTCCAGGCGGGGGCGTTTCGCCTAGCCGATGCAAGGGATCTTCCAACCCATCAACATTGAGGTAACTGTAATAAACTCGAAGATTATCAAGCAAAATCAATTAACAATTGAATAGATTTCCATTTTTCCTTCGTCTTCTTTTCCATGCGTAATGTCGGCTTGCCAAGATATCATGACATCCTCGAAAGCCGATTTCGTCAACCAACTCCAGCCAGTCACCAGCTGAGGTTCTGATCAGTCTTGCACGATTTCTACCACACTGTGGTATCTCCTGGACGTTTTCTCGAATTCGCACGCGCACGGGCAGATACCAACGAATTAGGGGGTCTGCTTTGGTATCTAGAGCCAATCGCAGTCGCTCCCTGGCCTTGGTACACTTGAGAGAACATCTAGGGGATACCATAGTACCTCCAACAACTTGGAAGTTAGCGATCATACCAATCGAAGACACTACTCTGTCCGAAACCACCCTGTTCCGATCTGCATTCTCGGAATATCTACCACTAGAGCAAAAAGACAACTATTCCTGCCTCCAGATCGATCTTTCTTCCGTAATTTGACATGAAAGAAGTCATGAGCTGGTACAAAGGCAATGCTACCATTCCTCTCGCACCACAAAACCAGAAATTCTATGTGGCATACTAATCTCCCTAGTTGATCCTTGTGCTCCACCAAATCAGCTCACCGGCTCAGCTCAACGTCCCCATCACAACCCAAGTGGGCCACGAGCGTACTAGTCGCCTGTTGTCAGTACAACGCCCTTCAACCACTCGGTTACAGCGATCTTTCTTACTTGATGAGTCTCAAAACCCGCAATTTTTCCATCCAAGGTTGTCCAAGACAACAGCTCCCCTTGGTGTAGTTGGTTCATCACGTTCGACTGTAATTGCATATTTGTAATCGAAAGGTCCCTGGTTCGATTCCGGGAGGGGAGATGAACCGCCTTCTTTTTTGGAAGATTTGGCTACTTGGGTTTGTGTGTGCCGTGGTAATATCAGCGGGCGGGGCTCTAGCGGGGTCGTGGCGTTGGCAATATTGATCCTTAGTTTTTCCCATCTCACTGACTTTTGCACAACATGATTACACTCGAATGTACAAACTACGCCGAGAGGAGTTACGCAAGGTTGGGTTGTAGTGTGAGGGAAGGCATTAAATTGAAAATGTGGTTTTGATGTGGAATAGGACTTCAACGATCACCACCAATCAAGGCAGAATACGCTGGGCAACGCAACACATCTTGCAATTATCAACCGTACAATGCAAAACTAGCTGGAATCCGACACTTCCTCTATCCCCACGTGCACGTAACAAGACACCCAGTGCAAATCTCCAAATACCACGCTCACTGATCTTCATCTCACCTCCCGTACCACTCACCAACATACCCACCCACACACCATGAGCACCACCGACTCGGACGACTGGGAATACGAGTACTCGACAGACGAAACAGAAACCTTCTACATCCCCATCGACCTCTCCAACGTGCCCAAAGCCCAAGTACCATTCAACCTCGACCGCCGACCAGGCCACCCCACAATCCTAAAGAGCAGACTGCGCGCCCTCAACGCCACGCGCGGGCAGCCCATCAACCAATCCCTCGACGCCTCGGACACAGCGACTACAACGCTGGGCGAAGTGCAGGTCGTGGGCCTGCACACGGCGAACCCGCTGGTTATGTATAATGGCCAGTTGCTGAGCTGCCGGTGGACGGCTACCGTGGGGACGGATATGTTCTTTGTGAAGCCCGAGGGGGATGCGGAGGGTGTGGAGCCGGCGTTGCGGTCGCTCCCCGCTGTTGATTTGCTGGCGCTGGGCTCGGCGAAATTGGTTGCGAAGGTTGCGAGACTGCAGCCTCGCGATGAGCTGTTCGATGATGCTGCGGATTCGCGTCCGGAGCCTGGTGTTGATGCGGAGATGGAAGGCACGGCGCCTTCGACTTCTGCTCCTGTTTCAATTGCGCCCGTCCAGTCTGAACCTGAACACGAACACCAACACGTTGTGCCCGAGAGCGTACAACCTCCCCCAGCGAGTTTCCTAGCGCGATTAAACCAAGCGAAGATCAAGAGGGGCGAAACGGCGCTTCTGGCTATCACCCAAGCTTCCGATGGCAGCTTGCATTTAGTCGTCTCGAGCGCCGACGCAGAAGTACCTACTGGGGACGAAACCTCAACCTCAACGCCAGCGGCGGGCGACGTTGTCATGGGTGGGACGACGTGAGGGGTGACGACGTGTCTTTCCTTTGATGGGTAGACTGCGTTGGGATTCAGATCAGTAGCATGGTCTGGCTTGATGGTATGAGGTATGAGGAGAGATCGGGATATTACCGTGTTATTGGGTTCGTGGCATGTGAAATCGTAGACCAGTTCCTTCTCCCACGTTTCTGGGATTCCGGTTCCATGGCAATGGTAGCGGTTAGGGATGACCTACGCACAACAGCTACAAGCACAAAATGCTGTGTATTCTGGTACAAGCAACATGGAAGCCGAGTTACAAGCGGAAGAACATCAACCGCAAAGCTGGCCGTTCGACAGTGGGGGTTATAAAACGACCGTGGGACGGTGATGGTACATCGGTAGAGAGATTACTCAAGCGAACGAACGAATGGATGAATGAATGACCATGTGCTGGTTCTCAGTGACTTCCAAGACTTCGATTGAGTGGCCAAGTTATGTTTCATCACTAATTGGTAGATAGTATTTCCGTCTTTATATCCAGCAGAAGACCCTGTTCTTTTGCGAACCAAGGAAGCTCTATTCGTTGCATTGCGTCGCGCCTCTCCAACGCATCTCCATCTGCCAACTATTCTTCCAGGACGCCACAAATGCTGATAAACAGACAGAGGATAAGATGAGACGAAACGAAACGGAATAATACAATGCGAGACCCAGCTCGCCCGCGACTTCACTAAATAAACGGCACCATCACCCCCAGGAGAAAACACTTCATAGGTACTTTTTCGGCGCGCCGTTCCTCCTCTTCTTGTACACGATATACGCTCCTGTAACCATGATCTGCACCGCAATAGCAATGAAGAGGAACGCCGTCATGCTCGGTTTGTGACCCGCAGCAACTACCCTCACGTCAGCAACCTATCATCTCTCCAACCCACGACACCGAAAAGGAAGGGGGACTTACTACTCGCCATAGCCAGCGGCATACTCGCAGTCAATCCCTGATGCGAATTTTCAATCGAGCGATGCACCTGGCTCAACGCATCTTTAAAGTCCTTGCTCTCGAGATCGCGCAGGATCTGCATAGTCGTGCGGTCAATCTTCTCCATATTGCGGATCGCCGCCCCGGAGCGGTCGTCCATGGGCGCCTGGCGGCGCAGCATCTCGTCCCAGCGCTTTGCGTTTTCTTGGTTGCTTTTCTCGAGGAGGTCGAAGAGGGCGTCGACGCGGTGGCTCATGCTCTGCACGCGGTTGTGCAGGTCGGCAAACTGGTCTTCTTGCGATTTGATGTTGCTGGCGAGCACGTCTTGGAGCATCTGCGGGATGTTGGCTTGGGAGCCCGAGGAGCGCGTTTGCTGCTGTGCTTGGGCGTCGCGCTGTTCTTGGATGTTTTGCTTGGGCCTGTTGTCTGGGGGTGGGTAGCGTTGGCGGTTTGGCTCCTCGCGCGTGTGCGAGTTCGTGGTGGAGACGATGAACTTGTGGACTTCGAACGAGTCTGGGTTTTCGGCGGAAGAGGCGCTGATGCCGAAGAAGTAGTTGTCGGGCAGCTTGACCTGTAGGTGTTGTTAGCATAGTTCGGCATGGTTTAGTTTGCGGGGGATGGAGCATACCTTGTCGGTCTTGAAGCAAGATGCGCCGTCAATCGTAACCTCGAGGAAGCCCTCCGCATGGTGCAGCTTGACTGTGCTCAGAACCCCGCGGTTCCTGTATGCATAGTCGCACTTGCCAAAAGCCAGCGTGTCTGGGTCTTGGTGCGACTTGAGGTCGATTGTGCCGTCATTAAGGAACCCGCGCACCGAGCCGCCATGCCCCTCATACTGGTCGATGACCAAGACCAGGCCGTCGAACTTGGGCGCCGTGTACAGGCTGTTGGGCGTCTGCTGGGCTTGCGACTCCTTGACATACCAGAGCTGCAGGTTGCCCCCGCCGCGCTCCATGCCCGTCGCGCGGAAGTCCAGCTCGGCGGTCCAGTCGCCAGAGTGGTGTAGCGCGTCCTCAGCCCATAGCGAACCGCGCTTGCCGCCTGGGTAGGGGGGCGTGAGGATGACGCGATCCGAGAGGACCTGGGGCGCGAACTCGTCCTTGCCCTGGACGTTCCAGTGCGGAATGTGGCGCATGTCGGGGGAGATATAGACGCCATCCTTGTTCCCGAAGCTGAGCGTGTCTATTGTGTATTGCGCGCGCGCTACCGAGAGGGCGAGGGACGACCAAGCTGCAGTGCGGAGGGTTTGCGCGGTCAAATACATGGTGATGGCGGGGGGTGGTCGTGGGTTCGCACGGCTGCGTATAGGAGAGTGGAAAGGAGAATGGTCTGAGACACCGTCAGTCTATTGGTGCCGGCCATGTCTGCGTGTCCACGAAGAGCATACATGGACTTTTCTAGAAAGCAGCGCCGCCCGCGTCGTTTGCCCAAGACAGCACAGTACGCGCCAGTCGCAAGAGTGCCGTGGCGTGAAAAGGAGGAGAGCGATTGGGTATCTTGGAAGAATAGCAACAGAAAGAAAAGATGCCACCAGCTGGGCAGACGTGGGCGTGGATTGTCAAGTGCACTGTCGGAGCTTGCCAGTGTGGCCAGCTGTGCTCAAACACGATATGCGACATCATAGGCGTGCACCGTGCACACTGCCTTGCTGCACGCACTCTAGCCACCCAACGTCGGAGGCGTGCAGACGAGGCCAGGCAGACGGCAGCAAGACAACCAATGGCCTGAACATTGTCTGGCCCCGAATCGCGCGGCACTGCCAGACACGACGCGTTGGGAAGCAGCCCTGCGCCGTCTTGGCGGGTGAGTGGGTGTAATGCGCCGGCGAATGACAGGCGCCGACATTTTCTCGACGATATCATCACACCCGTCTCCGCCCTCATCGCCGCCCGCACGTCTACCACGCCCGCCCCGCGCCCATCCACCACGCCATACCGCCAACATGTCTGCACCGGACCCCAAGGAAGCCTGGAGCCGCCTGCAGAACGAGCTTGCAAAGAGGTCCTCGCGATTCGGAGGCGCAGGCGGCGGCCCGCCCAAGGGCCTCGGAGGCGGCGTTGCGGGCCTGGTGCTGCTGGGAGGCGGCATCTGGCTGGCCAACAATGCCCTGTTCAACGGTGCGTGCATCCCAGCGCCGACACAGCTGCCCCCCGCTGCTACAATGCAGAGCTGACATGCGCGCAGTCGACGGTGGCCACCGCGCAATCAAATACACCCGCCTCGGCGGCGTTCAGAAGGAAATCTACAGCGAGGGAACCCACTTCCGCCTCCCGTGGCTCGAGACGCCCATCACCTACGACGTGCGCGCCAAGCCGAGGAACGTCGCCTCGCTCACGGGCACAAAGGACCTGCAGATGGTCAACATCACCTGCCGTGTGCTGTCGAGGCCGCGGGTCGAGGCCCTGCCGCAGATCTACCGCACTCTGGGCACGGACTACGACGAGCGCGTGCTGCCCTCCATCGTGAACGAGGTCCTGAAAAGCGTCGTCGCCCAGTTCAACGCGAGCCAGTTGATCACGCAGCGTGAGAACGTCAGTCGGCTGGTGCGGGACAACCTGGTGAGGAGAGCGGCGAGATTCAACATCATGCTGGACGACGTGTCGCTGACAGTACGTAACCCCTCTCGCCCCAGACTGATCGCCCAGACTAACGCCACCTAGCACCTCGCCTTCTCCCCCGAGTTCACCGCCGCCGTCGAAGCCAAGCAGGTCGCCCAGCAAGAAGCACAGCGCGCCGCCTTCGTCGTCGACAAGGCCCGCCAGGAGAAGCAGGCCACCGTCGTCCGCGCCCAGGGTGAGGCCCGATCCGCCGAGCTGATTGGTGACGCCATCAAGAAGTCGAGGTCCTACGTCGACCTGAGGGAGTTTGAAAACGCGAGGAACATTGCCCAGATCCTGCAAACGTCGTCGAACAAGGTCTACCTCGACTCGAGCGGCCTGGGTCTGAACATCTCCCAAACCACATCGGACAAGGAGCAGAGGGCGTCACGTAAATAAATGGATCAACGATTTTACTGTGGGAAATGGAGCCGTGGAAATGGAACCGTGAAAAGGATGGAGGCTGAACAGCGAAAATGGTGCGAGCTGAACTAGGTGTAACAATCATGACTGTGTATAATTACGTTTGAGCAAAGCGAGGTGCAAGCGTGCAGTACGTAGCTTTCCACTCTTGTCTTATATATGAAGAACTTTGAGACTCATCGTGGCCTCGAACATCCCAACCCCATCTATCCAACCAATCATCCTCAAGTCGATTTCAAAACTCCATTGCATCAGTCCCCTCCTCCCTCTCCCTCTCCCGCTTGATAGGCTTCTCCTCCTCGAGCAACGCCGCAACAAACCGCCTAAACGTCTCAACATACGGCTTCAGGCTCGTCTTCTCCCAATCCTGCACCTTCTTCTCCCCCTCCTCACCCTGCCACTCGTCAATCTCCGCCAGCAGCTGCGTCACAGTCGGCACGCCGAGCGGGTCAAACTCCTCGACGCGCCGCGTGTCAATAGGCACACAGACGCGGCCCGTACCAGGATGTATGACGAACGGACTTTTGAGCAAATGGTTTAGTTTCTTGGAGACCTCTGCGTCGAGGCGCGGGTACGTGTATTCGAGGACGATATCCTGTTTTGCCTCGAGGAGGTCTCTGGAGGACTTTGACAGGGCGCCGGATTTGGCAAGGGCGTCGATGTCGCTCCATTTCGAGGCGCTGGGGCGCTGAGGCGACGAGTCCCATTTCTTCTGCAGGGCGGCGCGGAGCGTGGCGTCGGGGAGGAGGTTGAGGAGGTGGGCTGCTTTTTCGTCCGTGGCCCAGGGGTCTTGCTCGGCGAGGATGGAGGTTTGGAAGTGCTCTTTTAGGATGTTGAGGCTGCGCTCGATGTGGGGGTGGAGGGGGCGGCGGGCGTTTACTTTCTTGCCGCCTTGGTCGCCGCCCTTGAGGAGCTCGAGGTAGCCTGCGATGGCGCGGCGCTTCTGGTCGTCCATTTCTCGCGCCCGCTTGTCGCATACCCAGGCGTGGGCGCCGCGGCGACCCGAGTACACCCATAGGATGTGTTTGAAGCCGAAGTCGTCGCGTAATGCTACGTCGACGACTTTTATCGCCATAGTGATGAATGCCCAGCATTTGTGGCAGATGCTAGCGCCTGTGCAGCATGTTCTGATGTCGTCGTAATCTGTCATGTCGATATCGAAGACGAGCTCTTTCATCAATGGCCGGAAGGCGCTGGCTTTTCGCAGTGTTTTGCGGTCGCGCGGGTTTGTGCTGTACATGGGTCCGATTTCGAAACGTGAGGGCAGCATTTGCACACATTGTTTCCGTAGGACATCGGCTGAGGGAAAGGATTGGTAGCGTAGGTATGCGTCGTTGGGGAGCGTGAAGGCGAATTCGCGGTGCTTGAAGTCATTGGAAGGCGTTGCGGAGTGGTTTAGCCATTGAAAGAGGTATCGGAAGGGGAAGAGGCGTTGATAGAAGGCGCGCATGATCTCGGGGTCTGAAAAGGAAGACTTGGGTGTGATCTTACTGTTCGTCGTCAGTTATTGTGCCTATCTGAGGCGATGTTGAATGCGCATTACAATGGCGCTGGTTGCGAGGGCTCCTCCTCAGTTTTAACGCCTGGTGCGCTTGACCCAAACTCCTCGTCTGAGTCCTCATCGTCGAATAGTTCGTCCAAGTTTACTTTGGCCAGCTCTGTTGTGGGTGCATTTGATACGTCCTCCATGGCGATGTCCTGTGTTTCTGGCTCCGTTTTAACCGGATCGACCTGCGACATTGGCCCGGAGGACTCGTCCGCAGACATTGATTCCGGTGTGACTGAATGTGGCATTTTGGGACTCATGCGATCGGCTTTTGCGCGTGCTTGTGGAACTGTGGTGGTGTTCAAGGGTGGACTGGGGAAGTCGCGTCCTAGCGCGTCTTTTCGCGTAAAGTGGCCAACCCCTGCAACTCCAGCAATCGTTCTTACTCTGTTGGGAAGGACTGCCTGCGTCGTCATCGGACCGTGAGATAACCATGTTTCAACCTCACCTTCGCTGTTCCTGAAGGGCATGAATTTGATACAATTGATAGTTCACGATGCACAACAAGGTGGACGAGGATGAGCAGAATATGGTACCTGGAGACGGATGGATCTCGGAAGATTCAAGCTTCTACGGTGAGTATTGAGTACCACCGCTAAGCACCATCATTTTTGGGAAGAAAGTCGCATGACGGGCAATGCCCTGTCAACTTACACTCTCATTTCAAGCTAACCATTTCTAATGTGATTCAGGTGATGAAGATGAACAAGAGCGCCAACAATCCCTCTGTCAAGGCTTCACCCACAAGTCTTTCTGGTCTACACATGACAGTGATCTGAATGCCATCACAAGCCCTGTTAGAACTCGAAGAATCATCAATGCTGCCCCAGACTCAAATACTTTCACGCCTAGCAAACCTAGTGGCTCTTTTCCACTTGACCGAAAATCGATGGAAGCAGATCGACTTGCAAGATTAGGGAGCAAACGCAAGCGCGACTTACCATCAGAGCAGCCATCACAAGCACTTGAGCAATTCAATCCTCGGCAAGGTTGCTCTGATTCATGGCAGCTAGGCGAAGCTGTGGATGACTTTGTCCGACGGCTTCCACCTCTCACGACCTCGATTTCAACTTGCGACTGGATATGGGCTGCAAATCCGCATCGTGATCCGCAAGACAAACCCAACTATCCACGAGTGGCTGACTTCAAAGAACGCGGGTCTAGTCTACTCGAACAGTCCCTCAAAGTACGACGTGATACCCAAAACAACAACGCAGGAACGGCGAAAGGAGCGGTGACTCGACGTCTCAACCAGGAAAGCAAGACTCTCCAACAAAACCTCACTGAACTTGCGGTGGAGACTGGTGTTCTTTCGGGAAAGGTAAACATACTGTCTTTGGCCACTACTCCTAAGCATGCTAATAGATGTAGTGGATGTTGTTCCTCAAGCTCGAGGATATCACCAGAGTGTGGAAGAAAATAGTCGATGCCGTGATCAACAATCGTTTGGGCCCCATAGTCAAGATTGCCCCCGAAGATGGCAATCCTGATGAACGACTAGTATGTATCTATACAAGAGACTTTCGACAGGAAGAAGATGTGCTTCGTGTGCTTCGTGTGCTTCAAGAGCTTGTCGCAATGGGTCTCACCGGGTCTGGAAAACCACTGTACTATAAGTCAGACGCGTACACGTATGCATAACTCCCTCTCCTGACGAGACACACACTAACTTTGTCCTCCCGACTCAGACATCTAGATATATATTCTCGCACCGCCACGGAATACGGACTGCAAGCGAGTCTGTACAATAGTTCGAAGATGTTAGCTGAAGCCCGACTTCCAAAATCGACATCAATGCCGCCAAAGAAGCAGTCGAAGCTCACAAAGTTCTAATGATTGCTTGATGAGAACGTCATCATGGTTATGAGATAAGCCAGGTATTCGAGAGAAGGATGCTTCGCAGCGTGAAGATAGATCGCAGATATCAGGTTTGTATCAAAAAGAGCTATCTGGAGTAGTGATCCGTACCCGACCTACCATTTAACTAATCATATGTATTTATTCACGTCCCTCGGCTTCTTGCAAGTAAATCATCACAAGATTACCTCAACGTTTGATCGTGTCGTCTTCCAGCTAAGATATTTGCAGCCGTTATTTCCATAGTATAATTGTCGACATCTAGGGAACTCACAACTCTACCTGGAGGTCATTCGTGGTATGGGGTCCAAATCTCGAGTCAACGCAATCTGCCTGTCGAAAGCTTTCTGTCAGAATTCATACTTTCACACGCAGCCTCTTATGAAAGGGCAGCGGGCAGAGCACTTGAAATACGGATGGCTCGGGGCGTAAACCGGTTTTTATAGACCCGATTTCTCAGGACGGGAGGTCAGCCCTGACACCGGGGACTCACATTTGACAAGACGCCTTCTACGAAAACAAGATCCATTTCAGCAAACAGCACCGTGCTGAGGCAGGATCTCGATGCCTTGTGGAATGCTCTGCAACGTAATGGATATACTCTTCCAGCGTCACACCGCATAGTAGAATTACGACCAAATTACGATGTGATTACCAAAGACGCAACGAAAAGGCAACGGTAGCCCTGACCATGCAGGTGTTCTACTCGGCACACGCAGCTCCACAACGTACTGGTGGAGTGTTTGACCGTCATTTGTTCTCTGGCAGGACCGAGTGACGCTACTGGCGACTACAGGCGAATTGACATTCCATTACTCGATCGTAAAAAACCCTGACCCGCTTCAGTTCGCCGATGACGTTCTGCAAACTTTAGGGGCTTTGTACGACATCGGATGAGCCCGATGGAAGAGTCAAATTCCACCTCGCCAGACACTTTTTTGGTCGCGTTTCGTAGGAGCGGTGGTCTGTGGTGATGACTTGGTCTTGAATCTCACCGACAGCAATTCTGCGCGCCTCTCAATCCGCAACTCAGCAGATCGTTCGACAGTGGGTGCAACTTATATTCGGCCAGCTCCGGCGATGATGGAATTCCACGTGTCGCACCTACGTTGTTAGTAGGCGGGAGAAAACCAGCGAGCGGTGCGGTGGCTCGGGGGTCACTATTGCTCCGATTTTCATCGAGTAATAGTAATCGACCTGTTGAGATGTACGCTGACAACTCCTTAGCTTCTCCGGCAACTTTGGCGTTGGTTACGTATACGATTCGGAGGCACAATCCCGTTCGCTAACAAGGCAGGTATCTCAATGTCAAGAAGATGAGGAAGAACGGTCAAGCAAAGACACAAATCGTGAATCGCGACTCTGTAAGCACCACGGGTGTCAGTTGGCTTAAATTGCGGACATGACGTTGGTCATTGGGTCTGCGCTAGCCTCTTGTATGCTGATCAAGCGGGTTCCACCCACAACAAGATTGCGGAGCCGCCCTTGCGTCTTCTTATCAGTACTCAACCTCCACAATCATGCAGGGTCCACCGATCAACAGAAGTCAAACAGAGAGCACTCACAGCAGCTTGTGACTGTGTTTAGCTGGGTTAGGAACAAAATCCCTCAAATCTTAGAAGACTACAACACATTTCTGTATTCAACTCTGCAGAACCCAAACAATCGTCATGGAAAGAAGCTACGGCAGCGACCGGTTCGGGCGCACTTACGCCGGGTTACGGGATCGAAGGTGAGACGCAGGCTAAGGTGGCTTGATAAACTCACAAATCACTCGATAGCATCGAGTAAACCGGCGGTGGAACATAGGTCCTGACGCTACCCACGCTTTTCTGGGGGTTCGATCTGAAATCACAACTGGCCCCGGTAGCAATCGACTTCGTGTAGATAAGGACCGCTGTACCCCAGGTTTGGGCGTTTCTAGACACTTGTACCTGAGCACAACGTCTCTCTGTGTTCTAAAAGCAATCCAATTCAAAAAGTGGTTCCGTGTCTTTCAATTCTACTTTCCTCTTTGAACATCTGGCCGTATACGAGCCTTATCAACGCTTATCTTTACATATCCCACCCCAGCCAGACAGCATACATATCACCTTCCCCGCGTCAGCCGACATCGCTATTTATATATAACTGTAAGGGAATCTTAGTCGGAGTGGAAGAGCATTAGGATCTTTACTTCTTCTTCAACCATCTTTCATTGAGGCTCTCATATACTTCGTCAAAATGGCTCCACACGCGACTACTCCTCCCCCACCGCCTCATAGCCTGCCCTTACAGCCTATCACTGTCCTAGCTTCCTCAAGAGCAGTGGTTGCTGGCCGGTTGACTGCAGCTACCATCGTTGTATCAAGCGTTACGGGGAAAATCACTGCCATATTCCGCTCGGTTCTACCTGCGACGGACTTCCCCGAGGGTACACCATACACCGACTACTCCCCTCATCTTCTGCTACCCGGTCTTGTCGATGCCCATGTACATCTCAACGAGCCTGGTCGGACAGAATGGGAAGGCTTCTGGACTGGCACCCGAGCCGCTGCTTTTGGTGGCGTGACCACTGTGATCGACATGCCACTGAACGCTATTCCTCCTACGACGACTGTGGAGAACCTGAAGATCAAGATCGAGGCTTCCAAGGGGAAGTGCTGGGTTGATGTTGGCTTCTATGGCGGTGTCATTCCTGGGAACGCTGGCGACCTGAAGGGCTTAGTCAAGGAGGGTGTTCGTGGCTTCAAGGGCTTCTTGTGTGATAGTGGTGTATGTGTTGACCCAGTCAGCTGAAGGAAGCTTAATGATACTAACACTTCAACAGGTTGACGAGTTCCCTGCAGTCTCATCCCTGGATATCGCGCAAGCTCTCCTTGAGCTCAAGGACGCGCCAACCACTCTGATGTTCCACGCCGAGATGATTCCACCTATTTCGGACTCTGTTGGCGACCTCATCCAAAAGTCTGAACCACCGCTCGCCCCGAAAGGTCCTCTGACGGCTTACTCAACGTTCTTGGAGTCACGACCACCGACCTTCGAAACATGTGCTGTTGCTGAGATTCTCTCCCTTGCACATCTCGCCCCGGAACTGCAACTTCACATTGTCCACCTCTCCGCCATCGAAGCCATCCCCATGCTCCGTAAAGCACGTGCAAGCGGCATCAAAATCACCGCCGAGACATGTTTCCACTACCTAGCACTCGCCTCTGAAGGCATCGAGGAGGGTGATACACGCCACAAGTGCTGCCCACCGATCCGCTCCCAATGCAACCAAGACGGACTCTGGGAGGAACTCCTGCAAGACGAAGGCGACGGCGTCATCCAAACCGTTGTATCGGACCATTCACCATGCACACCAGAGATCAAGCTTCTCCCCGCCCATCTCTCGAACGAGAAGCCATCCACACACAAGGAAGACCACTCACAAGATTGCGACTCTTGCGACTCTTCTGAGGCGCAAACAGAAAAGCCAAAGGAGATGGGCGACTTCTTCAGCGCATGGGGCGGCATCTCGAGTGTCGGTCTTGGCCTCCCAATCCTGTGGACCGAAGGCACAAAGCGCAACGAGAACTTCAGCATCGAGGAGATTGTGCGCTGGTGCTGCAAGAACACAGCGAAGCAGATTGGTCTAGAAAAGACCAAAGGCGATCTCGGTGTCGGCTTCGATGGTGATATCGTTGTTTTCGACGACACAGCTGAATTCATGGTACGTGTATTCGTTCCTATCTACTGGTGGCGAGAAGCAGAGACTAATGCAAAACAGGTCGAACCGAGCACCATGCTCTTCCGCAACAAGGTCTCGCCCTACCAGAATAAGACCCTCAAGGGTGTTGTGCGCGAGACTTGGCTTCGTGGTCAGCGCATCTTTTCGCGCGAAGAAGGATTTACTGAGAAGACTGGCCCAAGCGGCAAGCTGCTGCTTGAGCCGAGGAAGTAGAGCGTCACATACGTGAATGATGCCAGAGTTCCTTTTTGAGTTGTTGGTCGTCTAATTTGCTGTTCAACATGCATGCATTATATCATGGGCATAGATGGTGTTTTTGTAAAATTGTTCGCAATTATACCGCCGAGCAGCGTATGAGCTTCGTAGAGTAAATTCGAACTACTATCAAGTGGAGCTGTCGTACACAAACAGCGCGTACTTGAAAATTTACTGATGCTACATGTGGACACAAATCTTGTTCCAGTTGATCAATGCAATCTTGATGTCATCGGTTCGGCAAGTGCACTCAATAGCGCCGGTCCCAGCTGCATTGTTGTCATCCGTTGCGTGGTTACCATCCTCTGCCTATGGCGATCAGGCGCTTAACGTGTTTCGAGCTTGCTTTGCTTTTAGGACTACTATAGGTTGGAGATTACATGTCTAGCTTTACAGCACGTACCAACAGCGATCACATGGTAAAAGATTTGGCACAAGTGGAATCACATCACAAAATGGTCAAAGCATGAGTGACAAGTCGTTGATCAGATTCATTCGATAGCCGACATTTGGTGAAACCTATTTAGTCCTCCCATATTTGCCATGATGCCGTAACTCGTGTCGATCGTGATGTGCACTCGGATGCGCTTATTTAGCCTCGTCGAAGACGTAGGTCAGGTGGCAACGGCCGCAGTACTGGCGGTTGTGCATGGCGGCCATGAAGACACCAGCACCGCACTCGGGCTGCGGGCACTCCCTGCGAAGGCGCTCGATCTTGCCATCGCCGTCGACCTTGTAGTACTTGAGGACAGCGAGCTTGGTCTTCTTCCTCTTGTGCTTGATCTTCTTGGGGGTGGTGTAGACCTTCTTCTTCCTCTTCTTGCCTCCACCACGGAGACGCAGCACGAGATGGAGGGTCGACTCCTTCTGGATGTTGTAGTCCGAAAGGGTGCGGCCGTCCTCAAGTTGCTTTCCGGCGAAGATAAGACGCTGCTGGTCCGGGGGAATTCCCTCCTTGTCTGCGCGCTGTTAGATGTGGAAGCTGGGAGGCGGCGCAAGCCACGTACCCTGAATCTTGGACTTCACATTGTCGATGGTATCCGAAGACTCCACCTCGAGGGTGATAGTCTTACCCGTGAGGGTCTTGACGAAGATCTGCATGGCGGCCTGGGTAGCTGTTAGCAGGGCGCCGGGTCGACGGTGTGGTGCTGCGCTCACCTAGACAACCGGGGTGTCTTCCTCAGTCGTCGGTTGCAGAAGTTGATGAAGGAGAAGTCTTGCGAGGCGCCGCCTAACATAATTCGAGTGTGGGCTTGGCAGAGCATGACTCAGCAGCCGAAAAGTGGCGTGGCAGTAGCGTCATCGATGGAGCTGACAGGGGTCTGTGCTGGTGGCACCTGCGTTGCCTCCGCAACCGCTCAGACGTTTGTTGTGATCTACCCGGAAGAGCACTTGTACAGCGTCATCTCCACCTCTTTGCATTCCTCAAAGAGCACCATTCATCTTCATCCCCACAATTCCAAACAAACCCATTGTTTAGCACTTCGCTGGTAGCAAACTCAAAGCACCAAACCGGACACACATTTACACAGGCTTCCGCCTTAACTTACTCGAGACAGGCTACTGGGAGACTGCATCTGTACTGAGGAGACCATAAGGATACTAACTGCCCGGCGGAGCGCCGCTTGCCTTGCGTGAGGTAAGTCAACACAACCATCTCAGAGCCATCTTGTCGAACATTCGCAAGTACAATGGAATACACACGTCAGCTGCTAACACACCGCTAGTTCCGGACCATACAGGATATCCATCCTCGGAAAACACCCACCGGACTCGACCTGCATACAAAATGCTGTCCACAAATTCGCCCTCTGGCATCCAGCGACGACGAGCCATGCATCGCCGCCAAAACTCGACACCCAGTGCATATGAGGCGCCTACTATACGACCACTGCCTGCTACTAACCCCCAACAGCGACGACACAACCGGACTGGCATGAGCTTGGATCTCCGGGGCTTGAACCTAGACTCGATCCGTGCTCATAGCTCAGGCCCATCCACCGGACCAAGATACCCAGGACCCTTCGACACACCATCCTTCAGGCAGGATGCCAACACCGTAAGTAATACTAACCTAGGACAATACCCACAGCACTCTATGCAAGTAGCGCAGACGTACAGCCAGCCCCAGCCGGGCCACCAGGACTCCTTCTTGCGATCCCCAGTACAGACCTCTCTCCCAATACCGCAGACTCCTCGACGGATACAGCGCGCGCAGTCTCCCCAGCAGCCTCCCGTCCCCTCCTCACTCCCACCCACAGAACAACAACTGAAAGATCTCCATGAGCACATACAGTCGGTGTACGGCTCATGTGGGCAAGTCTTCATCAACATCCTCCCAACACCAAGTGCGACACCTCAAAAACCAGCGCAATTACCAAGTCATGAAGCTCTCAATGTAGCTTCTCTGCCAGCAAATTTTACTGATTTGACAGACATCAATCTCGAGCCAACATCGAGTGCCATGACTTTCGACTTTGAGCACCCAGACGTCGACTTGGGTTACGAATCCTCCTCATATTACACCTCTGACGCCGTGTCACCGTCGTCCCCCTGCTCTCCAGACCAAAAGACAATGCAAACATTCCTCGAGGGCATCGCAGAGCACCCATCGCAAGAAATGTTCTTCTCGCAAGCTCCACCTATGCTCCCGCAATCTGACAACTCAATGTTGCTCAACGGCCTACCTCTGTCTGATGGATCGATGGACCAAAACACGACTTTTGACGACCTCGAAGTCGACGCAAGTCTCGAGTTCACCGGCATTGCACCAGAAGAAGTACAACGATACATCAGCGAACAGAACGCAGTGACCAACAAATGGACATGTCTCTTCCAAGATTGTGGCAAGGTTTTCGGCAGGAGAGAGAACATCCGCTCGCACGTGCAGACCCACCTCGGGGACAGACAGTACAAGTGCAACGGGTGTGGAAAGTGCTTTGTTCGTCAACACGACCTCAAGCGTCATGCAAAGATCCATTCCGGAAACAAGCCCTACAAGTGCCCTTGCGGCGCAGGGTTTGCCCGACAAGACGCTCTCACCCGACACCGACAACGCGGCATGTGTGTCGGCGGTTTTGCCGATGCAGTTCGCAGGCAAGCAAAGCGTGGCCGGCCCAAGAAGAATCGACCAGATATGGAACAGCGAACAGATAAATCCAGCAGGACACGACAAGCACTAGCTTCCAACACTTCATCTGTCTCTGCAAGCTCACCCTACTCTGATGCTCGATCGCCATCACCATTTGACGCGTATGAGCCCACGCAACCTCACAGCCTCCCAGAACTGCTTTCCCGCACAAGTAGCTACAACGATCAGATCACCTCATCATCAGATGCATTCGGGTTAGTACTCTTCAGACTCATGACTCCTCTTCGCTAATCACAACTACAGTTTATCAAGCCCCTTTGACGAAGGTGCTCACCGTACAACCTCAAGCTTTGCATCATCGTCGTCTTACGTAGGCGACATTACATCTATGAATCTTCTCCAGCAGCTATCCCAAGACAAGCACACGCCTCCGATGTCACCCGTCGACCTTGAGTCACATCTGTCAGGGCCGGCAAACGTGTTAGGCACACCATTCCAGCCTACTTCGTTGAAGGCCTCGTCCAGCCCGTCGCAGCTGTCAGTTCAGTCTCAACAATTTACAACTCCACCTACATCCCCCGTGGATGTCAAAGATGATCTTGACGAGTTGTTCAACACACCACCCGAGAACTCATGCTCGCAATTCGAACTCGAGATGAAAGCGATGGGCGAATTCACTTCGATGGATTCTGCCTCGTACGACTTCCTTGACTTCACTGTGTAAAGACACAACACTAACTTGGCAATGCTGTATAATATGGAAGGTTTAACGAACGTAATGATTGATGTATCATCATCTGATAATTGGATAGGCTCGGTTATGACTGGGCAGGAACTGGACTGGTCTCGTCCGCATTGTACATGGAAATTCTGGGCTTACGACAGAATGATATTTGGTTTTTGGGGGTCTTATTCTAAGTGGCCGCAGCGCGCATACCCACTCTTTGTTTTTTGGCAAGCGACGTTGAATGGCAAGGCGTATACGGTTGGAAACTTTTGCTTGTAATGCCTGACTACGGGCTTTGATAGCCATGGTAGTCATGGGCGATACGTCGCCATGAGATTACTACGCTCTGGTACAACACAGACGATATATATATTCTGTCGTTGAACTCGTATCCCTATGCTTCTTTCTGGAGTGATCTGTACGTCTGTCGTAGCTAGGTGGGTTCTCGGGCTCGAGTATGGTACGTGAAGTGCTGTAGTTGATAATTAGGTGGGCAAGACGAGAAAAGACATTATCGGATTCATCGTGATAGACGACGATCGACTTGTTAACCGACAGAATGGAAGTCGACTTTTTCTTTTCTTCGAGTTTGGAAAAATGTAGAGTAGCATCATGACCGAGACCTTGGACGATATAGGCAAAGGGAGGTCGCGTGAGAAATTGAGTCATTGATGTGTGTTTGCTTGGCCACTTACTCATTCAGCTACTTTGTTTCATTTATTTCTTTGATGCCCACATCTAAGTTCCTGTGCCTTCCCACTCAACTCTCTCTCTCGATAGCAGTGCGGGATGTCCTGGAAACATAGCTGGATCTCCGAGGCCTGGTGGAAGCAAAAGGTTCTATACACTGCATGTATCAAACAAACGAAGCAAGCAGACAATCAAGCAAGTGAGATAATTTATTGCCTTCTCGAGCGCTCGTCCAACCCCGTTATCATGTACAAGAATGAATCATACAGCAGTACTATACCCACCACCAAAGCCCTTCCTTCCTTTCCACCTCACATACCACTTGCGCCCCTCGTCCGCCCAGAACACACAACTCGCTACGGCGGCCAAATGGCACAGGTCGAGCAACCCCAACGCCTCAGTCTGAAACACGTGTTGCAGCGGTGGAAAGTATACGACCATCATCTGCCCCACCAGACTGCCCGCAACAGCGTAATTGAACATTTTGTTGTCGAATATACCGATCTCGCCATTGAGCACCGATTTGGTAGAAGAGCGGCACGTGAGCGCGTTGAACATGTCGAAGAGCACAAAGCAGGTGAATGTCATGGTGGTATCGCGGGCGGTGACTTTGTTGTCGTCGCTCATCTCAAGGTAGTATGTTGTAAGTGTGCCGAGCATGATGATGGTTGCCGATTGCAGGACACGTTGGATAAGAGGGCGCGTAAGGACGCGGGCATGGCGGGGGCGAGGAGGCAGGGCCATGACGGCAGGATCGACGGGTTCGACGCCGAGCGATTGAGCGGGTGGACCGTCCATAAGGATATCTGTTGCCAAAGGTTAGCTCATAGTATAGATAGCGGGAACTGGAAGCGTACTTATCCACAAAATCTGCATGGCGTTGAGCGGATTCTGGAAGCCCAAGAAGGTACTCAATAACACCAGGCTTAGGGCAGCGGCACTGGTGCTGAGCTGGAAGGTGAGGAAGTTCTGGATGTTGTAGAAGATACCCTTCCCTTCTTCGATGGCGTTTAGGATGGTTGCAAAGTTGTCGTCTGTAAGGATCATGTCTGCCGCCTCTTTCGCAACATCCGTGCCCAATCGGCCCATAGATATTCCAATATCGGCTTTCTTCAGCGCTGGCGCATCGTTCACACCGTCTCCAGTCATAGCCACGACATCACCTCGAGCCTGAAGGGCACGAACAATCTTCATTTTATGTTCTGGGCTTGTGCGTGCAAAGATGGATGTCGTTGCAATAGCTTGCGAAAGCTCTTCTTCGCTCATCTGATCCAGCTCGTCACCGCAGATTACAGAGCGTCCAAGTGCCGAGTTTGCGGTTATCGGCATTCCCAGGCTTTTGCCGATAGCAACTGCTGTCGTTTCTGCATCGCCTGTGATCATGATGACCTTGACTTTTCCGGCCATCAGACGTCGAATAGCTCTTTCTACACCCTTTCGCGGCGGGTCGTTCATTCCAACGAGACCAGCAAACACTAGGCCACGATATTGTTCATCGTCGCCGAGTGCAGAGGTGGCTGACGGAGCGGGTGATGATGTGCCACTTGAGCTCTTTCCTCTCCCTCTGGACGTTCCACTAGCAAACCCCAGGACCCTCAAGCCCTCTTGTGCCATAGATTCAGCAGCTTTCAAAGCCTTTTGCCTATGCGCTTGGTCCAGAACAATTTCTCTTCCTTGCGCTGTAACATAGGTATCGCAACGATCGAGAACTCTTTCTAATGCGCCTTTGATGTAAGCAACATCTGCCCCAGTGGTCAGTTCCGCCCCTGAGCCGCCATTGATCACGACACCCATCCACTTTCTTTCCGAGCTAAATGGAGTTTCGTATTTGCGATCACCGATCCTTTCTCTTACGTCGTCTTCTCCGAAAGCATCCAGAAGGTCGAGAAGAGCAACATCTGTAGGTTGACCTACCCACCGACTCTTTGTCAGCGAGTTATCATCCCGCGAGGTTGATGACAGAACAGCGGCGGTCGATGCTGATGCGGCTTGGTCGCTCAAGTGACGGGCATTGTTGACAATGTTGCCGATTCGCAAGATTTTGCGAGTAGGAGCATCGAGATCGGCGGAGTCATGCTTCTTCTTGACGTCAATCGGAGCTGTCTCATCAAAGTGCCAGATCTTGGTGACAGTCATGTGGTTCGTTGTCAGCGTGCCTAGGTGTGGTCAGTCACGCCAAACTATCTACACGACTTGATAAACTCACCTGTTTTGTCCGTACAGACAACGTTTACAGACGCCAATGTCTCAACACTGGGCAGTCGTCGAACGATGGCATCCCGCTTGGACATTCTCAGCACACCTAATGCAAGTGTGACGGTAACGATGATGGGCAGTCCTTCCGGAATAGCAGCAACTGCAAGTGAAACACCAATCTGGAAGACTTCCAAAAAAGGCCAGCCCCGCCAAAGCCCCACCAGTCCAATGAAGGCAATGACGCCGAAAGACATGTAGCTTAGGTCCTTTCCGAGCCTGTCCATAGAAAGCTGCAGAGGCGTCCGGGGACTTTCGATTTCTTGCAAAGATGCTGAAATAGCTCCAAACTCGGTGTTGCCCCCTGTACCAATAGCGATTCCTTGTCCATATCCAGATCGAACTAGGGTTCCCATAAACGCGATGTTTTTTTGATCGTTCAGTCGAATGTCCGCACCAACAGTCCCGGCAGCTTCAGAAGCGTAGAAGGGTGAGGGTGAACGCTGTATACCTGCCGGCAGGTTAATTGTATCTGGAGTCTTGGAAACCGGCTCGTTCTCTCCCGTAAGATTTGACTCGTCTATGCTGAGGTCGGCCGCATGTGTGATTCGAATATCGGCGGGTATACGATCACCAGTGTGGAATAAGACCAGATCACCCGGTACCAGCAGTGTCGCGGATATGGTACTAGATTTCCTCTCAGCTGCTGACAGTGATGCCGTCGTGTCCTTAAGGTTCTCCAGTTCTATTCCGTTGTTCGCAATGCCGTTTGACAGCCGCCCATTTCGCGACTGCTCTACCCCGGCGCGGATTACGTGTGCGGAGTGTGGTACCAGTTGGTTCAGAGCCTCGATTGACTTTTCCGAGCGGTACTCCTGGACGAATCCCACTGTTACTACAATTGTCACCGCAACGCCGATACTGATCGCATCTTCCAGATTGCCCATTAAAAAGGACACGGCCGCGGACCCCAGCAGCAAGAGAATAAGTGTCTCCTTGAATTGTTTGAGGAACCGCAGCCACAGTGGCTCAGGCTCCTCGTGTGGGAGCTCATTGAGGCCATGGGTGTGTATGCGCGCCGAGGCATCGGAGGAGGACAGGCCGTGTGTTAGGGATGTGGATAGCTTTTGCGCCGTTTCTTGCGTCGACAAGAGGGAGTATGTTGATGTTATTGACTGTTCATGGCGCCATGTTAGCAGCGCATCCACTGCCAGCTCTCCTACGCGTGGAGTTCAGCGGTGGGTACAGTACCGAAGGTGTTCCGCTTTTCTTCTGCAGCTCTGGGGGTTGCAGGAACGGCGATGCGGAGCGGGAAGACTTTGAGGCTGCTGCTGAGGCTTGGTACAGCGGCAATGAGGGCGTTGCAGCTCTGGACATGTTGGCATGACCCAGAGACGACTATTGCGGACCCTCGAACGTGGCCTGTCGGGACGAACGGTGGACGGTGGGCAATCTCAGGACGTGGTTATCGCATGGATGCTGCTGCTAAGAGAATAAAGGCCGTAAAGAACAAGCAACGAGAGAGCAGAGAAATGCACAAGAAAATGTTGTCTATGGGCTGAATTTCGTCTGGATGTGGATGGATGGAGGAGTACGTTGGTACTCACAGCAGGGGCCAGCCTAGCAGCGATCCGGGGTTTGATGATGAGTTTCACGCGTGGCACTTCTACATTGCAAGATACAACATTTCATGCAGAATAGACCTATATTTCAACGTTCAATTCTTGACTTCAGCAAACGTGTTCGCGCACAATCTTGATGCCTGCACTGCGACATGTCACAGTACGCAGCCTTGGCAGGTACCGACCGCATGGGGAAGGATCAAGTGATGGCGTGTTTTTCATGCTGCAGGCCAGATGTGATGTCATCTCTCGATTTTGCACCCAGCAACGCGGGTTACGCGCTTGGATTCTTCGTCGCGAGGGCCTGATGGGGCTGGAAGAGGCCGCCAATGCCTCCGAGACGCAGCTTCGAGTGTACACAGCGGCAGGAACACATACATCTCGACTCTGCTAGTCTACATACTGCTTCGCGTTACAACCTGCAACATAGGGTTGGGTGTAGACTCCACAGCCAGGCATTCAAGACGTGAAGGCGTCGTGTTGCACAGGTGATGGTGGTTTTGGGTGACAAGGTGATTACTTAAGCGGGGCTGGTCGTGCCTGCCCGAGTTCCCTCCAGCCCCAACCAACCCTGCCCAGCACCCGGACCATCCACCCAAGGCGCGTCCACATCCCATCGTCATTTCACCTACCTTGACTTTCACTGCCATTGCTACGGTTGTGCGCACCCCTTGATTGCCTTTGACACGCTGTCGGCGCGTGTATAACGATTGCGCATCCCCACCGCCGACGCGCCGGTATAAACAAGACGCGCCACTTTCCTAATCTCGCACACGAACAACCCCATCCGACCACCACACCATGTTTCTTCCCGAGGATCTCCTGTTCAAGTCGGGCCAGCTCGCCCGCGTCTGGCTGGCCGCCAATCAGCACAAGAAGCTTACAAAAGCCCAAGTGCTGCAAGACAAGATCGATGAGGATATCCAAGTTATCATCCGACCTGAGGGCGCTGCGGGCGGTCCCCTTGCATTGCGTTTGAATGGACAGCTGCTTCTTGGTGTTGTGCGCATCTATCACAGGAAAGCGCGCTACCTGTTTGATGACTGCAATGACGCGTTGTGGAAGATTAAGATGGTACAATCGCCAATTTGCTCTGCTTTGCACATCTTTCTGACGCGTTGAGTAGGCTTTCCGTCCAGGAAACATTGATCTGCCAGCACAAACCCACTTGGCTAACCCCACAAGCTTGACCCTCCCCGATGTCATCACAGACCTAGACCTGCTGGCCCCAATGCCAGACCCTACACTTCTTCTATCGCAGGCACTTGGCGCGGGCCTCAATCTCGGAAACACCACACTGGCCGACTGGGATGACAGTCAATTCCTATCAGGCAGCATTGAGCAACCGCGAATGCAACCGATGAGTTTTGAAGAAGATGATTTGAACCTGGATTACGGAGAAAACCTGGAGCCCTCCGTGGCATTTGATGAGGGTACCAGCATCGAGCGCGGTCGTAATGCACCTTTGGAACGACGCACGTCTGAGGAGTTTGCCCCAAGTGTAAAGAACTTTGTAGAAGAAGATCTAGGCATCGACTTTGGTGATGATTTAACGGAATTAGCCCCTGCTCCCGATCTCAACCTGGGGGATGACACAGACGTTCCCATGGGCGGCATGACAGAACTGGACGCCCTAGGAGAACCCTCCTTTGCTGGTGACTTTCCTACGATTCAAGCCGAACGAGAGGACTCTCCGCTCACGGAGATTGACGAAGAAGAAGCTACAAGACTTGCGCAAGAGGTTGCTGAGCAGAACAACACCATCTTTGATCCTGAGCCCGAACAGGACGAGGAATCTATCCATCAAGCGAGAGCCAAACGCAGGAGAGTTATCGGCGAAGACGCCGAAACCATGCTTTCAAACACGCAGCTCAAGGAGCAGACAAACAACCGTGACAAGATTCTTAAGCCCGCATCTTTTCTGCCACGCGACCCGCTTCTCATGGCTCTGATGCAGATGCAGAGATCTGGGGGGTTTGTCTCAAGCATTCTTGGCGATGGCCGAAGTCAGGGCTGGGCTCCTGAGCTGAGAGGCATTCTCTCACTCGAAGTCGTTTCGCGTCCAAACCAAAAGCGCAAGCGAGGCAACGGTGTCGCCGAGCCAGGCGCAGAGGAAGAGGATGTGGCTGCCGATGCAGAGAAGACCCTTCAGTTAGAGTTTGAGCACGACGACCTTTCTTTGGGAGGTGTTAATATTGACATTGGCGGTGGTAATACCACACTCGCGGGGTCTGAAGATCACTTCCAGCTCCCCGACGAACCCGTTTTCCAGCAACCCGAGGAAGAGGACGCCTTCTCACCTGTGCCAGATAACTTTGACGACACCACTGCGCCTCTAAACCATCCTGAAGAGAGTGGCCCTGTTTCACTCGGCACCAAACACGCTGTTCATCTTCTGCGGGAACGGTTTGGGCCAGAAGCTGAGGAAAGCGAATCAGAGCGACAAAAGAACAGCATCGTGTTCCAAGAGATGCTCCCAGAAGAGCAGACATCGAGAGCAGACGCGACCAAAATGTTCTTCGAAGTTTTGGTCCTGGCTACTAAGGATGCAATCAAGGTTGAGCAACCTGGCAACGAGCTGGGAGGCCCATTGCGCATTCGGGCGAAGCGCGGACTCTGGGGACAGTGGGCAGAGACAGCTGCGAGCGGCGAATTGGCTTCCCAATCACAGGCCACTCCGCAGACAGCAGAAGTCGACGCACCGGCTTCGGTTATCGTTGAGGGGGCTCGAGAAGTATCTGTATCTGCGTAAAAGGTCACTGGAATTGTTGCAACACGGATGGGCTCTGGGTCTTGAGTTGGAGAGCTCACTCTCTCATCTGGCGGCGTTGGCTGGATACCCTTTTTACTTGCGCTTGACTTGTTTTTGCACATTGGACACGGCTGTTTGGAGAGGTGTATTGAGGCGTTTTGTGGCTCTCTGTATGAATTGTTATTGATAGTAGATAGTTTCGCTGAATGACGACGTTGACTCAACATAACGTGATGGACTTGACGTCTCTGTGCACACTATTTCTCATTTCTCTTTCGCGACAGTCGATCTCGAACATGACGTCGTCCATGCCAAGCTCTTTGTCGATTGGAGCACGAAAATTTTGGGCTTCATCACCAGTCATCACTCTTGATGCCCACTCGCCATCCCCACATACCAAATGTCAAACTCGCAGATTTCTTCTCTCAGTCCACTTCATTTCGCTCGTTGGTGCAAGTCGCCGCATCAGAGCCCTTCCAAGGTCGTACTGCCACGCTGAACATCCCGACGGCTTTCTTCACGCCCAAGATCACGAATACGCCTACTTTAATACTCCCCACAAATCTGCAGTTTTACCCGGGCACAACCAAGAATATGGAGACTAACATACTATCTGTTGATCCCCAGAAACTGGGCAACATCACGTTCAAGAATTCGAACACAGATCTGATTGACGAGTGGGACATTCAGTATACGGATGGGAAGGACTATGAGAGCTTGAAAAGAGCAGCGGAAGAGTTAGTGAACACAGATACACCTGTAGCTTTCCCAACAGAGACCGTGTACGGTTTAGGGGCAGATGCGACAAGGAGCGCAGCAGTAAAGGCTATATTTGCCGCAAAAGGACGGCCATCGGACAACCCCCTTATCGTACACATACATTCGCTCCCGCAACTACGAGCGTTACTATCAGGGAAGAAAGAAGTTACGGGAGGGCTTGAGGTAGCATCAGATCCTATACCAGAGATATACCGACCATTAATCGAGCGTTTCTGGCCTGGCCCGCTTACTATCATCCTTCCAGCTCCCAGAAATTCCATCCTCGCACCAGAAGTCACAGCAGGTCTCCCAACATTCGGCGCTCGTATGCCGCGCTCTATTCTCGCTCTCGCTCTCCTGCGCCTCTGCGGACGCCCACTTGCAGGACCCTCCGCCAATGCATCGACACGCCCTTCGCCCACAGCTGCCGAACACGTCTTTGATGATCTGCAGGGAAGGATTCACACAATCATCGACGGGGGCCCGTGCGAAGTTGGCGTGGAAAGCACAGTAGTGGACGGATTGTCGACTCCACCGAGTATCCTTAGACCAGGTGGTGTGACAGTGGAGCAACTTAGGCAATGTCCAGGATGGGAGAACGTCACGGTCGGATACAAAGACAAGCAAGAAGGAGGTGCAGGTAAGCCACGAGCACCGGGGATGAAATACAGGCACTACAGTCCGAAGGCGGAGGTCGTGCTTTTCGAGGCTGGCGCTGGGAAACCTGCGGACAAGGAGATCAAGAGCAAGAGGAAGATTGGTGTCATTCGGACGAAAGGTTGGCGTCCAGTACTGGATTTGGACGCTGAGAGACTAGGACCCACACAAACGAATGGACACATCCACGGTACTTCGCGACCCACAACCACACCAACATCTCCTTCCGATGCGCCGTCGCGCATCTCCAATCTACTTCGCTCGGTCATACAACACCAAGTTCCGCACGCAGAACAATACATGTTGAAATCTGACGCCATTGAGATATGGGACATCGACCTCGGCGCGGAAACAGAAGGCGTCGCAAGGGGTTTGTTCTCTGCGTTGCGTGAACTGGACAAAAAGGGCGTGGATATCATTTACGTGGAGGGTATAAGTGATCAGACTGGAGATGATATCGCGGCTGCAGTCATGAATCGCTTGAGGAAGGCGGCTGAAATTAGGGGATGATATATATGGCCGTTGTCATATGTCAAGTAAGTCTTGGAATGATCGAAAAGACAGTTGTCCGGGAGGTTTAGCAGACGAAGAGGAGAGAAAGATCGTAGCGAGAGTAGGAACCAGCACTAGAGTTACCATCAAATGTATCAAGAATGAGAATGTGATATTACACGTCACTGCGTTCTGGTTTGTGGTCGTCAATAAACTTTAGTGCATAGCGACGTGTTGGGTACAAGCAAAAGTGGGGTTCATGTCATTTGTAGATACTCTTGCTCAGTACTTGACAGCTCGATATTAAGAAGGACATTGGAAAGTATATGAGGAGTTGGATCAAGGAGGCGATGTCTGCGCTGACGTCATGCTTGAGCACATGACTTGAAACTAGATGAAGCACACATCTAACTCACCCATTCAACCGCTCACTATCACACTTGCATTGTACTCAAGTTCATGGTTTAGGTCAATCACCCTTTATCACTATCATATCATCTCTCCCTATCATGCAGAACGTAGTAGTACAAGATCCGCCAACGCCGTGCTACGTGATAGACGCAACCATTTGATCATAACCTCACAAACTCCGAGGACTTCTATCCAGTCGATTCGCTCAACCCTGCTGCTGCGCCTTCTTCAGTGCTTCACGCATCTTCTCGCCTCTCGCTAGAATGAGGATGATTCCTGGTATGCACAGGAGGTCGAGAACGCCGAGGCCAGTGAATGTCCAACCAAAGCCCGCCTTCTCAATGATGCGATTAGTGGCTGCGGCCATGATTGCCGCAGCAACGTTACGAAGGAAGCCTCCCAGAGCTACCAAACTGGCTGTCTGAGTCGGGTCACACTCTGTCTGGAAGGACGTGCTCGTAATGAAGACAACAGAGACACCCATTCCTGCCATCGACGCCCCAGTTAGACCAATTGCAGGGTGCTTCTGCCATTGACAGAACCAGCCATAGATGACTTTGCCTGTGGCAGCCACTACAAAGCCGGGAATCTGGATGGCCATTCTTCGCTCGGGGTGCATCTTCTTGTTTGGGTTCTTTGCGAGGGCCCTCTTCCGCATTATATCAGAGAGGCGACCAACAACGACTGAGGTAATGAACGTGGCAAGTCCGGGAGCGACATATGCGTAGCCGATCTGCTGGGTGGACCACTTGTAATAATTTCCTCCCCAGTTCCTGGGAAACGAGATGTACAACGCGTACAAACCGGAGAACTGTAAGGCCCCGTTGAAAGAGACGATGAGATGAGGAGGGTATTTGAGAAGATGCATGAACTTGCGAAACGATGGGCGGGGTACTTTGGGTCCTTGAATATCTGTTTGGGGCTTCGTTCGGAGGCTAGGTATCGAGATCCAGGGCTGTTTGGCAAGAGGTGCACCATTGCCAACCAACGATCGCAGAGTCTCGGGCATACAGAAAACAATAGCCAGATATACTGGGATACATGTCGCTGCGAGGAATCCAAAGATCCAACGCCATCGTGTCAAAGTGGCAAACTGACCGCCAATGACAGGTCCCAGGATTGGCCCAAGTTGAGGACCCATGAGGAACCAACCCAAAGCAGATGCTCGATTTGCGGGCGCGACAATGTCGGAGACTGTGCCCGCTCCGACGGAGAAGACGATGCAGGAACCGAACCCCTGCAAGATGCGAAGGACGTACAGGAGTGCAATATGAGCCGGAAGCACGAAGAGTAAAATGTTGGCGACCAGGTAGCATCCAAGGCCAACCATGTAGACCAGTTTTCGACCTCCAACGTCAGAAGCCGCGGCGCCAAATAGAGGCTGTCGATTGTCAGCATTGGAAATCATTGAAGAGGGTCAAATGAGGTGGTACATACCGCGATAGCGAAGACTACCATGTACACCGAAACGGTAGCGTCTATCACTGTTTCTGAACTTCTGAAGACTGTCTCGAAAAGTTTGAGCGAAGGCAGGTAAATAGCTCCAGTCAATGGTCCAAAGAATCCTGCAGCTGTCACAACGGCAAGCATGAACCGCCTACGGTTAGGTGAGAAGGCCGAGTATGGTGGGGGAGGAGCTGCGGGTTCAGCATCGTCGCAAGAGTAGGTCAACGGTTCTTTGGCGGAAGTATGCTCTTCATGGTCCTCATGGTCTTCATGCTCATGTCCATATTCAGAGTCAATACTCTCGCGGCACCGGTCATAAACGTGAGACTTCTCGAAGTCAACAGGAGAACGCATGATGATGACGAGGAAGAGGAATGATAGTCGTATTGACAACGGGCGCTCTTGGACTGAAGTACAAAACGACTCAACGATTACTTCAGCCCCGCCTTACGGTCAGAATGATCTAGGTATCTGCTTCAGCACCGCCTGATTGCTGAAGTGTCCTAGGGTACCGACACTGCACAGCACCAGTGCAAGCCTTGTTTGTTCCAGGCTTTGAGCTGTATCTCCAACAACTGCTTGAACGGATTGCCATTACTGGCGCAAACAACACACACCCTGGCCGGGCGATCTATTTCGGACCTGACTGCGTTCAGCTCGCAAACAAAGCTCAGGCGCGCTTCCATGCGCCGCCAAGCAACACGCCGCATCCTCAGCCCCCTCCCGCTGGGATGAACGCCCTCTTTGCTGTGCCTTGGACTGGTATCAGGAAGGCAGACCGAAAATAGAGCTTCAAATGCAAGAACTAAATTACACTGTTGTCCATGACATGGGAGGGGTTCCATACACATCTCCAACCTCATTACTTGTCTATCAAATCATGGTACCATGTACGGCACGCCTTATCATACGGCTAGAGCTGTCAACGATGAAAGGTTGTTGGTTAACGAAAACTAATCCTGGGTTCAGGCAGCCACTCGAATCCAAGACGCAGGTTGGTGCATGTACAAAGAACCCAGCCCCACTCCTCAGCCGCTCGTCACATATGAAAGGGCAAAAACGGTCTATTATCGTTAGCGTTACTCGGCTGTGCCGATCCCCAGCTGGGGAAAACGGCGTGGCTGAACGTGTTAGTTTGTTAGTCCCGCATTAGCTGAGCGAGAATACCAGACATCACTTCAGACTTGTTGGTGCATTATCGGAGTATGCGATTATCACCGGTCTCAGGAAATGGTATTTGGGGAAAACATATTGATCTTGGCGTTGGCTATCAGTGATGGCATGCATCATTATTCAAGTTCAAGTTCACCCGGTAGTAACCATATATGTCGTTTTCATACAAACTTCATCAAGCAGCAATACGTATATTCAGCTGCTACGGCTAAGATGTGTTGTTGGTCTGTTACAGATGTTTTGTTTCTTCCCGCGTCCACGAATCTTTGGTGGAGCGAAAAGTATGCAGACCGTCTTACTCAATACAGCTAAACAGCATTGTAGTTGCCCCAACCCTTTGCAGTATTGTATGACACGTCTTCTAGACAACACATCTATGCAGCCGGACGACATGGTTCTCATGCACAAGAATGGCGCCAAATCGTTGACGCTGATATCGACTATGTAGTAGACGCACACGTGACATCAATGTGCACTGTTACGGCTTTCGATGTCTGCAGATAGACTACGGTTGATATCGGCTTCTGGCTTTCATGTATCGTCTTTCGACGACATGAAGCCAGGCAATTTACGTTGACTATGTAAGCTTACTCGCGGTAATCAATTTTATCTGCATCGAACCTACTCATAACCTTACGGCCTTAACAAAGAACTGAGTTGCGAGCTAACCATGTAGGACTTAATTTACGCCCGATGCATAGCATAGCACCAGTTAAAACAGCAATATGCAGTGCGTCCGTTCCGAGTGAATGCCAGCCTTATCGGCGCCCTACGCCTATACTACCATGATCCTGATCAATATGTTCTCCACTCTCGATATACATATAGATTTCCGTGGCTGTGTACCTTTCGAACAAGCACTGCCCTTGCTAACCCTGTCGGTACACCATACCCCTGCAGAACTCCGGATTTTCCTTTTGCGTACACGTTATCCAACCGTCTAACAAAGATTGTCCAAAAGCACGTTCCTTTGATGATCTGTTCTAATTCGTCTGCCAGCCTTGCAATCGTTTGTATAGATCTGCCCCACGCCTTATCTACAAATCTTTCCAGGCCCCTGCATTGCTGACAGGTGGATCGACCAGTAGATGAACCTGGTTCAAACGCGCGTGTATGGATCAGGCGGAGATGAGGCTGGTGGTAGCATAGTTTGACACTGCGCAATGGATTGTAACCAACGGTTATCTCGCAACATGTGACGTTGCTGGGACGTATATCCAGATAACCAATTGCGATGATGCCTTGCGCAACGGAGACTCCTCACTGCCAGTACTGAGGGTGGAGATTGCGTTGAGTCGTGCTGGAGGCCTTAATAATCAAGGATTCGCGCGGCAACCAGATAGGGAACGCACAGATGGGGCGTAAATACAGTAAGCACGCTAGAAAAAGACGACTTGAGATTGCAGTTTTCAAATTGGATCTGGTAATTCCTCCAGTAATAACAAATGTACTTCATGGAATCCATCTTGCCCCTTAGGCGTACGATTCGGAACGCCGTTTGACTTGCAGCCGCGGTCGTCATCCTCCCTGCACTATGCATTACCGCTTATGGTCGTCAAATCTTCTCCGAGAAAACCGACGTCGTCACATTGCCTAGTGCCTGAAACTTCATCGTGAGCGCCTTGGGATACAGTGGGCCAGCCGGTGTCATGTGTCCGTCCCATTCCTCGTCCACCGTCCACTTGCAGCCTCGTACTAGCTCCACAATCGTGATGCGTAGCTGTTGCAATGCAAACTTTTGTCCCAGACACGCTCGCTTTCCACCGTGGAAGCTGATGTAAGCACCCTTGGAATTGGCTCTGCGGTACAGATGGTTGATCTCGTCCATGTTCTTTCCCCACCGGGCAGGCTTGAAGTCATCTGAATCCATGCCCCAAAACTCAACGTCGCGGTTTGTGGAGTATGCATTGTAGCCCACGTAGACGCCTGCGGGGATAGGGATATGATTGCCCAGTACGACGGGCGTTGTGGTGCAGCGGTTGATGAGTTGCGAGATCGGCGGGAACATACGTAGCCCTTCATAGACTACCGCGGTGAGGTATGGCAGATCGTGTATATTAGCATAGGAGGGCTCGTAGTCGGCGGGCGCGTCGGCAGGGAAGAGTGTGCCGACCTCTTTTCGTACTGCTTCTTGTACTTCTGGGTGAGCGCCGAGGAGATACATTAGGGACATGAGCGCGATTTGCGGGTTCTCGTGGCCGGCAATGAAGGTGCCAGCAATATTGTCGTTGAGATCCTTCTCCGTAAGGAGGCCATCGTTGTGTGATCCCAGCAGTCTGCAAGCGAGGCTCTTGGGGTCGTTGGAATCGCAAACATGGTTGTGTCCCTTAGCGATGGAGGTAAGGAGCGTGTGGCGGAATTGCTTGTTGAGCACGCGTCCAATTTGCCTAGCTTTGAGCGGCAAATGGTCGAGGAATGGGAAGTTCAAGAAGATAGGGTTGAAAATTAGGGGCTTCATCTGTGACTGCATCTTGTGAAGCGGGGCGTCCGGACGCTGAAGTGTCTCGAAGCTAGATGTGTACAGGACTTCCGAAAAATTGGCTACGGCAAGGCGATGGAGCGGAGCGTAGATTGGAACGCCGGAACCAGCAGCTTTGTTTGCGTCTCCCAGAAATATGTCTCTCAAAATCCTCGCGTTGCTCCATATAGGGGTAGAGTCTTGGTCAGCCTGTAGTGCAGGTTTGATCACAGATTGATAGAGCTTCCATTTTGCACCATGAGCGCTGATGATGTTCTCGCCCGTATACTCGGCGATCAACGTGTGAGGAATCTTGACATTGTTTCCTGATTTGGCGTATATGTCCTCATGCTTGAAGACTTCTGCGATATACGCAGGCTTACGGACCAGGATGTTCCACCGGCCACCGAAAAATAACTTGACGGCTCCGTACTTCTCGAGAGGCTCCATCATATATTGGCGGTAGAGTTCGGCTTGATCGACATCTTTAAAAAGAGGCAGGAGCGCGTAATAAAACGGGATTGTTGGAATGTTAGTGGGGAAGTTGCGAGGCGGCGTGAAGAGGTACACGAAAAAGGAAACGACGCCGAACAAGGTGCCAAAGGCAGCCAGAAAGATCAAAGAAAAGTAGGACACCATTTTGTCGAGTGTTTTCAGATGCTCGGTAGCTAAGTACTGAGGACAGCATATATGAAGCAAACCTTTGTATATTGGAGAGACAGCAAGCTCAGCCTCAGCCATACACGCTGCGGTCTGAGCGCTGGTGGGCTGAACACGACATGGTTGTAGTTGGTGCCGCTCCAAGCATGCACGCGCTTCATGCATCTACAATTAGGCTATCCAGGCAGTAGACAGTGTTGGTTCAGTCGGGGCGTAATGTTTGTGGCGCTAGTAGGTCTTACGGGGGCTCCGCTTCCAGCTCCACCGCCAAGATCGACATGGGTGTGCGAAGCGAAGCTGTCAACGGGCTAAGATTAGCGACTCTATCACTACCGCGCTGAGCTGAAGGTCGTGCAGTGCTGTGGCCGGCTGAGTCGACACATCGAGACCGCTCAGTACCAAAGTTGTGCCCGAAATCACTTTGCTCCCAATAGACTGTCACCACGCCTGCGACTGCCAAGATGACGATTCGTCGTACAGGATGAGAATTCCCCCACTCTCAGGAGCGAAATGTCCAAGTCATCTGCACTGCCGTCTAGAACGCTACACCCCAAGCCAACCAAATAGCGGTGCGGGTCAAAGCGACATGGAGGATTGGCACGTTGGTTGGTGTGGTCCTGGCGTTTGTGGCTGGTCATGCATTCATCCGCAGTCAGCTGGATTGCACTACGCTTGATCAAGAATACCTTGTAGGGCTGATACACAACAACGAGTCGGGATTCCTTTCATATATGACTTGTCTACCACCCAGTCTATCATTCCACATCTACTTTGCTCACTGAGACAAGCGTTTCCGCTCTCCGCATCGCATCCTCTATCGTTTCGTTCTTCTATTTTCTGACCCTTGCAAATTAATCAATACCCTTTACTTGTTGTTCATCTTTCATAATGCCTCCTCTTAACAAGGGCGTCGCCACCTACCACTGCATCCAGGGGATGTACTGGAGGAACACCGCTGGCGAACTTCTAGCCCTCGAGGGTAACAACTCCAAGCCACTGCCAGAAGTATGGTCGCAATTGAGTGAAGTCATTCGCTCTGCTGCTGAAGGGTCATGGAGTCGACTCCAGCTCCCCTCTGGGAAGGAGATCAAGACTCTCCAAATCATTGCCGATATCCCGAATCTTTCAAACATCCGCAACAACTTCCCCCCATCATATCAGAAAGAGGACCTTTTCACAACAACCGCCGAGATTATGCACGACAATGGCCTCATACTTGGTATGCTGACATCGAGACCAAAGTCTCTTGCCACCAATGGATTTAGTATTTGGTCTGAGCGCTTCATCCTTCTGGAGACTGAGTTCCAGCCCTTTGCCACCATTTCAGATGCCAGCACTCCCTGGGCGATTAAGGAACGCGACATTTGCAACACAATCGCCGAGATCTTCGAGCGTAAGCTGAAGAATCTTTCCAAAGATGATCAGTGGGAAGTTTGCGGACGTCAGAGTTTTTTGAACCGTGTTTAGTAAGTGAACCAACTTCCATAACTTTGTGGTCCAAAACTAATTCCAGTTCAGCGGCTACGTGGAGAAGAACCTACCCATCCAACTCGCCCTACCTGCCTTCCCTTGCAAGTCGCCCAACCCCAATAAAGTTGGCGGTATTATGCCAGATCTTGCCGAACATATCGCTATGGACGTACTCCATGACTTCGTCAAGGAAGTGAACGCGGTATACGAGCCCGGTGCGACGATGTGGGTCATCAACGACGGCCACGTCTTCTCAGACTGCATTGGAGTCGACGATGAGATGATTGATACATACGACGCCTGCATGGCCGCGATCTACGCACAGCGGTTTCCCGAGGATATTGGCCCTGTTCCTTCCATCAAATTCAAGGGACTCAAGAACATCTTCGCAGCGGACCACGATGGCTTCCAAGGCTTGTCGAAGATGCTCTCTGGCTCACACAAGATGCCACACCCTGTCAAGACCCAACTCACTGGCGATGCCGAACTGTGCAGAAAGCTCATGCTTGGTATCGGTGGTCCCGACCGTGCTTACATCCGCTCACTCATCGAGCAACAAGAGCCTGACGCTCTGCAGCTCTACCGCGGTCAGACGCGATTCATGTTGGAGGATCTTGCAGATATCCCGTCAGTCAAGTCCCTCAGCGGCAAGCAGAAGAAGAAGACAGCGGCTCTCGTCGCAGAAGAGATGATGTCCCGCAACCAGGCATACTCCAACTTGACGGAACTTCTCCTTCCCAACTACGTCCGCCTCTCCATCCACGCCCACAACAACAAGGGTCCCAAGTTCGCTATCCGTCTCTTGCCCAAACACATGGTGAGGGCGATCGATGATCTTGAGAACCGTTTCGAGCCCGTTCCTGCATACGAATTCCAAATCCCGACCCCATGGCACAACTGCTGCATCAAGGTTGAGGGTGATGATCTCATCTACCTTGCTCGCTCGCAGGTTGCTAAGAAGGCTTTGGCAGGCTCAGACTTCGTGGGCTCCTGGGTCGACGGTGCTGATGGATCCTACTACAGCTTGAAGCGAACCTCGGGTCCTGCAACCACACAGGCTCCGATCGACCTCCCCAAACTCGCCATTCCCAAGCTCACGCGTGTTGGCACCCAGAAGGTCACTGTCATGGATGACAAGAAGCGCTCGATCGTCCTCGTCACTCCGATTATGGAGGAGATGCAGTCGCCTGTCATCATCTGCTCACCTATGGTCGGAAAGAAGAATCCAATCGTAGTCAATGCTGGCCAGGACGGCCAGAGGCCGATCGTCATTTCAGGATCCAAGAAGAACTTCAACATGGTCCGCTCCCCTACTCTCGGCCTCCAGCGAACAAAGACTTCCGTTGCCGTTATGGGAGAGAAGCAAAGCCCTACCGTTACTGTTTCGCCACTCAAGCGCCAGGACACACATTTCGTTCAAGCTTCGGAGAAGAACAAGCTGCGCTTCCTTGTCCCCATGGCTACTTTCTTGCGATCAATGCGAAGCTCGCAAAACGCGCCAGAGCCTGCCTCTCCCCAACTCGCCTCTCCCTTAGAAGTCAAGGCTTGATTTTCCTTTATATCTGCTTTGTTACTGTTTGCGACTACCCTGTAAATTCATTGGAGTACTACTCAAAACATGCCGTTTGGCATTAGGGATTCTACTTTGCATGTTGGCGTTGCGGAACGAGAAACTGTTGGATGCTCTTTTGGCAAAGGTGAGAGGAAACATGAATTATCGAGATGTGTTAATCGTAAAATTACTTTCTCCATTTGATGTGCCCTCAATGTCCAAGTGAGACGGTGAATGATGCAGGCACTTTGTACTTCGCCTCCTCCATCGCTTGACTGTCCTTCTGGCGTTCAACGTGCAGAAATGCGCGCAATTCTACGCATTCGATAAGGTTCATCAACCATCGTACTCATGGCCAAGATCGACTCCACTTGATCGTCGTCTAACAGTATAGGCGAGGACAACCGGACGCAAGGGGAGCCAGAGCTTCACAGTTCACTTTCATGACTAGAAGGTAGTGTTGTATATGCAAGTGCTTTCTCGAGCTCAATTTTGTTGAGTTTTCTACAACAATTCTACTCACAGCTCCCATGTCTGTCGCAGCTGCTCTTGCTGCCAGACCTGGCGCCTTGCATGAAGAAAAGGCAACTACAAATAAGACATCCTGGCTGAGGACGATTGCGACGAATCCCAACACGACTTGGATACCATCCGCATGATGGGTGGAGGATAACTCGAGATCTCCGCCCATATGAAGTTCGTCAGGCGTAATCGCTCGTCTTGATCTCAAGCTGCATTGGGTGGAGAAAACTTACAGCCCTCAGAATGCGACCTGGATCTCGATCTTGATGGAGCGCCAGAGGATCACGGGTGCAAGTTTCGATCCATGCGCTGGAAATGGAAGAGTGACTGTTTGAAGTCTTCCTTGAAATGTATCGGTAGCATACAATATCACTTACCAGTATAGCCTATGTAGAAAAGATCAAGACACTGTGCATCATGACACGGAAAAGTACTTATGTTTGCTCGCATTGTAGCACCATTTGTTTGTTCTGACTATCTAAATTTGCTCATGTGGTTACCCACACGATCCCGAATTCACTAAACACAACGTGTTCGAGAGCTCTTTGAGACACTCCGGGGACCTACAGCGTCGGTTCAAGATTCCAACCAAGCCTTGTAGCAGCCCCCACAGCACATGCACATACGAACCCTTGGTACGCCCCGATAGTTCGTTTGCTCGGACGCCTTACTATGTCGACCACGTTTCTGCTTGCAATCTAAACCTATCAATATCACGTTGGCTCAATCTATCTAGCATACCCGGCGCAAGCCGCGATATTTGCCGAAAAACTTCATGTTTCAACGAGATTTCAATTCTTGACGAACTCGTGTAGAACATACCCTCCCTACATAACACTCATAACAAAAAGAAAATATTGATAGCAAGAGACGTCTCGACAGCCTGCCTATTGTGGCGTGGAATGCGCGCAAAAGCGCTCTTTGAGTGGGCCAACTAGCTCACCTAGGGAAAGCGCTCAGCAGACCGCAAGCTATACATATCTTCCAAGACATTGGAGTTTCGTGCATGTGCATGTTGTAGCGCGAGGTTGTGCTCGTGGCTCGCATGCGGTGATTGTGTAAGGGTGAGACTGCGGTATGGCGAGAGTATATGAATGGCCAAAGGATCAGGAACCCCCCGCTTTGGTTCCTTGGTTGAGCGAGTTTGCGCGCCTATTGACGAGTCGTTGTTGCCCCGGCTCATTGGGAAAAGCAGGAATGTAGGGATTATGCGTCTTTTGTCGTCCTTGAAAGCGTCTTTGACCTGCTCTTTTCTTCCCGCTATAAACGTCGTCTCTGCCTACCTTGTTGTTTCGTCTTTCACAACATATCAACCTCTCGTTCACCCAGTCGGAAACTAGCGATGGATCACAACATGGCGATGAGTTCCATGAGCTCTATGAGCATGGCAATGAGCTCCATGAGCATGGCAGTGTATGGTATGGCCACGACTGCCACGGGAGTGTCTATGCCGAGCAGTACAGGCATGTCCATGGCAACATCAACTGCGACGAGCAGTGGGATGGGTGGAATGAGCATGGGCGGCAGTGGTTGCAAGATTAGCGTAAGTACCTCCTCTCTTTGCGCAGCCTGCAACTATCAGCCTCCTACGCGGCAGCAGTGTGAACAATCAGACTGACAGCATGGCAGATGTTATGGAACTGGAACACTGTTGATGCATGTAAGTTACATCATTTTGCATAGAAACGTGCACCGTCAACCTGAAGCCGGCATAGTGTTCTCAGTATCCTCTGCGCTGCCAGCTTGGTTGCTGCAAACGCGCTGAAGACTTGCAGTTCAGTCAGTGTCGTGTAATTGCTAACACAACTAGGCTTCATCGCTCGCTCATGGCGCATCACTTCCAAGGGTATGTTCGCCGGCTCCTGCGTCGGTGTGGTCCTCCTCGTAATCCTCCTCGAGTTGCTTCGCCGCGCTGGCAAGGAATACGACCGCTTCATCGTCGCACAACACGCCAAGTCGCTCGCTGCGAATGTTCCTACTTCCTCGAGTTCGTCTGATACTGGTACTTCGAAGATACCCACAACCTCTACTGCTGCTTGTACGCCCACAACCGCCCAAACGTTTCGCCCTAGTGTATTGCAGCAGGCAATACGTGCGCTCTTGCACACATGCCAGTTTGCAGTCGCCTACTTCGTCATGCTACTCGCCATGTACTACAACGGATACTTTATCATTTGTATCTTCATCGGCGCATATCTTGGCTTCTTCATCTTCGGCTGGGAGGGCTTCAATGTGAGCAAGGGTGGGAAGGATCGGATGCAGGCGGACACAACTGTGTGCTGTGGTTGAGATGAAGTACAGGATTAGGATCCTTGACTGGTTATGAGTCACTAATAGGCAATGGCCAAGTACACGCTGTCCAGGCTGAATGTTCCTGCAAGCTATGTCTGGTTATACTTAAAGGATATATGAAGTTGCTGCAGTTTAGGGGGAACGATAACTCCACCCCTTTACGATTAGCACAGACATGTTCATGGAAGGAAAAAGCCAATTTACAAGAGTGCTATCGATTTGATCGATTACAGATGGTATCATGTGTTGACTAACGCCTCTCATCCCAAAGCTCCATCCCATCGTTCGCCCCGTGGTTGTCATTAGCCAGTAACTCCGCCCAGATATCTCATCTCCCCACAAAAACTACAATGCCGTTGATCGCTTGCATCACACTAGCTCCCGGCTCCTCGGAATGATGAACACCAGCCGCTTGCGTCATCTCAAACCTCCACAACGTGTGGCGAACCGTTTACTTGTGCTAGAAAACAGTCAGCATCATGCAGAAGATGGTGGATCTATAGGGCGACATACAGGGCACGAATCGCAAGAGCAGTCTTTGCCGCAAGTGCAGTCGTCGCCACAGCTGCAGGTTCCCGCTTCCTTGGGGCAGCCGCAGTCGGTGGTGGTCTTTGCTGGGGCGCAAGTGCAGGAAGAGGAGCACTTCTTCTCAGAGGTGCAGCTTGATGGAGTTAGCTTGATATCGTCAGGAAATTATGATATTGTCATGACTTACTCGCACTTCGAGCCGCAGGTGCAAGACGCCGCTTCCACCTTGGGAGCACAGCCGCAGTCAGAGGTCATGTTGATTGTTGGTTGTTGGGTTGGTGTTTGAGAGAGGTGTTGGTGTCGAAAGGTGTCAATAGTTGTTGGATCGAGTTATGTTTTGGTGATGGAGTAATAGAGTGGATGAGGCCAGGTTCTTATATGTCTGTCTGCGCGACTTGTGCGACGTTCACCGCACGAATCTTTCCACATGCGGCGGGGGCGAACGACCAGATACCCGGCCTCCTATTGGACAGTGTGGGGTTGCGTTCATTGTGCGGTGCTAATCATGGCTTAGTTTACTTTTTGCGAGACTTGTGCGGCGGTTTAACGTTTTCTAGCTTACTACACGCCTTCTAGTTGGGGAAAAGTGGGGTGCGACTTTTGTGCGGAAGTGGCTAAGACGAAAAGCGTTGGCCGATCCTTCCAGTCTCGTGGTTGCCCTGCGTCATCACCCCGCCGTGCGATACTCTGCATGGCATCAATCTAGCGATGACTATCTGGTCGCTAACGAAGTAGACTAAGATAATTAAGTTTTTCATTATCTAACGTGCATTCTGGTTACAGGTCAGGTGTTCTTGATTGGATAGGAAGATAAGATGACAGCAGGTGGTCAAAAGATTTATATTGTCATATTCAAGATCAACAATCGCCGACTTCTCTCAAAGACTCCCCTCAGCCTTCTTCAGTCTCTCAAACAGCTGCACAAAAGCTGCTGGTTCTTGCGCTCCACCGACCTCAAACTTCCTGTTGATAGTGAAATTAGGCACTCCGCTTACGCCCTGCTCCCTCGCCTCCTGGACTTCCTTGTCAACCCCAGACCCTCCTTTCCCATCATCCAGCCACTCCACAACCTCCGTCTTTTCAAGCCCGGCTCCCACGCCCGCAGCAACCAGCACATCTCGGCTAGTTATATCTTTTTCGTTCTCAAAGTACGCCGCGAACAGTTCTTCAATAACACGCGTCTGCATCTGTGGGCCCTTTGTCTTACCCAGCTGCACCAGCCGATGCGAGTCCCGCGTGTTCCCTGTGTTGCCGCCGTATTTGAAGTTGATGCCTTCGGCTCTGCCGATCTCTGAAAGTCGCACTTGCATCATTGCTGTGCGTTCCTTGCCGAACTTGGATTCGTACATGGCTTGCTTGTCGGCGCTTTTTCCTGCGTCTGGATTCAAGTAGAAAGGGAACCAAGTTGTGGAGAAGGTGTCGCTGGAGTCTGGGTGCTTCTCCTTGTAGGCCGCGATACCCTTCTCGAGGCGCTTTTTGCCGACATAACACCACGCTGTAGGAGGGTCAGAACTACCTCTGATGTTTAGGGTTTGCACGAAGACTTACGGCAAACTGTGTCGCTGACGATTTTGATGTCGAAGTTGGTCATTTTGCGGAGGCTAGCTTTGAACGCCACGATGAAGATAAGTTTGATGTTTATTTGGTGCTTTGTTTGCGATTCGCCCGAATGCAGATTTTCTTATGTATAGCAAGGCTGCTGACAAATGAAGTCGAGTTGTGTTTGTGGAGCACCTCGGGATCTTCGAGGCTGTTCCTTAGTCGATGACTGCTTATCTCAAAACCTACGACATGTCTTCGGCGATACTCTGAACCAGCTATTGAACGACATTTTTGCCATCAGAGGCACCCATACGTTTCTCGAAGGGCTGCAACCTCCTGATTCACGAGAAAGAACGGCATGTCTACTTTACAACTACGAACTTGCCCTCTCAGTCCCGGGCATACTGCGGTCGACTTATGTGCTTTGGAGAACGAGGGCTCTGATGGGTGTTCAAAGGTCTTTAGTTAACGGATAAGTTCTAAGCAAGCCGGAACATGGCTCATGACCGCCACGTTGGGTTGACAAGTCAATCCGAGGAACCGCCGACCGGTGAAGAGAAACAAGATGCAATTGACAAGTTTCCACGTCAACATGAAGAGTAGACTATCTCAGGGCTCGGGTACGCATAGAAAGAAGGGGCACCTGGTCACAGACGTCTTGGTATGGGACGCCTGACAGCCTGTGATAGGTCAGGTTCAAGCCTCTTTTCTCAGCTTCTCTCTTTCTCAGACACTCGTCGAATAGTTTCTTCCTCCACGTTCATGATTGTCTGAATCATACGAGGCTCGGCTGGAAAGACGGATGTGTGTTTCAGGGTGCCCATGTGCAACCGAAGCTTTTCCATGTTGGGAACAGCACCTGCAGGAATGGCGAGCATCACGTTTACGGCTGAAAGCCATGGCGGTTACTGGATGGCACTGCTCTTTCTGTACTCCCAAGGCTGGCATTGAGTTCAGCTCCTGCGCGCAGTGGCAGAGGGTAATTTCTCAAATACCCGATAGCTCGTATACTTTCGTTCACTCTCTCCCCATCACAGTTCTTTCTGTTGTTCTCTCCATTATATGAGATTGTTTCTCTAGTTGGGCTACTCTGTTGGGTGTCCGTCCAAAGTCTTTGCAATATGAAGTACTCTGCTTTACTCTTCAGCCTGGTCGCTGTGGTACCGGCGGCTCATGGCATCGCGTTTGGAGAATCAACCCCTACGGCGAAGAGTCCTCAGCGTGCTCTCGATGAGATGAGTCCCAAGCCCACCAAAGGGCCTTCAGTCGTCGAGTTGAGAAAGCGGCAGAGCGATGTTGGTCCCGAGACATGTGGTTGGGTTGATGGTGACAATGGTACGTACAAACAAAGTTACCAGACAGTACGATATGAAGTGGTTAACACAGCGCAGCATCAGGAGTCACTTGCAACGTCGGGCGAACATGCATGTTCTACACCTCTGCATCTGTTGGCATGGCAGGCTGCTGCGACGGCTCGGAAACGCAAGATTGTGACTGGAAAAACTCATGTATCGACTACGTTGACTATTTGGCTGGAGACTGTGGTGATGATTGCCTGACCAACAGCTTCGTTCGGAAATGCACTCGTATTGCGTCGCCGTACTGCGTTACTTGGACCTATCCCTCCAACGGTGTCTTGGACTATGGGTGCCAGGACATCTCATCGGGCCTGGTTTACACGATGCTTCAGAGCGCTAGCAATAGCTCAGGTGACAGCACGACGAGCGTCAACCTACCTACTCTCAGTGGAAACGCAGTTACGGGTTTCGATCAGACGACCACATCAGCTGCGGTTACCGGTTTCGCTGAAACGACTGCAACAACCGCAACAACCGCAACGGACGGGACAACGTATTCACCCATCACTCCCGTCGACAGCGGAAGCAGTGTGCGCACCAAGGCAAAGAAGACAATTGCCATCGGTCTCATCGTTGGCGTCGCAACCACAGCGGTCGTCATAATCTTCGTCGTCATAGTAGGCATCGTCTTCTGTATGAAGAAAAAGAAGAAGCAGCGTCTCATCGCCGCAAATGCCCAGCTCGTTGCTGCCAACCCTCCGCAATCCCAGTTCCCTCCCCCTCAGCAACAGATGGCACATCCACAGATGCCAATACACACGCAAACGCAGATGCAACAACCTTCCTTTAACGCCTCTCTGTCCCCGCAAAGCCCACAATCGGCAGTTAGTGGCTATTTTCCACCGTCGGAGCAGAAGTTCATCGCACAGCCTCAAGTCTACGAATATGCGCACACTCCCATCTCGAATCCACCGACGCCCGCACCGGCGTATGTGCAGCCGCAATATGGTGTTCCTCCGATGCCAAATCCAGTAGTGCCTCATGCGGCGGGGGGCTATCAGAGACCGGTTGAAGGAGCGCATGAGGTTGACGCAATCAGTGTGCCGCATGCGCCGGTGGGAGGTGGGCCAGTGTATGAGCTTGGGCAGGGGCGATGAGACACCTTTGATTATTCTGATGACGGGATGTTACTACTTGAGCAGGTTGGGTAGGCGGCATGGCGTTTTTTGGTAGGAAGTGCTCTTATGTAGACTCGAGTCTGGCGCGCAGGGAGCGTCTAGTAATTATGTTTTCAAGAGTAGGTGCGCATGGGAATTGACACGGTAGAACCGAGATCTGTTCGATTCGAAAGTTTGTCAGACCCACAACACCGTATGCTTAGAGGGCCATAGTGGCTGGCTCGAGATGAACTTCATATCATACAATTCCTACTCTTGCACTTCTACAGGAACCTCGCTGGCGAGCTCTTCTTCAACACCAGTGGATGTCTGTGCACACTGGGCATCAAGCCCAAGCCAATGGCTCGCCGTATAGCCTTTGCAATCTTCCTCTGATTCTTCGGTCTTAGCCCCGTGTCCTTGGAATGCTTTATCCGCCCCATCTCCGTCATGTACTCGGACATCATGGTGTAGTTCTATCCTCGTCAGCGCCAGGATTCTCTGCTCACCACCAGTAATCCACTTACCTTATACTCGTTCACGGGATTGATGCCCAGGACGTCAAAGGCATCGCTCTGCGGCTTCTTGCGCCCGCTCTTCCACCTCTTCATCTCGGCGCCCGACAGATCCGAGGGCGCGTACACATCTCCGGGCTGCCACTTGCGGAAAATCTGGCGCTGGAACTGGCTCCGGCGCTCTGACTCGACCATCTCGCGGGTTTGCGTGGGGCGGTCCAGGCCAGCTTCTCGGGCGAGACGCGTCGCGAGGGAGGAACCGGGGAGCCTTGACTGGGTGGAAGAGGGGCCACGGGCGGCGGTGCTGTCGCCGAGGATGGAGAGGAGGGCGTCATCTGGAGAGGGTCAGGACGGACTCTGGGAAGTTGCGCGAGGGGAGGGGAGGTGGGTGAGCGGGCGTACCTTGCTTCTGGGGGCCCGAGGAGAAGCATCGCAGACAATTCCTGGCGATGGAGACGGGCGCCCGGAAGGAGAAGCGTGTCAGGGACATGTTGGGCGTCATCGTGCTGCTGTCGCCGTCCTGGCCGTCCTTTTCGACATGGAGATGCTGCACCTCGAAATGCTAGCGGGGCTTGGCGTCATGATTTCACTCCCACTATGGCAAGAGCTCTCCCCCTCACGCTTCGCCGCCGCACTTCTGACGCGCTTTCGTCTCGTTTTCTGCGTGTGCCGTAGCTTCTTCATCGCCGGCTGCCCCATGGACAATCCCCGTGTCCGCCATATTCATTCCTGCGCGCGCCAATCGCACTTTACCTCCATCTAAGCTCCGCCGCCGCCGCCGCCGCAATGTCGTCACACCTCACCCGCGTCGTCTTCCGCAGCATCATCGCCAACGAACCCCTCCTCTACCGGGGATGTCGACTCCGAGCCCGACCGTCCACCATACCCCACCATGGCATGCGCGCACTGCCCCAAGTCCAGCAGCGGCGGACCTTTCTCAAGAACCTGGCCATCTTCAAGCAACAGCGCAAACTCAAGCCCATGGAGATGCCGCCCGGCTTGGACAAGCTGTCCGACTTAGCCCATGCCCAAGGCACTGCTGTGCGACCACCACCTGCGAAGGACATCGCTGCGGCAATCAAGGCCTTCTTTGCGCAGAGGAAGGGGACTTTCGAACAGTTTCACATCCTGTTAGCCGACACGGCCTTCAAACACCTCATGGATAACCCGCAGGAGAGCGGGGAGCCTTGGTTCACTGAGAAGGAGCTTCTAAGTGACATCTTCCGCCGCGGCCTTCTCAAAGCAAAGCAGCCCGACTCGGATGTACAGAACCACATCGACTTCGGTCTGTCCGTACTAGCAGAGGTTACCAGAATCAGGGGGTTGGAAAAGGGAGAACAGGAAAAGACGTCAGTTGAGCTGGAGAAAGTACAACTGCTGTCGCGGTACGGTGCTGCCACAAAAGCGCGGGATATCGCCGTCGAAGGACACAAGTTCGACGCCAATGCAACCGTCGCTCAAAAAGCCTTTTCGAAAAATATTTGGAAGACCATGCTCCTTGGTATAGCGCGTGAGGGCAATGTGGAGGAGATGTTGAAGACCGTTGAGTTGCTGCAAGAATGTTTTGTACCCCTGGTGCCGTCCATGCGGAGAACGCTCGTGAACTTTTTCGCAGAACACAATGACTTGGAACGAGCAAAGCACTGGTACTCGCAACCGGTTTACAGAAAAGAAGGCAGTGAAGACTCCGACTCTCACGATGGTGCTCATATTGCCCTGCTGAAAGCATGCGCATTGAGTGGCGACCTGACTTTTGGTCACCAAGTTGTGGCTTCGTTGCTCAAGGGCGCCATGCCGAACAAGGAAGCCTGGGACGCTATCTTCCTCTGGTCTACTGCTATTGGCAAGGGTGTCGACGAGGTGGACCGCATGATGACTGTTATGATTCGACGTAATGACGAGGCGCGGCAAAAAGATCCCTCCTTGCCCCCCATGGAACCTGATATTGAGACCATCAATGCTCTGGTCGAGTTTTCCATGTCGAGGCAGGACCCTTACTCGGCTGAGCGCTACATAGTACTCGGAGAGAAGCGAGGCATTGAGCCTAACGAGAAAACGTTTACCATGCAGATGCAATACCGTCTCTCAGTGAAAGATATCGATGGGGCAAGAGCTGCGTACTACAACTTGCAAGGCAACTTTGCTGGATCTGAAGAGAGTGTGGCGGTCATCAACCGACTCGTCCAAGCTCTGTGCCAGTCAAAACAACACCACTTCGACGACATAATGGCTATCGTGGATGACCTGCACGAGCGAAAGGCCCACTTCGAACCAGAAACTGTCGGGGTACTGTGTGTCCTTCATCTCCGTCGAAACGAGGTAGTGGATGCTCAGGATTTACTCCAAGTACACGCCCATCAGTACTCTCCGCCACAGCGCAGTATAATTCGAAAAGCTCTCCAAGCGTTTTTGATGGACGGCGAGACCAGCACAGCAGATGCTTGGGACACTTACCAGATTCTGCGCAACGTATTCAGCGAAACCACGCGCGACGACCGCATTCCCATTATGAACGAGTTCTTCGCACGAGAGCGCTCTGATATGGCTTGCCATGTCTTCTTCCACATGCGCAACCACGTTGGCAGACTCCAGGTTGCCAACCGAGACGTTTATGTTGCTGCTTTCACTGGCTTTGCGCGTTGCGCAGATGCGGAATCCCTTGAGCTTGCACACAACCAACTCAAATTAGACTTGAACGTTGACATGGATACGCGACTGCGCAACTCGCTGATGCTTGCCTATGGTGCGACTGGAAACAACAAGAAAGCGCTACAATTTTGGAGGGAGATTTGCGAGAGCAAGGAGGGTCCTTCGTATAATAGTATCAGCATCGCGTTTCGCTCCTGTGAGGGTATGCCATGGGGAGATGAGCACGCCAAGTCGATATGGGCGCGTCTGAAAGAGCAGGATGTGGAGATTGACAAGAACATATGGACGGCATACATGTCTGCGATATCTAGAAACCATCTCCACGACGAGGCGCAGGCGCTTGTGGAAACTGTGGAAGACGAGTATGGTTTCACGCCTGATCTCGCCATGTAAGTTTATTTCTCTCGCAACTCTTGAGAGTTTGGGTGGCTTTGCTGACGGAGATGTAGTCTGGGCAGCTGGTTCAATACGACGACCAATATCGAAAGACAGGGACAGGTCGAGGAGTGGATCAAGCAACGGTACCCTGACGTGTGGAAGGAGATGGACGCCCTGGGGCATTGGGTCACGATGGATGGGTTTGGGTACCGGCAGTACAACATCAATCGCAATTTAGATCCGTAAAAGAGGCGTATGGCATGTAAAAGAAAGAATCGCAAGAGTTGACAACAAACGAAGAATGTTGTTGCAAGTCACTTCGTTCAAAGTCATTACCTGTAGTCGAGACTAATCGTTGCTACGCTCTGCTGGCCCATACTATCGGGCCTGCTTCACCTCCCCTCACTCGTCTTCGTTTGTTCATCTCTCACTTGGGTTTCACCCCGATTGTCACCGCTCTTTGCCTTGAACTGGATGGGGTATATATAAAAGGTTTACTGCCCCAGTTCTCGTCTTTCTTCTCCACCACACTGTTCTGCTCCTCTAGACTTCAACTTGCGGTCGCTATAACACCGATAACTACTCACTTACTATCCAGTTACCGACTGCTAATCGCTTACCTCCCTCACAACACAACACGATCGACTCAAGGTACATTCCCTACCAATTCCGCCACACTACTCAAAATAACCGCTAACTCCACCAGTCACAATGCTACTCTCCCTCCTCCTCAGCCTCCTCGGCCTCACCAGCCTAGCTCTCTGCATCCCCGCACTCCCCTCCCTCCCTCCCTCTTCCGCCGTCGCCATCCCTTACAACCTCCCCAACATCAACACCAACACGAACACCGCCCCCACCTCACAGCAACCCGGCTGGACCCAGCTCTGCACCGGCAACTCCCACGACGGCGTCTGCCTCTCCGTGCACTCGCTCGACAACACCTGCACCACGATCGCCGCACCCGTCAAGTTCAACGTCTGGAGCATCACGCAGCACAAAGGCGTGTTTTGCACGTACCACGAGAAAGACGACTGCAGTGACAAACACCGCTATACGCTTGATTCGTACAGCATAGACAAGAGCAGTCAGTTAACCGACGCCCACATCGCGACGAAGATCGGGGCCGTGAGGTGCCACGAGAGCAAAGGCTTAACCGCAACTAAGGAGGAATCCAAGCGCACCACCGCCCTCTCCCCCAACATCCTCGCCAGCCCAGGCCGCCTAGTCCTCTGCCCAGACGCCGACTTCCGCGGGGAGTGCGTCGAGATCAACGCGCTGAACATCTGCGTGCAGCTGCGCGGCGCCATCTGGAAGCACGTCTACTCGATGATCCAGTCCCCCGGCGCGGTGTGCTACTTTGTGGCTGACGATGGGTGCAATATTACTATGCCGGTGCTGATTGTGGATTCGAAGAAGAGTCAGGGGGAGGTGAATACGGAGTTGAAGATGGATCGGGCGGAGCGGATTACCGGGGTTATGTGTGGGGGGAGGGCGTGAGTGGGAGGGGTGGGTGTCTGACTTCTTCGGATATTTGAGGTTGGTTGGGTGGGTGGGATTATGGGGATGTGGTTGGGGTCTTTCTATGGTACCCCTTAGCTTACCCCGAGAGGTATTAGCATGCTAGTATGGATTTGATGCTGGAGATTAGATGGACTATCCTACGACCAATATAACCTCACAACTGCTTAACATCTCAACATTCACCTTACACTCACAAATCCTAGTCTGATTGATGACCAAGTATCATTATCATTACTACAATTCATGTCTTCAACCTTTACATACCCCAAATAATGCATATAACCCCACTCACACGCAATGCAAAACAGCGCACCAAAGCGCAAAGCCAACCAAGCCAGAAATAAAAGGGGGGGAATCATAATACCAGCCGCTCCGCAAAGCCTCCCAAAGAAAACCCACAAGAACCCACCAATCATTCTACTTAATGCCCCTCGTTAATCCCGATTTATGACTCTCAAACTCCTCCTCGGATTAAGCAGCACACCCCTCGTGCCCCAGAAGCTCGGCTCTTGCCCATCAAGCAAGTCCTCGGTGATACTCCCAGCACTATTCCTTCTCCCGAGGTAGCCCGCCGCGCCTCCATACCCCGTCCCGTTCTCTGCGCTCCCCCGCCCGACGTCGAAGCTCTCGGCCGCCGCTCCACCTCCACGGCTCCCGCTCAACGTCCCCTGCGGACGCTCCGAACTCGTCTTGGCCTGCGAGGAAGTGGACGTGGCGGATTTCTCCTGGTTGGCGCGCGTCGTCATGACTGCGGCGTGGTCCTTCCAGATCTGGACTTGTTTGCGGTAAATGTATGCGCAGAAAGCAAAGTAGCCTGCGATGATGGCGAATACGCCTGCGAGAACGCCGGCGATGATGGCGGCGATGTTAGTACCTGACCCTTTTTGGGAAACTTGACCGCTGTCGACGATTTGAGTAATGGTAGCGCCGTTTGCTCCTGTCACGGTGTATGTCTGCGGCTTGCCTGTTTTGAGAGGGCCGCCCGTGGGTGTCTGGACGGGCGCCGTGAGAGTCGCTCCGCCTGTTGCGCCGCCGCCGATGACGCTTTGGACAGGGTTTGGAACTGCGTAGCCGTATGAGCCTTCAACACCAGCTGCAGGACCGTAGCCTCGCTGGTTTGCCTGCTGAGCTAGTGGATTGCCGACGCTGTTGCTACCGCTGTAGGACTGTAGAGCTTTGTCTCCTGTAAGGGCAGTGAATTGGTTGGCCCAGGAGAGACTGGTCATGTTGAAAACGTAGATGCCAGGATATTCGCAACCTATTTCTGTTCCGATATAGCCGCCGACAACAACCATTTGGCCGTCCCAGACATGGCATGCATGGCCAGCGCGTGCATACGGAGTCTGGCCCTGTTGATCGACTTTGATCCAGGTAAAGGAGGGGACGGAGAGGATCCACATGTCATCTTTTTGGGTCTGGACTGTCTGAAGGTCCTGGCCGCCGAACATATAAATGTTATATGACGAGCCGCTGGAGGAGGTGGGATTAGTACAGAAAGAAACAAGGTAAGAAGGCGAGACTCACTCTGCAGCGGCTGCGACTACAGTGCAAGGGTTGACGCGGTACTCTGGCAAGCTGCCAGATGTACTCTGCTTGTACCAAGTCGAATTGGCAATATCGTAGACGTCGATAACGTTCATTTGCGTCTAGGTTCAAACGTTAGTTTCTGTTGTTTTGTTCTCTTGCAAAAGGAGAACTTACGAAAGTATCATTATCGCCACCGGTGAGTCCGATCAACAGACCCTCGTCGCCGAAACCTGGGACGTAGACAAGAGCGCCATCAGCTCGCTCAGGAAAGGATCCAGTGTTCTGAAGACCGCCCTCGGTGATGTTCCTGAACACGCCATCGTCACCAGCTGTCTTGTTTTCCTTTAGCGAGTCGACGGCATTGTTCTGATGTCCAGGGAATGTGAATTCCAGCAAGCTCTTCAAGTAAATCCTATCGATCTGGTTGCTCCAACCCTCAGTGGTAAGATCGTCAAGATGACCGCCAAAATACCATCCTCTGCCCAATGCAGCGACTCCGAATCCTGCTCCCTCCGCAGCCCGTTGCACGCTTTGTCCGTCGCCTTCGGAATAATCACCAGCTGAGGTTTTGGGGTCGTCATGCTCGATCCAATTTTTGCTGACAATGTTGTATTCCCATATTGAGTTCGGCCCAGGGGCGACCCTGGGTGAGTCAGAATACTGGCCACCGTAGAGCCACAGTGAATCGTGCGAAGCCCAGAGCTGGCCAAGCGACACGGCAGGAGGACCGCTTGGCTTGGGGAGGCCGGTTAGGGAGGGATTGGAGATTTGCCATGAGTTTGTGAGATCGAGGGTGAGGAGGTCGTTCGCTATGCAGGCGTTAGTATTGGGTTGGTTTGGCAGCTGAGTGAGTGCATTGAGCAATTGACGACTTACTCCATGTGTTGCTAGTCTGCTTCGCATCCGTGTCGGTGCGGAATCCGTACATGTATAGGGTGCCATTGACGATGGTGCTTTGTCCGCTCCATCGCTTGCAAACCTCGACAGTCGCGTCATCCCGTTTGACCAGCATGGATCCTTGTGCGCGTGCTTCGATGAAGGCCTCTGGAATAATGCTGCCCCTTGCTCCAATTCGCGTCATGGGGTTGAATTGGAATATCGGCAGCATCAACGCCACCACCAGCGCAAACAGACCTAACCGGTAGAGTTTCGAATTCGACATGAAGGGCTGGCTTTGGCGCAATGTGGGTGTTGCTGTCAAGTCGCGATGCTCGTCTTCGTCCACGACCGACTCCCAATCGTCATCGTCATTTTGCTCCTTTTGCTCTCCGAAAATATCGTTGCGGCTGCGGAACCTGACCGTCCTGGCTGGGCGGAGCTGGCTTAACGCTATCGAAACTGGCGCTGGGCTGCGTTCGTCTCGCATCGTGTCCGCGTCGACGAGTCCGACTTCTGTGAAGATGCTCCTTCGACGGACGTTTGCATCGGCTGCGGGTTGCGGTCGTACTTGCTCCATGGCGTGTTTCCCTTTGCGGTCGCGTGCGTTGTCCAAGGGGGGACAGGCTAGTGGTATTGTCGGTGTAAGCGGCGTCGAGGTCGAGGCACGAACACAGTCAACAGTCCACGGGCTCAACTGACATCGGACACAGGCGAGAGGCGAGGCCAGGCGGGAGGGATATGGCAAGGCGAGATGGCGATCAAACGACACAACAGTGGAGCTCAATCAAAGCCTCTCCCAGGGTTGAGATGAAATGCGTGCGAGGAACAAGCCTGGCAACGCAGAGCACAGCGGTGATTAGACAGCCATGAACAAGCTGCTCCGTCCTCACGCTCGGGTGCACGCTATCCGGACGCGCTCGCCATGCCGTTTGGACAGGTGGGAGAGGGCGCACGTCATGAGGCGGCCGCTAACAGTAATGATCGGACGTCTACCGTCCATGACTGGGGTCGTGTTGGCTGCTCTATTGGCCGGCCCAGTGCGAATTAAGCGTGACATGTGCCAAGACGGGCTGATCAGGGAAGGCTTGACTGCCGCATGCCAGCATCTGCCTTTGTTTTGCAACGCTGTGCCTGTCCCTGAATTTCACAAACAGTCGCTCTGCCGTTCCGCGGAGGCACTGCACACATTCAGGTTTCGTGCCAACTGCTTGTTTTGGCGTCTTCCAGCCGTTGTTGGGTTTTTGGGCCTTGTCCCCCCTCGCCCAGGCAATCGACACACCACCAGAGATTCTAGCGCTGCACCTGACATGTCGTACGCACGCACTTACAGGATCCGCTGTAATGGGACATTCGATAGTCTAGTCCATCGTATCTGGCCCTTTGTGCACCCCTGAAGTTCTAAAAATTGCGCCTTTGATCATCAACGTCAAATAACGGTCAGTAGCTTGCGGGATGGAGACGCGGCTGTGATCGGTGGGTGGCGGGAAACCGCGGTTTTGGGACGCTCGCCTCAACTACACGAGGGCTCACTACAGTACTGAGGAAAGGCCAAACACTCACTCCCACATGATGCTTTATATTCTTGACTATCATTTGCAGGTCCACACTGTCTGCGTATGCTCCTCGTTACCGTCATCCTCCTCTCACTTCTCAATACCCCCCCTCGTGACATACATCAAATGCTTGAACCCGTCTTGGACCTCCGGAAACGTATCCTTCGTCGGCGACTTGATCCTTGCATACGAGACCTCGATCTCAAAGCCCTCCGCAACCTTCGCATCAACAACATGATCATCAGCCTGTCGACAGGTTAGTATTGATACAAGGGCCCAACGCGAGAGTGCACAAATGCACGAAACAGGACAAGACACTAGGTACTCACCAGCGAAACCCTCCACCCCAGGTTCTCCGCCAAATACTCCCTCACAGCCCTATCATGCATGCCCTCCAACATGCCCTTCCCCACACGTTCCTCAAGCGCCCTGCTCAACGCAACAACCCCGTTTTCTTCTGCTCCGTCGGCCGCCATCTCCACGCCCTTCGCCTGGAAGCCAGTGAAGCCCACGAAGCCGGGATCGCGCATCCAGCTCGCCGTGTCGGTGTCTGGGGCGCTCTTGTACACTTCGCGTGCAGCGTCGAGGAAGATGTAGACTTTATATGCTGCGCCAGGGTTCCGGGTGCGGATGTTGGCAAAGTAGTGGTATTGGAAGATGTCCAATTCAGGTTGACAGTGAGGAGTGGAGCAGACTGCGGCTGGGGATTGAGGTTCGATGGTAGCCGATGGCTGTTCCTCGATGATGGTTGAGGATTGAGGTTCAAGTGTACTTGTAGGCAAGGCTGGATACTCCGGCGTGCTTGGGGAGCCCGTCGGACAATTTATGGGCACAGGCTGGATGATAGGATCTCCGCCTCTGAACGAGAACTGCGACGTCGCATTCTCCCCGTAGAGGGCGTTGACTCGACGGATGAGCGTGACGTCTTCTGACAGGCCGATGAGTTCAGGATAAGTGTAGCCAAAGACAGTATGATCGCGGACGGTCGCCGAGGTCCAAAAGTCTCCTGCACTGTTGCAGCGAAAAGGGTGTAAAGCTATTGCTGTAAGTGACCATGACGATAAAGAAGTGGAACTAGGAACATACGAGTATTCTCGTCTGCCCAAGAATTCTTAGGCGTCGTAAACGTAGCCTTGGGATTCGTGTGGTTGGTGACATAGCTCTCCGGGTTCAGAGCTTGCCAGATGGCAAACATGCGGTCAGTGTTTCTGGTCCTCGCATCAGTAAACCACATACAGCGACCAACGACAAGTTTCACTTACGCGTGCAAAAGCCAAAATACTGGGTCGAACGCCGAGTAGGCGATCTGTGTCAAATGCCCATTACTTCCTACACTATGGTGAATCGAGTCGTGGACCGACTCGAGACTGTCCACCACCACGCCACTGAGCTCGCTATTCACCGCGTTGTTGCTGAAATTGTGATACTCCTTCTGCATAGACAACATATAGTACGTTCGTTGCCGAAGATTAACCTGGTTCGCGTCTAACTCATACGCGACCTTGCCGTCCTGGCTCTCCGCGTCTGCGTTTCTGTTGGACGGGAAGCGCTTTGTGGTATTCCAGCGTGTGAATCTCGAATCAGAACCCTTGAAAGCGTCGATAGGCAAGGGGTGGAATGCATATGAGAACAGCGGATTTGGTATATCAGTCTTGACTGATGTGTTCCCGTCGGGTAGTTCGACCGTCATGGTACGCATTTGCACACATGCTGGATACGATCCTTCGCCTTCTGGAGGTACAGCTGCTGCATCCCAGTATGGCATTCTGAATGTTTCAAGCGCAACGTTCATGCGATCTTTGAGCTCACCGTCAGGAAATCCCAAGACAACTTCTCGAGCGTTGACGTATAGAAGCTCCTGCTATTTGTGAGTGCGGGACAGATATTTGAGAATCGACCAACTTTACCTCCATCAAGGCAAGATACGGCCTATGCCATGTTGGGAATATGTTGCTACTGTGCGCGCAATAGCCGTCTTTCCCTTCTGGATGTTTCTCCACACCATCCCACGACACAAAAGGTCGGCCATGTATACCTAAAGCTGGTAAGCACGAATACGACAATGCCACTGTAGGTTTCGGATGCCGATTGTACCAGAGATCTGGAAGTAGGAAAGCTTTTCGTCTTGACTTATGCTTTGGAATCGTTGCAAACCCAGCAGGTAGACGTTGAATTGGTCTGGATTTCGTTCCAGCTCGCGGACCTCGAGTCGAGGGAACTTTGTATCAATTCCGAGCCGAGGGACGCCAGAGACGACGTGAATGGTGTCGTTTGCTTGACGCCTTGTAGGAGCTGCGGCGCCTTTTGTGACACGACGTTCCTGCCCGCCAATGGTGGGATTCGAATTAGAACGGGAGAAAAGTAGACTGATAAATAGAACAAAAAGAAGTCTGGATACCCCAACGAGTTTGCTTCTCGCCATGCGTAGTGCTTTTGTGGAATAAGCATTAAATGGAAGCCGACAGTCAAACCAAACTCTCGGCGAAGTTATGACACGTCCTTGAAGTAGGTGATAAAGAAACAGTAGCAATGTACTGATGATATCGACATGTACCAGTGCCACAAGGACAGTCGATAGCAACGTGATATACGTATCACCAGCAGCCGTCAATATCTTGGAGGCCAGTCCTCGAAACAGGCTGATGTTGCGCTCACGTTGCACCGGACCAGGGCATCCCGGAGTATGAGTTCACAAATAGTATAGTGATGCGGAACTTGAGCAGTATGGCGACGAAATGTCGTGGAAAACATTTCTTGCGCGTACACATTGAAGACAGTGTCGTCTCAGGCTGACCAGACCCGCAGCGAGTCCTAGTCACACCGTTGTCAGCCCAGCCTCACAGTCTTCCAAAATTCTTTGTGCGCGCGATAGTGCTGGAGGTATTGTGCCAGGAACAAGGCACTGTTGTCATTGGTCAGTTGATAGACACGGTGAACACAACCTACACTACGTTCTACGTTCAACAGGTAAGCACGCAACTAGATTGAGACATCGTACAACATACATACGGGTCCGACTTCCTACTTTGCTATCATCGCGGTTCACTACCTAATAGCCGGCGCGATATTCAACAATATCACATATTCTGGTGATACGCTTGTTCGGCTGAGAACTACAAACAGAACAGAAGACACCCACCCCTGATATTTATCACTAATCCCCTATCGTCCCACCCATAACACCTAGAAAACTCCCCGCTTTCATACCTATACAAACCCCTCAAGTAGCAGACCATTCATCGAATGGACAAGGTCAAGAAACATTATAAGCCGGTTGTATGGACAAAGTATCTGATACCTCGCAAGTTAGGTGCTGGTCTAAAAATACCTAGAGGCAAAAACTCTGCAGGCTTTGCTTAGAGATGCAATGTCCACTAAGCATTGTCTCCGTTTCCTGTATCGTCGTGGTGCATCTCAGTTCCATGAAACGCATCGCCAAACGCTGAGTCGTCTACAAGGTCCAAGCCCAAGTTATCGTCATGCCCAAAATCTGCCAATGCATCTCCGGCAGTGTCAAGGTTGTCGAAGCTCCCAAAATCTGCCGTATCGAACATGCTACCTGCTTCAACATCTATGTTTGATTGAGGTAGAGCATTCGAGTCTGTCGCGGGAAGATTGTTGCTTGTCATGGCCTGCTGAGCGTTCGCACGAGCATGTTGTGCATCGCCAGACGACTGCTCATCAAGGTGGACCCAGTCTTTTTCGAGCGAATTCGTCATACCCGACATTTCTACGTCAAGATCCAGAAGGTCGTTGCCAGCATCTGCATCCATATTTGAGACTTGCCGATCGAACGTTGAGGGCTGCGAGGTGTGGCCAATATGTGCATGTGGTGTGCCAACAGCAGACTGCGACTGAGAAGGTGGTTGAGACATCTGGGGGATTGAGAAGTTACCAGGAGTTCCGGATAAAGACCCAGATCCGTACTGATCGAGCAGGCTGGCTGCTGTGTTATCAGCTTCCATCGCCCCGTCATTGTGCATATCATTCGACGCGCCGTTCGCACCCTGTTGTGCTCCGTGGCCATTTACTTGAGCCTTTTGTGGTTGGGGCTGTTGTGCTACGATGTATCCGCCCTTTTCCACGCAGACAACCGACTTCTTCGCATCGAATGTCACTCCCAACGATTCCTCCAGGTCCTGTACCACTCCTTCTGACGGGTCTGATCCCTCGTTCTCGCCATCTACTGAGCGTGACAGATCCCGTAACCGCCTCTCAGCCTTGATGTATGTTCGAGTCCGTTTCAGTTGGCCCATCTTCCTTGCATGGTCCGCCTTCATCTTTTCAATCTCAGCCTGTTCCTTTGAAGTGTATTCCGACACACGTGTCTCAAAGTCCTTGAGCTGAGCGGGGTCCAGCTTGTAGTAGTTCTTGACTTGGTAGTTTTCCTTTGCAGTATCCGCGTTCTCTGCGCCTGGAACATCTAGAATACCAGCAGTCAGGGGAGCGAGCTCGCCCATGAGGCCTAATCCAAGATCAATGGGCGCAATCTTGCCCACAGCGTAGGGTGACGAGAATATCTCCTCCATCCACTCATGGTGTTGCTTGTATCTAGAAAGACTGATTTCGCGAGGACTGAGGTAGTCGAAAGCGTCGTGGGTCGCGTTCTCCTCATCATCAAGTGTGGGGTCTGGGGCGATGACGCTTGAAACAGGTGGACGAGCTTGAGGCTGCGGCGGCAAACCGCGCTGCCGCTTAGCTGGCGGAGGCTGGGCTACGTATGGTCGTCCTGGCTGCATAGGGTTGTAGTATGGCTGCTGGCCTCTCATAGCTGCTGGCTGTCCAAACTCGACCTTGGGCCAGTTGGCCTGGTCGTGCAGCATGAACTCTTTGCGCATAAGCGGACCCGCGGCTTGGAGCTGGGCGCGCATCTGTAGCGTCGCGTGCATCTCCCGTGGTATCGGTATCTGGCTTGCAGGGATTCGGTGGTTCGCGTCTGCTGGTCTGTAGTGGATCAACCACAGGTTAGGGTCGAAGGCGCCAGGTCCTGCTGCAATCCTGTAGCGGAAACGGGCGTGCATTGCGTAGGGTTCGTGCGGGTAGACGTAACCGCTGTTGTGGACCAACACCTGCAGAGTGTAGCCTCGCGCATTCATATCATAGGCCGTCTCCGCGTCGGCCCACACGATGCCATCAGAGGCAAAGTGTGTATGCATGCGCGGCGGCTGCCAGGCGAGAACAACGGTGCCATCTTGAGGCGGAGACGCGAAGTAGGTCCAGGCGACGGGGGACGTGTCGCGCACTATCTGGGGGCCTTTGATGAGATATTCTAGTGCTTGTGCGGGCTGGAGGCTGGGAAGCGTCGGGAAGCGATACGAAGAGATCAGATGGACATGGGCGAGCTGCACGATTAGCTATGCACAAGATGAGCGAAGAGCTACCAAGGAGCACCCACAAGGTGAGGCGGCACCTGCGCACTCGGGTCGACGGCATTGTAGGCTTGCTGCATACCATACATGGTGCCGGATGCAATACGACAGCGATACTGCGTGCGTGAAGGCTTCAAGTGGTGCGCGAACGCGAGAGTATGTGGAGTCGTTGGGCGCGTTCGTTCTCGAGCGTCGCGACTTGCTTTGCCAAGACTAACCCCAGCTTATATAAGCAGCTCCGAGCTCTTCCACATTCACTCAGTTCGTCATTCACTACCCTCACCAGAACTGCTCTACACGTTGGATATGATGTTAAAATCGAACTGAACAAACTAACGGGAAGATATGATATATTCGTTTCGTTATCACGTCTCAGCGACGGTCAACGCCACTAATCCTGATATCAAAAAAAGAATCTGCCGTTATGCGACCAGTACTGTTAGCACTAGGTATTCTAACCCCCTCAACAAGCTTCTGCTCGTCGATCGTCTTCTGCTTGTCAGCCAATCTCGGCCCCGGCTCTGTATAACCCGTCTTTATACGGCAGTAACCAGGAAACTTCTTTGCGCCGACAGGAGATCTGACCTTGCCGTCGTAGTCGCGCTCCACAATGCATCCGCAGATGAACCCAATGGTCGCCTTCGTATTCATCGCAGAGCCGTACAGACCCATGTATGTGTTGTTCACTGCCAGAAAGTTCACTAGCGATTGCAGGATGGTGACTTCTGAGGTTTGCTAGTGGTAAGACGGACTTCGACCTCATCTATTGCGTCGCCGAGTTCGTGGATAATGTCGTCGGTGAAGAGTACGTGGGTAGCGTGGATACTGTAAGTGACTTGAACATCTCGTTCGGTGAATGGGTAGCACATGCCTAGGCAGTGGACATCCGATGGGACGCAGTGGTGTTTTCTCAGGGGTAGAATTCGCAGCATTCGCGCCCGATGTTTTGCTCTCCTCTGAAGAAGCAGTCTTTCAACCCTATTTGGTTGACTTATCCTTCTGTGTTATCACCTATACATCCGACGGTAACATCTACTAACAAGATTGACGGTTGTTAAGATACAGTGAAGAGGAGGACGTTCTCTAGCCAAGACAAGATAATATTCTAGCTGCCCACGTGGATCACGATGAAATTACGCTTTTGTAGGCGTATGTTAGTGAGTGCCTGATCGCCTGTATGTCGCATCCATCGCGTAGATCGGGTTGACAAATGTTGTTCCTCCGGCATCAACCGTGCAAGTGGCACAGCAGTTTGCCATGGGAACTCATAACGAACGAAAATCGCATGTTTGGTTTTCCCCAGCTGTTTTCCTCACTCGAGTATCCTGTAAGAGCATGCGATCGGTGAACTTTTTCTAGAGTGTATCTCTGTTTTTTACTAAACTCCTATTCAACTCCATCAACTAATCACTTCCCGACTGTTACAGTCTTTGACTACTGCAATGGACACGGTGTATATGAGGGAGAGCCGCCAGATTGAGGTTATCGTGATTGCGTGGGTTATGACAGGAGCTGCCATCTTCGCAGTTGCCGTCAAGCTCTTCACTCGTGTACGAATTGTCAGAGTGGTCGGATGGGATGATGTTTTCATTGTCTTCTCTCTTGTAAGAATCTTGACTTCCACATCACCTGAAATGGATATTGATAAATTGACATAGATACTTAGCATCGCTGCTTCTTCTTTCGCCCATTATTCAGCGCACCTGGGGTTCGGCCGACCTATGGCCGCCGTACAAACCGAGTTCGGTCAGGACCGTTTAGTTGTGACGGCGAGATGGCAGATGATTGGATATCGTATGTACTTCCCAGCATATAACGATGACCTTGACTAACATTGAAGTAGCATTTAATATTGGTATGTTTCTATTTGATAAACATTTACAGTTCACCGAATAACGTCCCATTAGGTGCTTTCAGTTTTCCCAATATCTCGATCGTCATTCTCGTCTGCCAGTTACTTGACCCGAAACCTCTACGGACACGGCTGCTATATGGAATGACCATTCTGCAAATTCTTTTCGCAATGATTACAGTAGTCATCACCTTTGTGCAATGTACACCAACCCAGAAGTTATGGGATAAGACGCTGCCGGGGACGTGTTGGGATCCGAGTATTCTCAATAACTTTTCGTACTGGTTGTGCGCCTATACGACCTTGACCGACTTCGTGCTGGCGATCGTACCAGTTGTAACCTTTTGGAAACTTCAGATGAAGCAGTCTACTAAGTTTGGTCTGTGTGTCATGATGAGTCTCACTATGCTCTCAGCCATCGTTACGATCGTGAAGGGTACGTACTTACACCTATTCACCGATGCTCCCGACATCCGTAAGTACACCCCTCAGGCTTAGAAAGCTGTCTTATTGCTAACAGCTTGGAGTCTACGATCCAGTACCTTTAGTTCTCTGGGGTTTGTAAGCCACGCTTCTCTTACTCGTCCGGTTACAAAAGGCAGATTTACGGCTCAGGGTTGAACAAAACGCTGTTATAATGGCCGCTTGTGTCTCCACGATGCGCCCGTTTTTCCACAAATCATGGATTCACGGAACAAGCAGTAGACAAAGCCGACCTGCCTCGGCAAACCAGCTCACAATCCTTTCATTGCGGCGTAGTCATGCAGGCCATAGGCAAGTGGATTCGATCTCGAACATCCCGCTCGATGAAATGGAAAACAGGGATTATGCAGAGTCCAGCAGCTCACAACAGAGCATATGCCATACTCTTAGAGTGTCTATGGAGCGCCAGGAGGACCCTTCAAGCAAGATCGGCTGTGCGAGTAAGAGTGTACCCTTGGTTATGATGGATGCAAAAACCCGATGAACTGGTACAGGGATGGAGTGCCTAAGGATGGCCTTCCCCCTCATCTGAAAAAGAGGATTCGTGTTGGACGATGGGGCGATGATATGTTTAATATGGGGCCGCATACCAAATCCTCTGAAGTGCTGCAATCCCTTGGGCTACGCCACATGTTCCACTTCTTGGTACCACGCCGCTTAACGGGGTTATTTCCTAAATAGGCATGACAAAATCTAACCCGACGGAACGATTGGCATTTTAATGGGCTGTTACGGTGATCGTACGCTAAAGGGTTCCTCCTCCGTGGCAGTTTAGTAGGAAAACAACGCGGGGAGGATTGCGTGGTGAACGATAAGCTAAAACGATTGTGGAGCATGAGATCCTTCATGGATCGATGTAACAACTCATTTATGCAAAAAGTATGTTGGTCTGCTTCTTTAAGTACAGCGAACAGGTTCGACTGTCTGGTAAATTCAGCCACACAGATGGCAACGAAACCGGTCTCCTCGATACTTGAAGGCATTGCCGCCGCTGGCAAGGCTTATGGATGCGATCAACTCGGCTCTCGTGAGTCTCTCATTGAGCTCAGCAGAGAGCTTGTAGCTACACTTGAGATTCCCAGTGAATTCCTACAAAGGAGTTTCTGGGCAGAGGTCAGTAGACAAAACACTGTCAAAGTTGCATACCATACTCATCATACGACAGCCAGCATTATCCGCACATTGCAAGCTTGCCGTCGAAGTAAAGCTCTTCCAACACCTCAAAGATGCCGGTGAATCAGGAATTACATCCGAAGATCTCGCTCAGAAGACAGGTGTTGATGTACTCTTACTGCGACGTATCATGCGACATCTTACTGCCATGAAGCTTGTCTACTTCTCCAACAGCAAATTCCATGGTACACCACTCAGTCATGGGCTAGCAGCAGATAACTATCAGAAGAGTATAGACTTCTGTTATGATGTCGCACGACCATCTTTCGAAGGATTACCTAGGTTCCTGAAAGATACCAACTACAAGATGCCCACATCCATTACTGCTGGCCCCTTCCAAGCCGCTCATGGGACCAATCTAGCATTGTTCGACTGGTTGGATGCTACACCCCCTCATCTTACCGAGTTCGATGCTTTCATGTCCGCCTACCGAGCCGGCAAAGCAAACTGGTGGGACACCGGATTCTATCCGGTTGCCGAGCGTCTGTTCGACGGCTTCGACCCTAGCAACAATGAGGTGCTTCTGGTGGACATTGGTGGCGGTCTTGGACATGATCTACAGCAATTTGCTACCCGGCATATCTCAAACCCCGGACAACTAGTACTACAGGACCGTGAACCCGTGATCGCTAGCATCAACAATAAAGAGAATCTCCCATTCCAAAGCCAGGCGTACGATTTCTTCACTCCACAGCCAATCAAGGCCGCGCGAGCGTATTCCCTCCATTCTATCCTGCACGACTGGCCTGATGAGGATGGCATTAGGATCCTGGAAAATCTCAAACCAGCGCTCAAACCAGGTTACTCGCGAGTTCTTCTGAATGAGATTGTCATGTCGGAAGAATATCCCACACTGGCTGCCACATCAATGGACATGATGATGATGACTCACGTTTCTGTTCTTGAGCGGAGCGAGGCGCACTGGAGGACCATGCTTGCCAAGGCAGGATTGAGAGTTCTGAATATTTACACCTATCCAGGGGTTGCGGAGAGCGTGATTGAGGCAGAGATTGCCTATGTAATCTAGGTTTGATACCAGGGGATATAAGTGTTGAGCATAGTACTGTGGCTTTTCAAGAGTCGCTACTATCACGTAGAGATGGTGCAAATATCTTCTATCTCTTCCACGAATGGGTTGCTAAAGGATATCTTGACGAGCCATGCCATCACATGTTGACAGAATATGTGATCCATACTTCTTGATCCACCCTGTCCATGTGGAGGAACCCATCTAATAGCGTTATTATACTCGACTACAGAGCTCAGGAAGAGTGCTGAGCGAGTAGGACGTATGTAGTAATCGAGAGAAACAGCGTAAATATGCTGACCTAGAGGCGGCAAACAGGAGGATCTATGAAGAAGTAAAAACATACCGCTAACGACAGGCCCATTAGCGAGAGATGACAAGAGCCACGTAAACATAGTATAGCGTCCAATGATACCATCTTGAATGTGCCTACTATTCGATAGATCGCACACTACGTTCAAATTCATATATCTTCATAAAAGCTGAGCATGTCTTCACCAAAATATGGTGAAGCGTAAGAGGCGACAGTAAATTATACCCGCCCTTGGTGTCAGTCCGCAGCTTCTTATTTCTCTGTCGCCATACATGTCAGAGCTTTGTGGGCAGTCGTGGATGGCATGTACTGCACGCGCGGACAAATGGCCAATCACAAAGCAATGGAGCGAAAGATGTGTGAGTGGAGTTTATCCATGCCCATATCAGAAGTAGAAGAAGTGAAGAAGTAAGAAGAGAATATCCGCTTTTGCGTCCACATGTCATGTATGTAAAACTATGAAATGGGTACTACACCACCCCAAGCGAAACCGAAGACTTTATATCATGAGCCAGTGTGAGAATCCACGCACATGTGCGAGCGCTCCGAGACGCCAAACCCATCCATTCCGACCCACCCAGACCACTATTCGCAGCCCGTGACGCCAATGCTATGCATTCACCAAGATAGCTCCCCCAGCCAGCCGGGACAAGACTCGCCAAAAACGCCGTATAAATACATGCACAAGATGTGACACTCTCTACGCTAGATAGCGGTACGAGTCGACCTTTGCGCCTTCGACGCGTTCCAGGTATTCGCGCTCGATAAGCGACTCGATGCGCTTCTTGATCATGTTGACTTCGGGCTTGAACTGTCCGACCAGCTGGTTGAGCGTCTCGATGATGAGCTGCTGGTGGGAGAGCTCTTTGCGTTGTCTAGGGTGATTGTTAGCGTCGACGTAATTTTCCGCGTCAGGGGCATACGTACTTCATGATCCGCACGACTGCAGCCTCGATGCAGAACTGCCGCGAATCATCGTTCTTCTTCTCTGTCTCCCGTCGTTCCCGGTCGCTCTCGACTTTATTCCCGCTGCTAACGACGCCGACCTTGATCTTCACAAATTTCCCGCTGAAGCCTTCGTTGAACGAGAATTTGTCAGTAGGCTTTACATCCTTGGACATGGGCTCCTTGACTAGAATACGCGTCTTTGGGGCGACCGCAAGCGACTGCAAATTTCTGATCAGATCGTTACGAGGAATGTTCGTCTGGGCCTGGATCTCTTCAAAGCTCAGATACTGACCCGGGCTCAGTTCGTTGAATAGAAGCAAGATCACCATGCCGTAAGTCGATACGTTCAAGTCATGTCGGCGCTCCTTAAATGATCCGTCCTTCTGCTGCACCTTGGGAAATACGGCCTTGATGTCCGCGGAACCCATGTTGGCGAGCCATGTGAGCTGTCGTCCTTGGTGCTTTGTGTTGTAGTACTTCTCAAATCCGCGCTTGATCTTCTCCACTGCGACTGGGAAATTGCATCGTGGTCGCTTGTCCTCTTCATCGTCGGCTGCGCCACCCATAGTCTCGAGTGACCAAGTCATACTTGTCAACACATTGATGGCCAGCTCGATGCGTTTTGGATCCTTTTCTCCGAGACCCTCGACATGCTTTTTGAAGCCAGCAGTGAGCTCTTCCGATATCGTCATGTCCTTGAACATGGCCTCCAGCTTGAGTGTGAAGTTGTTTCCAAGCTCAATCTTCATCTTAGAAATCATCTGCTTCTCAACTTCGTTGCTGATTGACTTGTTCATCAACAGTCGTCGGCAGAGATGTTTCTTGTAGTATCGCTCGAAGAGATCTTTGTCTTGGACGTATCGCAACAGGATGATTGCCTTGTCCAACACAACATCGATTTCCATTTCTGTCTTGCCTTTGATGCCCTTCTTCATGTTCTCGTCGATGAAGAGGGAGATGTATTCGGAAGATCGCGGGAAGTTCGGCGAGTTGATGAAGTCAGCGAAGCTCCTGGTCACAGCCTGCTGTAAAAGACCGTCCGATTCGAATGAATCTTTCCAGATCTTGTCGAACTTGTCTTTCAGCGCGAGGACATCTTCGACCCACTTGATCGCAGCGACTGTCTGCTGGTTTATACGCTTCTCTTGCGCGGCGCCCTTGCCCTTGTCTGCAGAGTCGGCTGCTGGTGCCGGCGCAGTGGCTTGCGATGCAGCAATGGCGTCGTTGTTGATGTCGGTACCCATAGCCACGATGCGCTTTTGTATAGCACGCGTAACTTCCTCCTTCTTCTCGTCCACTCGCTTGTTCAAGTCATAGACCAAATTCAACTCGTCGAGTCTGTCGTTTTCGATCATGAATCGAACGCCGCTCTCCATCTCCACCAGCTCGTGTATCCGGTTCTTGATCAGCTCATCTTCCACGACCTTTTGAATCTTGGGCCCGGTGCTCTCTGATAGTGTCTGCTTGCAACGCTCGTCCTCCTCGTAGATCCTCCGTCGCGCATGCCTACAGTATGCGCCTGCATCAGAGTCGCGCAATAGAAGCTCCGACTCGGTCTTGTAGAAGGTCCTGCTGGTCTCTAGATATTCCTTCTCGAACGAGACGTTGTACAGGCGCTGCTCTTCTGACTCGGTCTCGTCCTCGTGCAGGCCCTCGAGCATCCATACGCAAGACTTGATGAGGTGCTTGTCGATGACATCGCCGTCGCGCTCCATCTGGATCTGATCGAGGACAACGTGGTTCAGCAGACCCAGGATTGCGCGGGCATCCATGGTGGAGACGGGCGAGTTCAGAATCTCGTCGCGAAACAGGACCATGGCAGCGTTAAATATCGACGGTCGGCGATGGTCTGTACAGTAGACACGGTCCTTGATTGATGTCGTGTTAGCAGAATGTCCTTGTTTGGAGCCGCCGCCGTGAAAAGGATAGCCTTACCATGTACATGAGCACGTCTGCCAGCATGCTCATGCATACCTGGTGGTCGCCCCATGCCTGCTTGAGCCCCTTCAGGAATTTCTCGCCCGCCACACGTCGCTCATTCGCCGTTGTTCCACCGAGGCTCTGCGCGTTGGCTAGGAGGTTGGGCGAGAGCATCTGCTGGATGACTGCGCGCACCTCGCTGCTCAGCCATTTGCGCTCGAAGTCGTGCACGTGGTTGTACAGGTCCTGGCCCTTCTTCTTGAGCACGATGCGGTAGGCGTGGCGGTACAGCTCCTCGTAGGAGAGCTTCGAGGCGTTCTTGGTGTGGATCTCGCGGAAGGCAGCTTCGATCGTGGCCCACGTGTTTTCAAAATCGACTTCATCGCCATGGAGGCCCTGGGGTCGCCGCATGGTTAGCTGGGTGGTTGACTGTGGTTCAGTGGTATAGACCAGGGTCCAGATATACTGCGAGAGCACGGTGAAGGTGAAGGTGCTTGACATACCCTGCGCGGCGGCCGTATACGCTGGCGACCCCGTCCTGCGATCATCTTGCCTCAAGGCTGTCACTTGGTGCAGGTCGATAGAACGTCCAGGAGCTGGTGGACAAGGCTGTGGTCGTGCACAAAGTGTCGGATGCTATAGGAAAGAGCGCAGGTGCATGCACACGACACGGCACGGCGACGGACACAATAAAGAATAAGAGCCCGGCTGTGTGGACAGTCGACGTTGACAGTCGACGTGCACGTCTCGCGGCGGCGTTAGGCGGGGGTCGTGTAGCTCGCGAACAGATGACGGAACATAACCTTGCCTTGGCGCCTCGGTGATCACGGCTTTTGTCCGCACAGGAACCACCATCATAGCTACTTGACATATTCCTTGTTATGCATACAACAATGCGCCCTACGTCGTCTTTGTTACGCGCTTTTGCTCGTGCAGGTACGCCTCGAGCTGTAAGAACTTTCCCAGCAGAGCCCATTCCAGCACCCTCAAAGCGCCTCTTCCACACTCCGCAAACGTCAGCTGGGTGTCGACCTTTGCCCATTCTTTCAAGAGTACGATTGCCTCCTGCAGCCCGCTTCGAATCTTCCTCAGCTGCCCCATCACCAGCCGGCGCATCCACAAAAGCACCAGAGTCACGTCTCGAGCGCGACCAAGTTCCCTCGTACGAGTTGACATTCACTTGCAATGTCTGCACAACACGGTCGTCGCATCGTCTGTCCAAGCAGGGATATCACCACGGGACTGTGTTGATTTCATGTCCGGACTGCAAGAACAAGCATCTGATTAGCGACCATCTCAAGGTGGGTCGGTCTACTCCTGCCATGCTAACATTTCTGACGCGGGTGCAGATATTCTCCGACAAGTCAGTGACCATAGAAGACCTCATGCGGGAAAAGGGCGACCTCGTCAAGAAGGGTTCCCTTAGTGCAGAGGGCGATGTCGAGTTTTGGGACGATGGGAGCCAGACCCCTCGATCTGCGCAGTTTCACCCAGATTCCAAACCCAAGGGCGACAATCGCTTCGTCGCGCAGCCCTCCTCGCAGACACCTTCAAAAGATCCTACCGAGTGATATACACCGGTAGTATTACGCTGCTGGCCAGCTACCACTCCTCGTACAACATATCGATACTGTAGAAATACTGTCTGAACAATACTTAGCGAAAGGGAACAACTGAGAAACCGCCTAACCTAGAACGTATGAATCCAGCCCTAGATGTCGACTATGCGAAGGGGTAGGCTTTGTCTATGTTGCTTCCTTTTGCGGCACGTTCTTGGTCGTAGGATCGTCACGTCAACATGTCTTTGTTCCATCGTATTCTCCTCTGTTGCATTCTTCTATGTTCCTTGCAATGCTTGTCCCAAGACTATTCTCCGACCGGCGAACTCCTTCGAAAGGTGACAAGCGCGAACCATAATATCGAGCTTGTTTAACACTCGAAACTTCTCGGCGTTTGTACGTCGAAACATACTCCACAGTCTTCAAACGAGCGGTCCATGAATGGTCGAAAAGTTTAAATCAACGTATATGAATACCTGTAGTCCGCTACTACCATAATGCGTAGTGCTGAATCACAGTCACTGCTGAACGTTGTGCTGCAATCTGGAATGCATCGGCGTCGCAGCTTACGGGAATATTTGAGTAACTGTTAGTGGACTGTCACATCTCAATACGAGGTTGGTGAACCATGGTTTAGAAAAAAACTTTAATTATACACTAGGAAGTTTTGTGCTTGCAACATGGACTAAAGTAGTTGGACTTTGAAATTTGTGATCTTAGTTGCGCTTCAAGAGGCTTGTCCTTGGCAGAATAGAGTATCTACGCCCAACGCCAAACCAAACGGTGAAGTCAAGGCATGAACAAAAGAACGAGTAACGTTGAGAAATTGCATATGCTGCACGATCCCAAAGTACGCGCATAAGCTCTGCATACTGCATCGCTAGCTAATGCATGTTGTTCCTAGTTCTGACCAGAGCCATCTCGCCGCAGAGCGATTGGTAGGTTCCGCTCGTCTAACCCTGGCCAATAGGAATTCATGGTGTTGAGGGTTTTACGTGGACTTTTCTAGGATGACAGGTGGGCTGCAGAGGGAAAGATGGGGAGACGATTCTCGAGCGCAAAGCTCAGAGACGGGGATGTCTTACGAGGTTACATCAGTGGCGTCGTGGACGGTTGCCGGTTGCGTTCGCTAGAGTTGCAGGTGGGTCGAGGGCTAGGAAGAGCCCGTTCTGAAAACAGTTCAGTCAACGGAAAGACAAATAAATTGGCACTGCTGGCGAAGAACTGCGGGATGGAAAAGAATGGCATGCTCGTAGCTTTCTCCCACGTGGAATGCCACTTCGTGTTTGAGCATGCGAAATGGGTTGTCCTGAATTCCTTTGAGAGGCACACTGCATGCAAAGGGATGTCCTTCCCCGTTACACAACTTTTCCGAACACAACGACATGGCTGAAACAGACGAGAATTGACAAGGCGTGGTAATGTTGAGTTCACCGCCGTTGTGCTTCCACACCCTTCGGCACAACTTTGAAATGTTGATACGTCACCTTTGGGGCCGTCGTCAGCATGTCTTCGTGTCTGCTCGGCTGTCCCTCCCCGATCCTGACAGCAACCCGGCTCAGCCCTCAACGACTGAATCAACCCCAGCCTCTCCCTTTCGTAAGCAAAAGTCGACTCAGCGAGCAAACAACACAAATTGAAACGAAACCGCGCATTGAGGCTTGTGACAGACGTCATGTCCTATTTTGACAACACTAGAGATCGCCGAGAGACTGCGCGGGTGAATGGCATCCGCCAAGCGGGATCCGGCCTGCATTCGAGACGGGCCTGCAGCTCGATGTGAGGATGCGAGAGCGATCTTTCGTACCGCTCCACGCTCCCCGGCCCAAAGTTGTGAACGTGTGTCACTGCACAAACCCGACGATGAAAGCTACTGATAGGGTAGCATGTCTAATAAAAGGTCAAATAGCGGCTAGAATCAACCCATTGCGCGACGTGTCGCTCAGGGCTGTCATCGTGCCCCTGGCGGCTATGCCTGCGTCGTGGCTGCGGGTTCCTGGCTGTCGAAACGGCGGCGCAAAGGGGCGCCGAATCGCGCAACGCTATGGTGATGCACCGATGCAGGCAAGCTTTGTCACGCCGATCGTTGGACAGGTCCGAAGAGCGACCGGGGTGGCGCGGATGTGTGTTCTTGGAAGCGCTGCTCGCCATGAGTGGTCGACGCCTCGACTTTCCATCGAAATGTACCTGACGCTTGACCCTACAGATGGCGCTGGCTCACTGCACCTTGTCTTAGTGGCGACCGGGTTCAACAAAGTTTGAGCTTGCCGCCTTCATCTAGACCTGCGTGGGTGGGCTTTGGGGATTCCGAGTCCCCCGCCCTGCTATATGAACAGAGACAACCCGGTGGTCCCCATTCCTTCCACAACCTTCCCTCATTCAAACCACGGTCCCGTTGCTGTTGATTCCCAAGAGCTTTAGCTCAGTCCTTTCCTTGTCTACCTAGACACCACTTTCCTTACCGGATATCAGCATTCGCCCTGGTTGGCTCGGTCTCTCCCTGCGCTCAAGAAGCTGCACTCTTTCAAGCTACAATACCCTAGAACTTTGAAATATCAGCAATCATCCAAACATATCTATCAACATGTCCTCCACCATGAAGATCAGCCTTTTGGCTCTCATCTCTACCGCTGCCGCCGTTCCTCAATACGGACACGCCGGACACAGCAAGTTCCACAGCAGCCACAAGGCTTCCCAAGCCTACGGAACTGGAAGTGGACGACCTGCCTACCCTACTGGCGGTTGGTCTGGCGGTTACAACGGCACTAGTGTTCCTCAGGCAACTGGAACCGGCGCCTACCCCGATGACAAGACCACCACCGTCGGCCAGACTCTCACCTCTACTCAAGTCGTTGTCTCAACCATCTACGGCACGGCCTCTTCTGATGTACCTGTAGCTGCCGAGGAGGTTTCCACTGGTGCTTCTCAGTGTGGCCTCACTGTTACTGTTACTTCGGCCGAGAAGGTCACTGTCACAGTCACCAAGGGCTCCGGTGCTTCATCTACGGCTGCTTCAGCTGGCGTATCCTCTGTCGCTTCTGTTGAGTCCGACTACGGCTACGAGACTTCCGCTGCCAGCTACGAGGTTCCCGCCTCTAGCTACGAGGCTTCCGCTTCCAGCTATGTAGTCGTCACACCGACCCCCGTTGCCGCGTCTTCCAAGGTTGTCGAGGCCACTTCATCGCAGGTTGCAGACGTCACTTCGTCTAAGGCTGCGGACGTCACTTCGTCCAAGGCCGACGGGTACGCCGTCCCCACCTCGGTTGATGTGTCCATGTCCTTCGCGCAGAAGCCCGTTGCGGCAAAGTCCTCAGCCGCCGCCTCCTCTGCCGTTGTCTCCTCCGCCAAGGCATCTGCCACCGGTAGCTCCCCTACTTACAGCGGATCCAAGCGCGGTCTCGCCTACAATGACGCCTCCCTCTGCAAGGCTCTCAGCGGGTCTTACGGCTATGCCTACAACTGGGGACAGACCGAGAGCGCCAGCATCGGCGCTCCCTTCGTCCCCATGATGCACAAGCCCTCCGACTCCACCGCCGAAGCATGGCTCGCCAACGTCGACACAGCCGTCAAAGCCGGCACCAAGGCCGTCATGGGTTTCAACGAGCCCGACGTAGCTGCCCAAGCCAACATGACCCCCGAAGCCGCCTGCACCTCATGGATGGAATACATGAACCCCATCGCCTCCTCCCACTCAGACGTCACCATCCTCGGCCCCTCAGTGTCAAACGGTGTAGGCACAGATGCAGCGCCCATGGGCCTAAATTGGCTCACAGACTTCCACACCGCCTGCCCCGACGCCATCGTGCACGCCACAAACATCCACTTCTACGACATCCCCTCAGACGAGACAATCACCCGCTTCAAGACCCAGATCGAAAAGGCCGCCGCCCTCTACAGCAAGCCCGTCTGGGTCACCGAGTTCGGCCTCAACACCGGCTCCGCCACCGACGCGCAGGCTGCCAGCTTCCTCAAGCAGGCTATGGAGTACATGGATGGGTCTGATTTGGTTGAGGGCTACTCGTACTTCATGGTCGCGGATGGCGCGGATATGCTCAATGCTGATACGCTTGTTGGGCAGGCGTATGCGGCTTCGACTTACTAGGTTGGAGGGTTTGTCGGGTTGAGTGCGATTTGGGCGTTTTATTGGGAATGGGCTTTCTTGGCTGGATAGATTGGGTTCAGGATTGGGATTGGGCTGCATGGGATACTCTCGACGCTACTGCATGTGCTGCGCGATCATTGGGTTGTAGCGACTTTCTGTTCGTGTATTGGGGCTTGGAGGAGAAGAGGTGGTTTGGTGATGTTGGAATAGAAGTGATCGAAATGAAATATTGTGCCTGTTTACTCCACTGTCTTCTCTGCGACTTGTTTCGTTCCATTCTCTTGTTGTGCTCTGCTGTGCTGTGCACTCCCCTACGATGAAGTTCCGTCAACCAGCCCACCTCTCAGTCAACCGTAAAAGCAGCAAGCAATCTACGTTTTTCAAGGCTCCTATAACCTGCAAAGCAACACAAGTAAACTGAACAACGTGTACGCAAGGTGTATACAGCTAAGAACTCAGACATAAGCTTTCTACACTAAACGTAGTTGTAGTTGTCGAGCTGTTCCATGGTTTTCGGTGTACCTTAGTTCCTGGTATTTCGATTCATCGAGAGTTCATGTGTCTGTGGAAGTTATAGCGAATGTTCAATGTCTCCTACTCTAACATACCTCGATGATCACCATTTCTACAATCCACTCTGTTTGTTCCACACATGACCTCACTTTTTGTCCAACGGCTGTGCGTACAGTCTTCCCAGCACCGTTGGGGCAGTTTCTTCAAACTCCATCCGTAACGTCGAGAAGGCATGGATGTATGTATGTATGTATGTCTAGTGAATAAGACGCTCCTCCTCAGGCTAGACAGCACGCTTGTTACCGCGAACGAGAGAGATGGAGATGGAGAGTGAGACGAACAAAGTAGAGACCGCGGCGTTTTTTCTTCTTCAGTATGCGAATATGTGTATTAGACAGAATCCACGCAATGCGTGTTAGGTTACTTGAGTAGGACTCCGGCGGAACCTCTCTGACGACCAGAGAAATGGAACATGGATTGTCAATGCAATCGATGTCGTGATGGAAGACACGACTGTACTAGATTATATGCCCTCTTCGATCCACCGCTTGACTTGCTCCAACGTCTCCTCCCGATGGAAGTAATCCGCCCCCCCTTCACCATCCATAAACGCCAACCACTTCTCCTCATCCCAAACCGTGCCCTCATCAGGCACAACCCTCAGATTCGCAGCCCGCGTTAGCATCCCATCGCCATCTCCCTGAAGACGGTCCTTCGTAATCGATTTCAGAATCTTGTTCACCCTCGTCTGACACCGACTACCCGGGCGAAGCAGGCAGGGAGATGCCTGCTTACCACGGAGAGCATCCATCAGACAAATCCCCAGGACAACGAAGAAGCTCATGCAGGCTTTCGTGTTGTCCTTTGCGCCACGCCAACCGGAGAGAGTGAATTGCACGGAGACGTTTGGCCGCTCGCTGCAGAGACGGTTGAGCTCCGTTCCGTGTTGCATGGTGACCTGGAGAGCGAGTAGTTCTATCGGTACCTGTTCCGTGTCGAAGTCGGTGATGGCGATTTCAATGGGCCACGGTGCTGTGGTGACGGACCTGCATTTGAGGAAGGAGATGAGCTGGAGGCTTGCGAGGCGCTGGTCGTCGCGGTGGCGCCGGAAGTGGATCTTGTTGTACTTCAATTCCTGCGTGGTGGTTTCTGCTCGGATCTGGCGGTTGACGTAGGCCAGCTGGTTGAACTCATCCGAGGCTCTTATGTCGTGGGTTTCGTAGTGACGGATGTATAATATGGGCTTGCGAATCCTGGGCTTTTGGTAGGATTTCGGCTTGGTGTTTTTGTACTCGTGGTCAAGCTCTGATGGCTCTCGGTAGTACAGTCCAGTTGTTGAGGTGAGCGCGTACTCATAGATCGAGTTGCGTAACTCCCTGGGAAGGGCGAGAAAGCTTGATGAGGAAGGCATGGTTGTTGGTCTAGACGAGGACGACGTGAGATGGGTTGTTGTTGTTCCGCGGCTGTGCAGTCATTTGGGCTTTTGTGAGTTCACTGGATTTTGTGTTTGGTCGAGAGAACAATTGTGCAGGTGTAGAGAGTGAGGGAGGAAGCGACGTCTCTTGAAGCTGGAAAGGCACCAATGCATTAGCGTACACTGGGGTACCGCGTCGGTGTATTTTACACTGGGCCTGGTACATTTACCCCGCACTGTATTACTAGTACTACTGTTAATCGCAACAACATTGCTACGCTTACGATCAAGTCTACCTACCATGGAGCTCACGATTGAGCCCACCTACGAGCCCGCCTATAATCAAGCTCGGATCTGAGCTCACAATCAAGCTTGCAGGTAGGCTTTTATGGTTCTGCCCTCTCGACGAGTCCTGCTCTTTCAAATGCCATGTACAAGCCACTTCATCACCAGATCATGTTCCTCCTCGAGTTCCAACACAGTAACCCCCCTCGTCCGACCAGCCAGCACCTCTCTCGCAGTCCCAGCTAACTCAACCGAGTCCTCAGGGATATACGACAAATTCGCAGCCTGCAAGTCCCCCAAATCCACGTCTCCCTGCCAAGCCCGCGCGATGTTCATGTAAAATGCCATAAAGTCCGGCCTCTCATCGAACAGGATATCCCGGCGATCTTGACCCCGAAACGCCATGATATAGCATATCGCGTCGACGAAGAAGATGGAGATGAAGCGTGTGAAGTAGCTCTCACATGTCCAGCCAGGGATTGTGTACTTGATCGTCATGCTTGGGTGCAGTTTGCACAGACGCGTCAACTGCACGAGAGCCTCTGCCGATTCGGGCATCCTCTCCAAGTGCTGTCGGTCTGCTTGCCGTGAGATCTCAAATTTGATTACGATTGTCTTGATCCAGGCTGCTTTTGCACGCGACATGGAAGACAGCCAGGCGCTGAGTTTGTCCGCGGGACTCTCCTTGTATGACTGTGTGCAAACGACGATGTCGTTGAGTTTGAGCTCCAGGCCTGCTGTCTCTGCATACAGCTGTTTGTTCGTGTACTTGAGCTGGTTGAATTCGATGGCCTGATAGTCGGGTCGGTGTGGTGAAGTGGCGCGGACATGGAGGAATGCCTTGTTGCCGTTGCGGGGCTCGAGATAGTAAAGCGGCGTTGGAGTGGAGAGGGCGAACTCGTAGATCCTGTTGCGTAGCTCGGATGGGAGCTTGAGGAGTGGTGGTGTGTTTGACATGATGGTAGCTGGACGAGTATCATTTGTTGTAAATGCAGAGGTGATTGACCACTCCTGCAGCGCGTTGATTGGATAGCATATCCATTTCAACATTATTGTATCAGTTGGGCGTGCTGGTGGTTGCTGTGGCTGCTGTGTAGAAAAGATGTGTTGGAGAAGGATAGTAGAAGAAGGCTGATTACGTCACTGGTCAAGATGCAAGATAAGTTGACGTTCAACCCCAGCCACCCATAGGACAAGAGTAGATAAGTCTAGTGCTGGTGGGCGTGGCTACTACAGCGTTCAACGTCGAGCTGCCTACGTTCGGAGACTCAACTAGAGTACCTCCCATTCCTCTCGACTACTACGACACACAGCACTGGAAGACCAGCATTCGTACCTTTTGACCTGATCTCTCTATCTGTTGTTTCGACTGCGGAAAGAAAAGGACAGAGCACATGTTGTTTGAAGAACTCAGATAATGACAAGGAGAAAGACGACGAAGATCCAAGCGAGAATTGTGACAAAATAAAGTAAGCTTATCCTGGGAAACAAGGCTGGTGATAAGGCCAGGGAGGTAGCGGTATAGCTAGCTGCATGCCAGGTTACACATGCTCGTAAACTATGCCTGGGAACATCGTTCCCAAATTGGAAATGGCAACTTGAACAAGCACTCTTCTCTTTTCGTTCAGTTCGTGTGGCTATACACGTGTGCCGGAAAAGATGACCTCGTAGTTTGGGGCTGCGCAGTGAGATTCATGCACTAATGGGGTAAATTTAGGCATCTGGTGGTACGGCCCGGGAGGTGATTAGGTTCCCGCGCTGAGGTGAGCACATTTGCAACGAGCAGGCGGGCGAGATAGGCACATGTTGGAGACAAGAAAAGCACATGTGCAAGGCGCGAAACAGGACTCGTTCAACCCACGCTCAGGCCGGATTCGCACGCTGTGCTGGCGAGATAGGTCGCTGGGCGTGGGGCTCTGGTACGTGGAGGGCTGGGAGTGGCGCATAGAGTCAAGCGCCAGGCGTCAGGCCTCAGAGGCGCAGGCAGAGGTTAGAGGATTGCTTTTGCATGCGGACCATGCCGCGCAGCCAGCCCTATCAAAAGCGGCCGTGTGGTCAGCAGGCAGGGTGGCTGTCGCGGGTGAAGGGAGGCTGCTGTGGTGCTGGGTGCGGGATGGCGAGGTTTGCGGTGAGGGCAGTGCGTGCAGGTGACCAGGAGTGGGAGTGGTTATTTGCGGTGTGTGAAGGAAGGGTGCAGAAGCGTCTTGTAGTGAGCAGTCGGGCGATGCGCTGGCAACTGTCGGTTCCTGACGAGGCTTGGCTCAACCGATCTTGGGGGCTCAAGGTGAGGGTTGCAGGGCCCGACGACAGTGGTGCATCATCGCAAAGACACTGCACTTCCCCTCTCTCTGGCGCACCGGCCCCGACGCATTCCCCGCCGTTTGCTCTGCTGCCTGCTGCCTGCTGTCTGACGCCGACTGCTGCAAACTGGGGTGACGTCTGCCAGCAAATGACGGGCGCGCAGTGGGCTCCTCCTCGACTCTGACAGCGGCGTCGCTCGCCGGGGCCTCCAGCGAACCAGTGCCCACACGGTCGAGCATGACAGTGCCCTCCCAAGCCTTCCTGGCCCAAGACGACAACAGCGACTCACCATGACGGCCGCCATGCACGCCGACTTCCAATCCATCACGGGCGTGCTGGAGTCGGAAGAGCCCTCGACGACACCGACCTCGACATTGACGCCCACGTCGACCGCCACGTCGACGCCCACGCCCACGCTGCCCGCCGCGTCCAAGCCGGCGTCTGCGTCTGCGTCCGCGTCCGCCTCTGCCTCTGCACTCGACAGCGGGCCTGTGCACCCCCGACACCAGACGCTGGTGAACGTGTCCGGCTCGCCCTCGACAGCCACGTCCCCCCAGTCCTCGCGCGACGCCTCACCAGCACGCCACACACGCGCCGCCCCTCCCCCAGCAGCCCTCCGCTCGCGCACCGGCCTGCGCTCGCGCAAGAGCAGCACCGACGTCAGCCCCAGCAGGCCCTCCAGCCTCGCCGGCGCCAACTCCCGCCCGCCCTCGGCCACGGCCATCCACCGCGCCCTGTCGTCTGCGAGCATCCCCCACATGTCGCCCGCCTCGTCGACAGACACCGTCGTCAAGCTGCCCCGCTCCACCCGCCCGCCGCCGCTGGCCAGCACCGCCGACTCGACGCCCCGCTGGCCCATCTCGCCCCGCCTCAAGTCGCCAGAGCCGTCGTCCGAGTCCCGCGCCCGCTCGCGCGCCAGCTCCCTGCGCGCGCCCGCAAAGAAGCCCGAGCCGGCTGCGACGCCCGCCATTGTCGTCCAGGCCTCGTCGCCCGCCTCGCTGTCGCGCATCGCCATGCTCAAGGACGACGCCGTGGCCAGCGACGCCGAGGAGCCCGCCCTGAGCATCAAGGGGCCGACCAGGGGCGCCAGCGGCGTTGTCCCCAAGCTCGAGACGGTGCAGGAATCCAGCCTGCCCACAACCCCCGGCTTTGACGGCCTCGAAGCGGAAAGGTAAGGCTGCCCGCGACTAGCCCCACTCTTGTCAGACACTAGGGCACGGCACGAAAATCCGTTTGCGGCTGCACTCTGCTGACCTGTTCTCCTTGCAGTTTCATCGACACGCCCCCCGCGCTCAAAGCCTCCGACCAAGAGCGAAATGACGTCAGCCCGTCCAAAGTCACCGAAGACCTCAGCAGCAGAAACACGTCCGCCGCCGCTACGAGCACCACCACCTACAGCGCAACGGGGAGCGGCAGCGACAGCGGCTCCAGGACAGTCCGGCGGGGCAAGATGCAGGAACAGCGCACCCCGTCCACCTACCGCCCGCACGTCCTCTCCACCAAGCCCTCGCTCTCGTCGCTGTCGACACGCTCGCAGAGAGACCCGCCCTTGCGCAACGTGACGGTGGAGACGGAGACGGTCTCGTCCATCGCACAGGCCCCGATTGGCAACCAAGACCGCTCGGCCTCTGGGCGCGCTGACGGCAGCCTGAGACTCAAGCCGAGCAACGAGACAATACGGCCCAAAAAAGAAAGGAAACCCAATAAGCGGAAAGCGCCGTCGATCAACGCAGGTACTGGTACGTCTTCGCACATCTCCTACCACCACAACCTCCCGAACAGACCAGACATGGGGCCGCGCTCCCATACTGCGTCCTCTATTGGAAGCTCCGTCTCACATCGCTTATATGATGACCGGCGCTCCATGGCATCCATGTCTCCACCCCAAAGTCCAGAGATGCGCATGCTCCCCACAAGACCGATTTCTCTCCGCTATTTTTACTCAAGCACTAACGCGAGCTCTCGCAAAGCTTCGTCCAAAGCAGATGTCTTCGAACAAAAAGTCGCGAGCGCGGTCGACGAAGCAAATTCGTCCGACTCGGATGCGACGTTTATTTACGAATCGAATCCTCCAGAACAACAACCACATCGAAGCCGACAACACCACTCGCGCACACCGAGCATGACATCGATTGCGAGTCTAGCGGATCCACGGCAACTAGCGATCCGCGACGCCCACAAGAATCCTGGCAAAAAAAGCAGCATGAAGTTCGCCAATGCGTACATCAACGCTGATCCCGACGTCCTGGATCGTGGCGAGGGAACTATCCGCATCGGGTCTGGCCGTGTAGGTCAAGGCAGCCACCACCATCATATTGGACGACTTGGCCAAGGCCGGGGCGCGCTAAGCCATCTAGTCATGGACAGCGATTCGTCAATGGCTCAGTCCTCACGCGCACGAGGTCCGTCGTCAAGACATCCATCCCAGCCAAATAGCCCTCGTTTCCATACGTTCAACGTTGCAAACGGCCAAACCAACGGCACCAAGAAGCCCGGAGAATACTCCGCCTACGATCTCGACGCTGAACATGCAGCCGACGATGAGCGCATGCCGCTGCTCCCATCGGGCCGAAGCCCACGAGTTCGCACTCCCCGCCGAAGGAATAGCGTGACACTTCGCCAGCTTGAGCAAAGACATCGTCATCGTCATGATGGTGGTTGGTGTCGAAAATTCGCGGGATGCCTCGTCCTCTCGATCCTGCTCCTTGTCGTCGTATTTTGCTCGGTTGGGCTAGTTTTTGCGACCACAAAGCCCCTCACCAATGTCCAAGTTCGAGATATCCGAAATGTCGTCGTGAGCCAAGACGAAATTATGCTGGACTTGGTTGTCGACGCTGTCAATCCCAACATCATTGGCGTCATCGTCGCAGACATGGACGTGAGTATATTCGCCAAGAGCAAGCACGTCGGGTCTGATGCATGGTGGCGCCTCCACGGAAAAGGACCACAAGACAACATGGAAGACTGGCTACCCATTGAGGCTGATTCTGTGGATGATGGTGTCGATGAAGGAACAGATCCGATCGACGATCCTGAATCGGGCGAGCCTCGAACCATGTCTCTCGGACGTGTCTTCCACTTCGACTCACCCTTGAACTTTGACAGTTCATTCTGGCAGCGGAAAAAAGGCGAGGCCGTTGGTGAAATCCGACTCTCACATCCCGGAAACAAAGCCGAATCAGGGGGAACTGCGCGCTGGGAAGAAGTCCTGCAATATCCCTTTGAGCTGATTGTCCGGGGTAACTTCAAATACCAGCTTCCGCTAAGCACACGGGAGCAAAAGGTCACAATCACCGCATCCTACAGTTACGACCCAGACCTAGAGAAGAAGAAGCTCCTCAAGAACAAGGCCGAATCGACCAGGGAAAAGAACGAGACTAAATCACGCGCTCATATTGTACCGCCGATGCCAAAGCCGCTGGGACGCTACCACCGCAGAGCTCACACGCTTCTAGAATCTCAATAGACGATCCTCTCTTGATCTTTGTACCACAATATGCAACCCCCCGATCTCCCGATCGTATCCGTATCTCTCACACACACCAAAAAATGGAACCTAAACCAAAACAGATACCCTTACACACGATTTCACGACCCTATAGAATTGTTTTTTGCTTGTTTTTTCGGCTTCCGGCGAAACGCTCCATCAGCAGGCCCCGACCGTATGCATGATTTGTCCCGTCTTCAAATCCCGTGTCGACGAATTTTTCATTTCTTTTTACGTTTCTTACTTGCATGTTTTTTTTGCCCGCGTCTGCCTTTTTATGCAATGCGGAAACTGTATATAGCTGGAGCATATGGCGCGCGCGCGTGTATGTCTGTGTCTGTGTGTCTGTGTGGTTCCGTTGTTGTGTGCGTCTAGCGAGGGCGTTTTCGTTTTCGTTTTTGTACGACTATAGTGTCTGTTTTAATGTTTGGGGTTACTGGCGCTGCGTCCCCCTTTGCTTGCCTACTTACCATGTTTGATCGTGTTCTTGATTTGGGAAGGCGATGTGCTTGGGGATCTAGGGTCAGGTGAGAAGGGGCTGTGTTGGGGTGAGGGGATGGTGGTAGATGGGAGATAGAAGATAGGCTGAGAGGTATATATTGCTGGTAGGGTGTGTATGTATGGATGGATAGTTTGAGCTTTTCTGGAACTTTTGGTGTCTTGTGATTGGGTCTTGGATGACGTGACATGACATGACATGTTGAGGGTAGTAATGTGTTTGCCTGTGTGAAGGAGGTCGTTTGATGATGAGGCTCTCTTTATCGGAACACAACATCCTTCCTCACCCCCCATCTTATCCTACAGATTACCCATCCTCTTCTACCAGTACCTCCATCAACCCCCGACAGCCAAACATCCGCACTCTTGAAGCTCGCATGCTCGGTATAATCAAATCAAATCAAATCACTAATAGATAACACGCCGTCTGTCAATCGAGCGCTCCACTGCTAGAAAACTCTCCTACTTCACTGACTCACTCAACTGGGAGCTCCATTCTTTGGTATGTGTCGGTTACTATCAGTGTTGGTCTGACGGTATGCCGTGTTTGCTAGTCTGTAATTGGAGGGGAAAGTGCTCGGTCTGAGGGAGTTGGCTGGAGGTTGCGAGGTTGCGGGGTTCGTTGTGTGCGGAGGGATGGTCTTTCGTTGACGATGGGGTGGGCTTGGTGTAAGTAAGTCGGTATTTTGTGCTGTTAGTGATATTTATTGTGTGTTAAGGAGTTGGGGTGTGGCTTATATACTGCTTCAATCATGTTCGGCTTTTGTTGTGTTGTGGCTTTCTGCTTCTATGACATGGAGATTAATAAAAGTAGGCCGACACCTAAAGTTAAGTCAGGCAGGCATCATTCCACCAGATAAAAGTTTTACTCAACTCGATAGAGCCCGCCTGAAACTACGAATAACCAAGTCAGTTGACGATAGCAGAGGAATACTCAGCACTATGACTATCACCACGAGGGTATGTCTAAATTGACAGCGGCGTATCCGGCAGATACAGTCCTCCATTGGGAGGTATATCGCTTGGTGGGATTGAGCAGCCAGTCGTCAAGAGACGGTTGATCAACTCTCTGTTACCATTACTGTGTACTCTTACTGATGCTGACTGTGTGCAAAGGGGCTGGGTATTAGCTTCTACATTGAGTTGCTATACTAGGTTTTTACTGTGTTGCGTCTATCTGCTTGTACAACAGGCGTGAATACGCTATAACCCCAAAATAATCGTTTGCTGGAAGCTCAGGAAATGGTAAGTGGTGACTACTATCGTATAATGACTCGCTCAGTAAACCTGAGCTGGAAGATCTTGGAATATGAACGATGACTTCTTGGTATCTGTTGTATGGTATGGATGCACTTTCCGATTGCAGATAAGACGTGATGTGATGCACGTGTTTGTCCGATACAATTCTTGAAGCAAGAGCTAATGATGCTTGTTGAGCAGGAACCAACCAGACATACTTTGCAAAGCTATATGGCATCCTCCCACCACACTCGACGCCACTTCAGATATTGCTAGCTACGGACTCGAAAGCTACGTCTACCTCCATGGACCTCACACCATGCAGCCCACCCACCACGTTCCCCCAGTTCTCGAACCTCCCACAAGAACTCCGCGACCTGATATGGACGGCCGCCCTCCTCGCCGCAGAACCACACGCCATGACCATCACCCTCTGCAAAACCAGAAGCACACAGACACTCCATCCCTACAGAAGCTATATCCGCACGCCGCGCCTCCCCGCACTCTTCGCAACAACGCGCTGCTCGCGCGCCCTTGCCTGCCACAAAGCGCGGCTCTGGGCCAGTGTGTATCCTGTCGGCGGCACGTGGTACCCGTTCCCAGTCTGGCACCGCGTGCCATCATGGCTGTGGTTCCGGCACGCAGTGCAGACGATGGAAGTGCGCGTAGCAAAGGACATTACTATGACAGGCGATCTGGCGTGGGGACTGCCGAGCGTGGCGCAGATATTCGGGCCCGAGGGGTTGAAGAACAACTGGTTTCTGCTGGGGGTGCGGCGGCTGCATCTCTGTCACGAGGGCGTCTTGCACTGGGCGTTGTGGGAGGGGGTTGTGCGGCAGTTGACTGTATTACGGGGCCTCGAGTGGATCAGTCTGGGGAGGCGGTCGTATGATGGGCTTGTTGGGGGAGAGGAGCCCCAGTGGCAGCGGCCTCAGTGCTATCGCCCGAGTATTGCGCATCTGGCTGGTGTGTTTGCAGAGTTTGGGCTTGGGCCTTTGCTGGCGTGGGTGCAGCGATCGTTGAGGGTGCAGCGCACGTTTCTGTATCGAGATAAGACGTTTCCCGAGGGGATTTGCCTTGGAAATTTAGGCAGCCTGTATGATCTGCAGGGGTTGGCGGATAGGGCTGGAGAGGAAGTCGAATATACGCCGGCGGAGAGACATGAGGGCGATTCGAACAAGGAACACGATCAAACTCAAATTGGCACCCTTGGACGGGTACCAGGAACCGGATGCAGCAAGCCGCCCGGAAGCCTCACCATCTACTTGAAAAGGTGGCTCGTCGTAGTACCCATGCAAGCGGCTCTATGTGAGTGGCGGGACAAAGACAAGAGCATGCTGTATCGCGTGGATAGGTGCAGAAAGAGGAAACGCGATGGAGGGTGGGCTGCTACAGCGGGCTTGAGCATTGAGTTTAAGCCGAAGGGGTGGAGCAGGAAGAAGACCAAATTGGGTGTGGAGGACTGGGCACATGTGGAGTGGACAACGTTGGAGGATCCGTTGCTGGGCGGGTAGATAGAAAGAGGTGGAGATGAGAAGGGTTTGGAAGTTATAGGTTTATCGGACACGATTGGAAGGGATATAGGAACTGAGGGGTTCGTCTTGGAGAAGCTTCATATCCTTTTTCATCCTTGACAAGTTGCAGATTCCAAAATGGGGGTTGAGTGCCGATAGACTCTATATTTCTAGAGACTGAAGAGCAAGGGATACACTCATCCTGCGATATTAAATGTTTCCAAGCGTGCTGTTCACATTTCTAGCCCCCTTACTCCCACAACTTCAAACCTCGCAAGGCTCAACTCTGAACATGCCCTGCACAACAGGAAAATCTTCACCCCATGTCGCAATCGCAGCTCGAACACCATCCTCCACGCTCATCGTCTCCACACCAACCGTCTCGTTCTCCACCAAATCCCTGAAATCATTCCCGCTGTCCCCCTCGAAGAACTGGTTGCTCACAGCAAGCCCCTTCATAGCCTTCGCGGCCTCTCCCTTTTCGAGAGCCAGCCTAGAATTTTCGTTGATCTTCTTCACATCCACATTCTCCACGGTAAACTTGGTGCCGAGGACAGACTCGAGCGTACTTAGGATGATGTTTTGGCTGAGTTTTGGGAAGGGAAAGATGTATATCGGGCGATTGATGATAGGTTCGGGATGTCGCAGCATGTTTGCTACCGCAAGACCCATGGTGGATAGGGGCGTCCAACAAAGATTGTTGTTTCCCGTGCCGTAGATACGGGCTCGGCGGTTGGCAACGTCGAAGCCCGCTGGTCCCTTCATCAGCCCTGGTCTACCAGTCAGTGTGGTTCTTGACGTGCTACACATACCGCTGTGTAGAGAACTGGGTATCTGCAGTAAAAAACATAACCACTTACACATATCGAAGAACGGCCCCCCGGTCAAACTTGTCCACGCAATTTTGCCATCCTTTCCCAGCTCTTCCAGATACTCTCGAATGCGGATCTTCGCGCCGACAAACGCCTCGGGCATTCTTTTGAACTGCTCTCTCATGATGTGTCCGACAAACTCGTTTGCAAAGTAGAACTTCACTCCGGCTGCTATAGCAGCGTCGATGATGAGTTTCGAGGGCTCGTAGTGCGTAGCTCCCCCAGTGATGCAGTTTACAACTGCATCTTGGCCACTGAAAGCTTCCACAAGCGAGGATAGGGATGTATAATCCACTTGCTTGTGGATGATGGTGGAGTCTGGAGGTGGTGTATATGTCGAGGTCTGACGAGTGATAGCCGTGATATCAAAACGTTGGCCGTCTTTGAGGAGTTCGGTGATGGTGGAGTTTCCCACATTTCCTCCAGGCTATTGCAGGTTAAGTGAGTATTCGAAGGAGTACACGTCTTGATTGTCGATTTGGTATTGTATAACATACCCCGAGGATTGCGATTTTCTTCAGCTCCATTGCGTTTTCGTTGTGATATTGAGAATGTATATATGTGATCTGTGTCTTTTGACTACCTGCCAGAGGAAGAGAATACCTGATCTTTATAGCTCATCCACATTCAGGCGTTCCAATACGCCTCATCACCGCTTGTTGCCATTCAGTATTCGTCAAGGCACATAGGCAGACGCGTAGGCAAACGCATAGGCAGCTCGAGCATTCCACTGATGCTGGGGTTGCGTCGGGATGTCGGCCACGATATGACTCCGCAAAGCCCAGCCCTGCTGGCACACACTAACCGCGCTAGTTTAGGAAATGCGGGTTAGCGCTCTTACGCCTCGTCATCCTCGGCCTTTGACCTTGCGGAGTCGGCCTTTGATCTGGGTACCTGGGTCGTGGATCTTCGATATCGCAAATGTTACGAGTCCGGCCTCGTCTGGGTCGATAGCAAAGAGCGACATGTTATCGGATGTTCCGAGGGATATCCTTGCCTTATATCAGGCATTGGTCAAATCTCTGGAGCCAAGCATGATATCTGCAACGTTATCTTGAAGAGTTGTGGAGGTTTGGCGGGGTCGATATGTAAATCCCCAGGCGGGGTCCCGTCATCGGCATGCGTATTTCAGGTGCCCAACGGCCAGGAAATTGAATTTAGGCAAAGAGAAGCTTTACGTCCCCGGCTCTTTATCGAGGCAAATTACTACGTTTGAAGCGTGGATCGGCCATAGCTCGGTACGATTTGGGCCGGTTGACCATTGTGGATCTTGGGCGCGAGCAATAAAAGGGCATCAAACGCCGCTGCACTCGAGGGGAGCGTCCCAGAGCTTTCGAATAACTTTAGCTTTCTTCCTACCTTTTCAAAGGTACAACCAAACGCAACATGTCGCAACGAGCAGCACTCCTCATCGGTGATCTCAACCACGCGAGGAAGGAATGGCAAGAGTGTGCACAGGTTGCGTCGAAACTGCTTGAGTACCCAAAAGGCGGCCGGGAGGACTTCCTTTCGAAATGTCGAAGTGGCGAATTTGACGGCGTCTTCGTGCTCTACCGGAGTAACGACTCGAACCCCGTAACTGGAGATTTCAACGAGGAGTTGCTCGACGTCCTACCCAAGAGCCTGAAGTACATTTGCCACAACGGAGCTGGTTACAACAACATCGACATCGCAGCATGCACCAAGAGGGGCATTGCAGTGTCAAGCACCCCGATAGCGGTCAATGATGCGACTGCGGACATAGCGATTTGGCTGATGTTGGGCGCTCTGCGGAACATCAAGCACTCTTTCCAGGCAGTCAACCAAGGTGAGTGGCGATTTGATCCTCGCGGCAGCATTGACTGACACATTCCCAGGTAAATGGCGCGGGAAGTTCGAGCTCGGGCATGACCCCAAGAACAAGACGCTCGGTATCTTGGGCATGGGCGGCATCGGCTCTGCGGTCGCACACCGTGCGAAGGCCTTCGGCATGAAGATCCAATACCACAACCGCAATCGACTGCCCTCGAACGAAGAAGATGGCGCAAAATACGTGAGCTTCGAGGAGCTGCTGAAGACGTCCGATGTGCTCAGTCTGAACCTGGCCCTCAACCCCTCCACAAAGCACATCATTGGCAAGGCGCAGTTCGAAACAATGAAGGACGGCGTGATAATCGTGAACACGGCTCGAGGAGCATTGATTGACGAGGCGGCTTTGGTCGACGCATTGAAGAGCGGCAAGGTCTGGACAGTCGGGCTGGACGTGTTTGAGGAGGAGCCAAAGATCCACCCAGGACTGCTGGAGTGTGAGAATGCTGTGCTGCTGCCTCACCTTGGAACCGGGACATTCGAGACACAGGTGAGTCGTGTTGCTTCCATCGTTGGACGCATCGGACATGCGCTAACTGTACTAGCGCGATATGGAGCTGCTGGTCCTGGAAAACCTGAAATCGGCAATCAAAGACGAGAAGCTGTTGACGCAGGTGCCAGAACAGAAGAAGGAGAAGGCAAACATATGATTGAGAAGGATATGGACTTACCCGGAATATGGGGGGGCAATCGTGTGGAATCTGGTCGGCATTTGAAGACTCATGATAAACGAATGAGATAGGTATAAAACTTCAAACTACTGCTCTGGTGTTCTTTGAAAGTGTGGGGAAATCCTGGGGTCGGCATCTGACGAACTCCACTTCGTGCAAACGCCGAGTTTTCGTACCGACAGTGTGCGGACCTTTTGTCGGTCAATTGATCATCAAGAACTAACGGGTTGGTGAATGAGAGATACACTGTCGGCCTTTGAGCTGAGAGGTGCCTGTGTGTCTAGGTACATTTTCAGTTAATTGAAATACCAGGAACCAAGATACAGCGAAATCTTGCAACAGCTGGACAGCTACATCTAAGATTAGTATAGCAGTCTTGCACCTACATTCTTAGCAGTATACGCCTATCATGCACTTTTGTGTCCTTTTTCTCACATTTTCTATTTCTTCTATCTTGCTAGAGCATCATGGTGGCATCCATGACAGCGACGTTTCGTCGTCAAGTTGACCCAAAGTCATACCTGATAGTGTGGCAATACATCAAAGGCCCGGCAGGCTATATTGTCCTCCACCTTTTTCTTTTTCCTTTCACAAAGATTCATCATCCGGTAGCTCCTTCTTGAACATCTCTTCGAACTTTTCGAACTGCCTCCTGTCGTTGGACTGCATCGCTTCCCCCATCTGTTCCAAGCAGTGCGCTCCCTTCTTTCCTATCTCCTCGGCATGTTGCTCATAGAGTCCCGCATACATCTCGTACTTTTGTTGCATTGCGTTGGAGGGAGTCGCTCCTGTCACAGCACCCACACCCTCGTCGTCCACATCCTCGTCGTCTTCTTCTCCGATATTGCCAAACATCGCAAAATCGTCGCAAGTCTCTGGATTCTCCAGGGTATCGGTGGTGTCTTCGGAGTCGTCAAGATACATATCATCGATCGTGGCATTGGTAAGGCGAGTTCGTGATATGGTAGGATCGTAGTACTCAGTTGGCACTTTGATCTCGCGGACCATCTGCTTCAATGCTTCGTAGCACTCCGAGTCAAAGTCAAACAGCAACATGTTGGAGGCCCAGGTTTGAGCTACCATGTTCTGGGCTGCATCGTTCCGGTCTTTGAGAGAGGTAGGACCTTGAGTCCATCCGCTGAGCATCTGCCTGCCATGTTCTATATGTCCTATAGACATACGCAACGGGGAGCGAGGTCGGAGAACCATGGGAAGTCCAAGGAACTCAGCATAGCGCGACTTGAGCTTTTGGAAATCGGAAAATGAGTAGGTCTTCCCCTTCCACTCGTCCTCCTCTTTGATCTTACAGTGAATGACGCAGGCGATGAATACAATCTCGATAAAGATTGTTTCCGGGTCCTCGATCGTTTCGAAGTATCTGTTGCATGCCGACGTCATCATCTTGAGACGATCTGTTGCGAATCTGAAGGCGACATCGCTGTTCCATCCGGCAGGCATGCTACCTGGTTCACCGACCCAAACCCAACGATCTTGAGTAGATTTGTCTAGTTGGCATCCAAACTCAGCCTGGATTTCGTCGATGAGCACCTTCATTCGAGCAAGGACATCGCTGGCCCAATTGAGACGTGTGGTTCCAAACTGCAAAACTTTCGGCAACTCTGTCTTTGACGCTAGGCGCGCACCAGCTGATGTGTTGAGCCCATGCTTGAGTTTGCCGCTCTGACAACTTAACCGCATCGACTCCACACGAGAGTTGCTCAGCCCTGACCGGCCCTTCTTCGAGATAGGAAACAACAACCGTACTAGGGTGAACTCGGTACACAAAGCGATCATCTTCATTCTCTCCTCTTTCAGTGCTTTGTCTTTTCCAGGCTGACCAAGCTCGCTGGATTCCGCAATCTTATCGGTGTTCTTGAGATACCTTGCCAACTCTTCCAGAAAACCTGGGATATGCGTGTGTTTCATCATATTCAGAGCGAAAGTCGTAAGAACAACATTATCGGCAGAATGTATGAGAGTCATATCAGTCCCGCGGCCGAATGGAAAAGCTGCATCGACAGAAGGGGCAAAATGGCGATTGCGCTCTGGAAGAAGTGTGCGCATCTGATCACAATAGCTGTCTTTCCATTCAAAGCCTTCGATACTTGCACGAAGGTACTGAATGGCCAAGCCTTCGTTTTCCTTGTCTTCGCTACCGCTGGCTTCGGCACGAGCGATGATGATTCGAAAACGATGGCGGATCCAGTATGCAGGGTCGAACGGCTTTGTGGCCCGCTCGATTGTGCATACTTTACAAATTCGTAGACCATGTGCAGCCATGGTGAGATGTCCGCATCGAAAGGAACGACCGCAGTCTCCGCAGCAGTGGATGATCTCAGAATCCGTGAATTCATCGCAATAACACGTGGATAGCGACGGTTCGCCGTGTCGTATCGCTTCGTTTACCATATCAGCTTGGATCACAGCCTGTATCCATGCATCTGTAACAGAAGCAGTGCTGATGTACGTATTGTTCAAGGCTTCAAGGACTGGCACCACTCGAGCACGGTCGCGGGAGTTCACGACTACAGCTGGTAGGTAACAGCCAGGTATCAAGTCTTTTCGAAGTTGATCCGAAGGTACGATACTCCAAGACAGGAATTGGCGATCGAGAGTTACCAGGCTATTGCCGCCGTAGACCAAAACCGCTTTGAGTATCTTCTTGTTGGCTCTCTCCTTGATCCAATTTTCGGCAAATAATCTGAACTGGTCTGGCGTTGCTACCATCATGAAGGTAGCTGCCAGAAGCCCACGAGCAAGCTTCTCGATCTTCTCCACATGATCGCGATCCTCACCTTCGTTGAACAGCTCGGCTGGAAGCCCACTATCGTGTAGTTCTTCTTGGCCGTCGGCTGAGAGCTTGTACGAATAGCAGTCGTAGTCGAACACGCGACCCTTCGTTCCTCCGCCTTCGTACTTGACGAAACCAAATCCCTTGGGAATGAATGTTGACGTATCATCGGTAGTGATAGCGATGGAAAGTGGGGAGATGGTGTATTCCCACTGCATACTCGGCATGAACGTAATGGGATCAACGAGTATCGGGTTGAGATAGAACGACGATTTGTCCCTCTTATGCGCATAGTTGGGACTCCGCAAGTATGTGCGGTCATGGCGTGCAAGAGATGCTCGAATTAGCCCCCAAATATGTGACGCTCCCAACACTGGTTCACTGTCTGATGTGATGGCGTCGATAGTCCCTGGCCATCCATTGAGGGCCTTCGTCAGATCGGTGCACACGAGGTCGGCTGTGGTCTGGGTCAAGGCTGAAGCAATCCAAAGTCCGAAGTATCGGCGTTCGATTGTGCCGTCTGATGCTGTTCGTTCTGCAGCGAATACCCACGGCTTCAGAGTCTTCTTAGGCTTGCCCGCCCCAACCCTGACAGGTCTACCCTTGGCCCGCTCAACCACGGGTACGAAAGTGCGTCCTTCTCTCACAGGCATGTTGAAGAAGTTGTGAATGCTGTGGTTGATGGCCGTAGCAGCAGGAGTAGGTTTCCGGTGTACTTTCAGTTTGACGTTGGACAACAGAGTCTTGAACCGCTGGAGAAGAAGTGTGCGTTCATCTGAGTAGACTTCTTCGCTTGACTTAGATCTGCGGAGGCCTTCGGGAAGCGTCTCGCTTTCTCCTTTGACCGCCTGTGAGCTTGACCCGGGCGATAGGAAAGTCTGCATTTTTCGGTCTGGACCACGTTTGAAAGGCCGCTGTTTCATGACCGTCTTTTTGCGCTTCGAAGGGTTGCCGTTGTGGTCGCTGCCCGCTTTCTCCTCGGCCTCACTCTGCTGATACTCATCGTCAAGCGTATTGTCCTCATCTTGGAACGCGTCGCTTGCCCGGCGTTTCGCAGTAGTCTCAGGCTGTTCTCCTGACTTCTTCTTCTTGCTTGAGAGCCGTCCGGAACGTCGGTGGGGTGGATCTGCCATGTTGTCACGTACGCCAACAAACAGTGAGTTGTGGTTGTGTGTGCGTGATGTGGGCGTGGGTAGAGAAGGAAAAAATATTATGCTTATTTGTGGGCGTTTGTTTGCCAGTTCACCAGATTTTGCTAGCGTCACACGCAAAATCAGGTGCGTGTGGGGCTCTTTCCTATTTTCGAGTGAAAGCTGGAAGTCACCTGCGTTCATCTTACACAACAGCGCAAAACATGGTTGGAATAAAAGGTTAAAGATAACGCGGGATATTTATGAAGAGGTAGGACGTCAAGTACGTTCATTTTTCCTATCAAGTATGTGTGTGGTTTTCGGAAGTTATTGGAAGACTTTGCTCTAGCTCAGTTGCGGCTTTCACTGAACCTTTGAGCGCTTGTTGCCAATCCACCAGAACCAGGTAGCGTCACATGAAAAATTAGTTGTTAGGCAGCAAACTAAATTAATATCGCAATGGTAATCACAACGGTTATCACCACAGTTGTCACACCGCAGTTGCCTCAACCGCCAAACACGACTCATCTCTACTTGCAGACATGTCATCCAATACGTTGGACAACACCAGCCGGGCACTGCACGCGCTATTCTGCTATGCTTGGGACAAATTTGAGGCGCACCAAGCAGAAGAAGCGAACGCCATGTGTCGTCGGTTGCTCCTCGAGCCGCGCCTGAGCCCTCTCGGTTGGGCTGGCTGTCATCTCGTCCTTGCACACTCGCCGGATCAGTCTGTGTAAGTTTGGTGCAGTTTTTACATTTAGTCGAGGTTTCTTTTGTGAATGCACTGACTTGGATATAGGGAACATGCTCAGGCCGCCTTAGAGGCGTATCAGAACTTGTTCTCTGATGAGCCCGCCCTCACCGAACTACACCTCCAGTCTCAGAAACAGCTTATTGAGCTCACCGAGAGGGTACTCGCCGAGAGGCAACAGATCGATGCTGAATACTCTCTTCAACTTGACGAGATGGGAGAGGCCGACGAGATGGAAGAGGATACGGAAGAGGAAGAGGAAGATGACACGGATGAGGAAGAGGAAGGAGATATGGAAGATGATGATGAAGAAGACGTGGGAGGGGTGATCGAACTCTTCGGCGACCAGACCCAGCGCACTGCCGATGCTCCCGAAGTTGCCGACACTCATGCTTCAGATGTTCAGACGGCAGCACTACGGTCCTCGCTCTTAGCTCTCCCTTTGACATCTGGCTTGCCCACTCCTGCTGGGTCGAAGCGGCCTTCTCGCCATCCTACTGATACGGATAACAAGTGAGCTCTGTCAGAACCATGTGCTCCCTACTTTATCAGTTGGAGGGATTGGATACAGACCATAGTGTTTAGGTATGATACAGGCGGTTGGGGCTAGGTAGTCAGTGTCACGGGTCTTGCCATGTACATAATGCATGAGCAACCTAGCTAGCTCTCTGACGGATACACCATACAATACATACACACATCTACATGAACAGTAACGTACCATCTGTTTCCACCTATCAACATATTGATCAATTGCCAGTAACAACATACATGAATTCGACAATTCTCAACTCAAAGACCAACAGTGCCCCTCTCATTTACTAACCTGTCGTTCCCATTCCGTTGGTTTATCATGAGGTCAACGTACTCTTCTGAATTAATATAAATACGACGCTATTTCCTGCTTTCAGCTCTACGGGAGGGCCTGCATTATCGGATGTAACCGCAGTCCTTGTCTAAATGTCCAACGATTTTTGTTGACTCATGCGCACAGCGCTGTATAGGTGACTTGGTCATGCCGCGGCGTTTGAATGGAGGAAGATCTACTACTTGTTGAGTGTCGGCCCACTTCCCCACTGGGGACCCCACGCCACGCATCGCATTGCCCCGACATACCCGATACTTATAAAACACAATATATCGCCTTATGCTTTGGAGAAAATAAGCACTTCTGTAGTAACGCAATCATGGCTAAATTTGATTTTCCTGCAGTATGGCGAGACATCAAGACTCACCGACGCGCCTATGTCCTCACCGCGGCCGCGTCTTTTGGAGGGTAAATAATCTGCATGGTTTTATATGACTTTAATACAACTAACATCACCGGAGTATGACGTTCGGATGGGATACGGGATTAATTGGGGGGGTTCTGACAATGGATGCGTTCCAGCATTCATTCAAGTGAGTTGTGGTGGCTATCCTGATCGTTTTGGTGTCTAACAAAAATGCAGTCTTGACCCCAAAAGCCCCAACTTCAGCAATCTGCAAGGCAACATCGTTTCTGTCCTTCAGGCTGGCTGCTTCTTTGGTGCTCTGGCATCCTTCTACATCAGCGACACATTTGGGCGCAAAAAGGCGCTGCTCTTCGCCGATGTTATTTTCATCATTGGATCCATCGTGCAGACCCTCTGTGCAATCAACACTACCAGCTTGACCCAACTGTACATTGGACGTGCGATTGGGGGATTTGGTGTCGGCTTGATCTCTGCTGTCGTGCCCACATACATCAGTGAGAATGCACCAAAGGAAATTAGAGGACGATGCGTTGGATGCATGGTAATTCTGGCCCTCTTCAAATTTTTGCTATTCATAGCTAACTATCCTAGCAACTCTTCAATGGTGAGTTTGACTGTTTCAAGGCCCCCTCGTTGTTCACAGCTGACCATCCAAAGTTACCGGCATATGTCTTAGTTTTTTTGTGAACTACGGAATCAATCTTGACATTACAGACCCAACAGACTCCAAAAAATGGCGCGTGCCTTTTGCTCTACAAATGCTTCCAGGCGTTCTGTTGTTCGTTGGCATACTCTTCCAAAACGAGAGCCCCCGTTGGCTGGTCGAGAAGAACCGTATTAAAGATGCTGCCAAAGCGCTGGCACACGTTCGTGGCAAGCCTGTCGAGGACCCAGATGTGATCCAGGAGCTGGACGATATCGTCAACGATTTCAACGGACACGAGAAGTTGTCGCTGGTGGCTCAGCTCAAGGCGGCCTGCTCTGGCAAGCGCGTATTCTACCAGTCCTCATTTGCAGTTATCCTCATGTTCTGGCAACAGTGGACTGGGACAAACTCAATCAATTACTACGCACCGCAAATTTTCAAGCAGATTGGTCTTACTGGTGGTTCGTCTGGGTTGTTTGCGACGGGCGTGTATGGCATCGTCAAGATTGTCGTAACCGCCATTGGCCTCATGGCATTTACTGAGCAGCTGGGCCGCAAGTGGTCGCTCATCATCGGGTCTGCCGGTCAAGCTTTCAGCATGTTCTATATCGGCGTCAACATGGCAGTCCACCCACCGACTGGAGTGCTGGATGGAAACTCGATTTTCGCCATCATCTGCGTGTACTTGTTTGTGGTCTTCTACTCGTTCGGTAAGTCTCTTCTTTACTTGAAACACATCACAAGCTCTTGCTGACGATGAAAAGGCTGGGGTCCAATCCCGTTTGTGCTGAGCTCAGAGTGCGCGCCTAACCACGTACGCTCTCTCATCATGGCCTGCGCTCTGATGACCCAGTGGCTCTTCAACTTTGTTATTGCAAAAATCACTCCTATCATGCTGGCGGATATCACGTATGGCACGTTTCTGCTGTTTGGATCTCTGTGCGTTGTCATGGGCGTGTATGCAGTTTTGTTCGTGCCTGAAACAAAGGGGGTGCCGCTGGAGTCGATACATGTGCTGTTCGAGGGCAACATCATCAAAGGCGCGCTGATGGACACGTTTCCTGGCAAGTCGCGGGCAAAGGGGCTCCAGAACCACCACAACGCGGATGACGTGGACTCGGTTGATGGCGACGGTGTCAGGAAGGATGGCACACGTGTTGAGCATAGGGAGGAGGCGTAGGGGAGATTAGAGTGAACCAGGGAATCGGTCGATACGACGGGATGAGATCATGACTGGATAAGAAAGCATGGCTTTTGTAGCAAATGGTGGAATTATAATGCCGAAGTCTTGATACGCGTGCTGGGCTTCCCTGTGCACATCACGGTTTGGCAAGGACGACTCGGACCGCGTTTTCATTATCAATTGGCCGGCCAGTCAGCGCAGCAGGTTCTGTGCAGCGTGTTCACAGGCGAAGATCGTACTCGTAAAGAGGAAATGATTCGGGCCGCACAGCGCGTGGTGACCGGAGTGAGGCGTCTCGTTGCGGGGCGATGGGCAGGTTGGGCTTCCCACAGGGCTATCCTGCCCAAGAAGAGTCAGTTGGGCGACGGACAAATGCCAGAGTCCAGCTAGAGGGCGGGGCGACGTTGACAGCGATAGCCGGCGTCTGCTTGCAGCAGCACCATGGCAGACGGCTCGCAGAGTGAGGCGTAGACAGCGGCGGCGAATGGCACGCGGCCGTCGTGCAGCGTTACCAAGCAGTCACGCAGCGGCGGCGGGGCAGCGTGCAGACGCATGGCGAGGCAGGGTTTTTCTTGGCGCTACCATGTCATAGTGGAGATCCCTACTGGATGCCGGCGAGCCAGGTGGACGTCCTGTCTGCGCACACAGGAGCCACTCGCCGCCAGCAACCTCACCCGCCCCTGTAGCCGTTCATTCTTCCTCTCGTCGCGCACCGCACCCTCTGACACTTCGCCGCCCGCCCACCAGGTCCTCCCTGCGCGCCACCGCCCACCTCACGTTGTCTGCCCTCGCCCGACCCCAGGCCCCTGCCGCCGTCGAGGACGTTGCTACTATCCAGGCAGCTTGGGCCGCGACTTTGCATCATCCTGCTCCCGGGCTACCCACACGCGAGTGTCGCCGCGAGCCCGCGTGCTGGTGCTGTCAGCCAAATTCCCGGACACGCACCGAGCGCTCGCCCTTATACCGGCACCATGTACGTCCACCTGCGGCACTGCTCTTCGCCAGACGTTGTTTCTGCTTCTCTGTCGTTTGTGCCAAGCCCTCCATCCCACGCCCCTCTCTGCACCGGCTGACAGACATGTTGGGTAGCGTCGCCGTCCCTCTGTTCTCCTCGAAGCCGTCAGGCCTGCGGAGGAACTCACTGCAACCCAGCACCGCGCCTGCGCTTCCGCCGCGACGCAACTCGCTAGCCACCACGCCCGCCGCCAAGACTGCACCGCTGCTGCACGTCAAGTCTGTCACCGTCGCTGACACCATGGACCCGCGCTACTACCGCTCGACCTCGCCGCGTCGCCATGCGAACCCCGCGAGGTCGTCGACGGGCACCTTCAGCGACCCTTACTACGACCCCGCCTATTACAACCGCGCCAGCTCGCCCCGCTCCAGTGGCGAACGCATTGCGGGGTCCCACCACCAGCCGCTGTATTCGCCCACCACCCCGTCTGCCCTGCGCAGCAGCAACCTCAAGTACGACTCGTACACGGGACGACCGCGCCGCAACACCGAAGACCGTGTGGCGCGGCCCAATGCCAGCACCTCGGCCGTCCCCGCCCTGCCCATCCGCACGCCCTACACCAGCCTCGACCGCCCCTCCAGCCCGCTCACCAAGCCCTTCGACACCCGCGGCGACACGTACATCACCCAGGGCCCCTCGCGACGCGAGCACAAGAAGATCTACAGCGTCGACGATGGCAGCCATACTGCCCAGCTCATTGCCGAGAAAGACGTCCTCGAATCCAAGCGCCACCGGGACAGTGCAGGCGGCTACAGCGTGACAAGTGGAGGCCGGACCTACCACAACAACAGCAAGCCCCCACCCCGCCTCCCCGATGTCAGTGACGAAGGCTACTCGTACACCGATCCGGCCAGCATGTACCGAGACACCGAACCAGCCTGGCGGCGTCCACGCACTGGCAGCAACGAGCGTGGCGCCCGTCCCAGCAGCATGATAGTCGACCGTCCTGCACGTAACTCTGCGCGAGAACTAGGCCCGCCCCCATCGACCCGCGGCTTTGAGAAGCTCATAAACAGCCTCCCCCGGATCCACGGCAGGTCTTCGTCCATCGACAGGCCACGAGACGCCCCCAAGTACGATTCCTACGCTGATGCTGCTCCTGCCCGCACCTCGTCGACCCGCCACCACGCACCAGCGGTTCACCAGGAGCCGCCTCGTGTAGAGCCCCGTGACCACCGCCGGGATTCCTACGGTGACGACTACGAACGACGCCCCCGAGAGGCAGAGAACAGGCGTCACAGCACTGTTGACCGCTTTGAAGATCGCGAGATATCGGCTCGGGGCTTTGGTATCGCTCCTGTACATCCCAGCCTTCCCCAAGACCACCACGCCGTAGACCGACAGCCCACATGGAACGCTCCAGAAGTCTCACGACCACGACAAGAAGAGGTTGCTCCTCAGTATTACGCACCGGAACGTGCTGAAGCTCGCATGCCCGATCCTCATGTGTCACGTGAGCGAGCAGCACCAGCACCAGCTTATCCTAACAACACCGCATCAGCCTACCCTAACACTGCACCAGCATATCCTAACAACACGTCAACTTATCCCAGCACCGCACCGACTTATCCTAGTACCGCACCGACTTATCCCAGCACTGCACCAGCCTATCCTAGCACCACGCCAACCTATTCCAACCCCGTCGAGGAGCGTCCCAGAGAGCGTGAAGAATCTCGCCGTGGTGCCGTTCCAATTGCGGCTGGCGCTGTTGCTGGTGTAGCTGCTACCCTGGGTGCCGCTGGATTAGTAAAATCTAGGGAGCGCGAGCGTGAACGTGAACGCGAGAGTGACCGCGACTCATCTGGAGAGCGAGAACGACGCAAGCAATGGGACGAGCGCGACCGCCGTGACCGATACGAAGAACGACGTGAAAGGGTACCCGAAGAGCGACGTGAGAGGCCTGAAGAACGACGCGAGAAGCCTGAAGAGCGGCGCGAGGAGAAGCGTGGGAGGCGGCCTGAGGAGCGTCGTGAATCCCCACCCGCCACTCCATCCAAGACTTACGCTCCGCCTGGTGCTTATCCCTCTCCTCCTGACACTGACCGCAAGGTTCGGGAGGTCCGACACGAGGACGAGCCGAGGAGCAAGCCTGCTCGCAAAGCACCTTCACCTGAGGGGAGCGGCGATGAACGACCACGTCACTACGTCAACCCAGAGGCCGAGCGTCGAAACGACGTAGCACCACAGGAGGCTGTCCTTGATCCAGATGAGGAGTATCGCCGCCGCGTGCAACAAGAGGCCGAGCGAAGCGGTCGTGGGCAGCGCGATCGAGACAGCGACTCGGAGCGGGAGCGTGAGCGTGATCGCCAACGACGGAAGGAGGAGAGGAGCCGATCTCGTGCCCGTGAAGAGCGTTCCCGCGAAGAACGCCCCCGCGAAGAACGTCCACGAGAAGAACGGCCCCGCGAAGAACGCCCCCGTGAAGAACGCCCCCGTGAAGAACGCTCCCGCGACGAACGCTCATCGAGTTTGTACGACCCCAACCTTGTGCAAGAGCCCGCATCTATCGACAGGTCTGCAGTAGAGCAACCCAGCAAGGCCGTTCAGATCGTAGAGCCCACCAGGGATTCACCACCTCCCATCAAGAGCATTCTCCGCAAGCCTACCGAGAAGTTCCCCGAACACCCTGAGCCAATCCGGGAGGGAGTCGCTCCCCACAAGGACTCCTTGAAAGGGAAGGATATCCCTGTTGGTGCTCGATGGACCAGAATTGACCGCAAACTTGTCAATCCTGAAGCTCTAGAACAGGCCAAGGAGCGCTTTGAGGAACGTGCGGACTGCGTCATTGTGTTGCGTGTGTTGACGAAGGAGGAAATCCAAAAGCTTGCTGATCGAACCAAGAAGATCCGCGACACTCGAGGTATGTGATTCTATCAGCCGTCTGACAGGGTGGAACTGACTGGTTCGTAGAAGACGAATATGACCATCGCGATCGACGAAGCAACCGCAGTCACCGCGACGACGAGGAACGTGATCGAGACCGTCGACGCCGCTACGACGAAGACGACTACAGTGACCGTGACGACACTCTTCGAGACCGTGAGCGAGAGCGTGAACGCGAGCGCGAGCATGACCGACCTAGGATGCTCGAGCCGGCCAGGTGATTGAGCGAAAATGACCTCCGTGCATTGCCAGTCTTCCTACCGAGCCGCTCGCTCACATGCAATGGCTAGGAATCATGGAGAAAACGGCACAGAGCACTACCAGTCTAGGCGGAAGGAGCGTGAGAACGGGGTTGAGGGCTCTGCAGGCAGGCCCTCCCCAAAGAAGCATTCAGACGAGAAAGCGGGATTTCATGGAGAGTACGATGATAAGCCTCGCGATCGTCACAGTCAAATTGATGGGACGGACGATTGTGAGAAGTCTGTATCATCGCGGGAGTAGAGTAGGGCACCGGCGTGTGCATGGCAGTGCGAGCGAGGGCGCAGATGTGGAACTTGGTGAGGAAAAGTTGCTTTAGCAGGGTGTTGGAATGGTTCTGATTTTTTATGCGATGTTCGCGGATGGGTTTGGGTGGTTTATATGTACAGATAGTGGGGACTTGTTAGGGGCGTTGAAATCATTTTATTCTTGTTGTTCGTCATGTCTGGGCCATGTGCTTGTGTGTGTGAAATTCGTTTTCTACATGGCATGTAGGTTTGCTTCTGATATGCTGTTCTACCCCGCGGTGTCTGCCCCGCGTTGCAAGGCTGGAGGTTGACTCATGGGATGGAACAGTAGTCTGGAGGAAACGCCGTTTCTCAATGCTGACACCATGATTTGTCTTGGAGAATATAGTCTTATGATATTTGCATTCCTTCATCAAACCACCCATCTCGGGTCGTATAGTGGTCAGTATTTCTGCTTGTCATCAGACAGTTCGCAGGAGGCCGGGGTTCGATTCCCCGCTCGAGAGTACTCTTTTTGCCTACTTTTTGCACGGTCTCCTTACCTCACATCTAATCAAGGCCATCTTTTGCTGTATCTCCTGCTTGGAATTGCTTTTTGCTAGCGTATACAGCTCCTCAGTATATAAACAGACAAGTGTAGCAGCATACCTAGCGGGTTGAGCATGCTGGTTTGCTGTACGTGTACCCCTACGCCAAGGCCGTCACAACAACCAGATATCAACAGTTACGTGCATGAACGAGCAATGAGGTCAAGATTGGAGTGATAAGACTAATCGATAACATCCTGACGTCATTCATCCTAAATTCACATGTGAAAGCGAAAAAGTCCGTACATGGAGATAGTGTAAACACGCATGATAAGTCTTGCACCACCCGCTGTCTTTCAACACAACCTCTACCTGTTGATTCCCCATCATCCCAACACAATGACTGCATCCAACGATAGAGTGGTGAGCTCGATCCGAGAAGTACCCGTTACGCAGGAGCGCAAGCCATTCCTCTCCCCAAAAGACTCCGAGCTCCAAAACGCCGGTGAGTTTCAACGCCCAAATCACCCATACCACCCGACTAACAACCCCAGGAACCGCACGCGCCAACCTCGCCCCCTCTTCCGAAACGCCCTCAGGAACCACATCCCGCGGCTGGGCGACCAAGCACGCGCACCAAACCGTCCTGCAGCAACACTGCGACTTCTTCGACCGGGACCACGACGGCATCATCTGGCCCCGCGACACATTCATCGGCTTCCACCGCCTGGGCTTCAACATCCTCCTCTGCCTCATCTCCGTCCTCGTCATCCACGCAAACTTCTCCTACCCGACCTGCCCCGGCTGGCTGCCAGACCCGTTTTTCCGCCTCTTCCTCAATAATATCCACCGCGATAAACATGGGAGTGATACGGGTACGTATGATACTGAGGGTAGGTTCGTGCCCCAGCATTTCGAGAATATATTCGCCAAGTATGCGCAGGGGAGGGGGTATTTGACTGTGAGGGATGTGGCGAGGGTGTGGAATGGGCAGCGCTGTATTGCGGATCCGATTGGATGGGGTGGCGCGTTCTTTGAGTGTAAGTGCTTGTGCTTGTGATGGGGGTGTTTGGGGCTTTTGCTAATGAGAGGGGCGTAGGGACTGCGACGTATATCATGCTTTGGCCGGAGGATGGGCGCATGATGAAGGAGGATATTCGGGGGGTGTATGATGGGAGTATTTTCTATACTATTGCTGCGAGGCGGGAGAAGAAGCAGTAGATGAGGTGGGTTTAGGGGTATACCTTTTGTTGACTAACGAGGGAGATGTGTGGCCGACTGAGGAGGAGGGTCCGCGGGTATAGATAGCACCCCGGCATACATACCTTTCACATACGACCATAGGGGCAAGAATCTAGCGCTTCCCGTTTGCTCAGCGGTACTCAAGCTTGCGACCGGCGGTTTAGTAGCTAATTGGGTGACCCTTGGCGAATTCCCGCTGTTGTATGTTATCTTTTTGCTTGTCTGGCGGATCTGGGCTGTCTATGGCGCTGGTCTGGTATTTCGACGGCGATGAGGTTGGTGTTCTGGATGATCTGGTTGGTGCGGACAGGTTTATATGGCTGTTTTCTTTTACTTGAACAGGCTGAAACTGCGAACCTTCTGCCATAATGGACAAAACTCAACTCCAGCGTCGCTATAGTGTGATCGTCAAGCAAGATGATGTTCATGACTCGGTAGGTTGTGAGAGTGAGGGGAGTGAGGGGAGTGAACACCTAGGGAACGACCACACTTAGCGCATGGCCTGTGCTCAAGCATATCCAGACCGCGCCTTTAAATTCAGAAAGATAGTCACACTACCTACACCGCAACAGAAAAATAACATTTCCAGGCGACCGCAAACCGTCCACTCTCCCAAGCCTAAATGGCGGGCAAGAACAACCACCGCATAAGAGACGCCAAAAAGCGCCGCCGAACCCTAGCAAACAAGTCTCGTCTGCACATCACAGCCCACCCCCACGGCCTGCGAACACTCAAACCCTCAGCTAGGAAACAGCTCGAACGCGATCGTGCGCCTGGGCTATGGATCTACCCGTGGTATCTTGATCCGACGCGGCAGCCACAGGCGCGTCAGTATCCACACGCAAGTCTACTCGGGCTGCCGGCGGAACTGCGACAGAGGGTCTTGTACGAGAGTTTCGATGTGCAGGATCTGCGGGTGGATGGACGTAGGTGGACGGAAGCGGACCGGCGAGATGTGACTTGGGCGGGTACGACCAAGACGATGAAGCTTAGGAGAATGGACCAGGGCATCCCAAAGCACCTCGAACTAACGCGCAGCGAAGGCGGACTTGTCGTTGTGCTAGGACGGCGGATCGCGCAGATGTGTCGTGTCGCGCCGCTCGTTCGCTCGGATATGTTGTACGTCGGAAAGATGTGGGAGCGCGACTTGAAGAGCTATGTTGAGCGCGAACTCTGCGACGTCCAGATGCACGGGTTGAGTCTTCCTGTTGTCGCGGCGGGGTCTCAGTGGCTGGTCGACGTCGAGACTGAACAGCGGACGCGGAAGAAAGGCACGTGTGTTGAGATATATGCGGGACGCAAGCATCGACCGCCGAAATGCTGGTATTGTACGGAGAGACATAGGGGTGGTGACTCTGTTTGTCCGATGGCGAGGCGCGATCCTGAGAGGTGGGGAGAGATGACGAAGAAGGTTGGTGGGAAGAGGGGAGGTGTCCGGCTGTGTCGGGTGTTCAAAGGGAGGAAGATTGTGTTTCGTGATGAGGAGGCTTGAGTGTAGAGACTGCTTACTCAGAGGTTGATTTGGGGAAGACCGTTACATGGAACATCATCTACCCAGGTTGTACATGATCCCAGTATATGTCTGTAGGAGGATACAGCGTCATAATCCCGCTTCAGCCAATACACCCTCAGGTAAGCTACGTTTAACACGTCTGGTCGAGATACAACAAGTAGCAAATAGATTAGATTAGTTTCTTATACCTATCAACGTGCTCATCAACTCGGCCGCCCAAAAGCCAACTTCGCCTGCCCTTTCTCGACGCCCCCACCTCTTCCTGCAACACTCCCTGCACCGCTTGCTGGCGGCCGACCTCTTCCTCGCGCTGACTTCTGGCCTACTGGTGTTTTCCGCCCATTCTGTGCAGGAAGCGGCGGATTCCTCTCATCTTGTCGCATCTCCTTGGACAGGTCAAGAGCAAAGTGGTAGTCTTCGTGCTCGCCCTTCTCGGTGGAAGGTAGATGGACGTTACAGCGCGAGCAGTAGAATTCATCGACTGTCTGTTGACGTGATAAGGGTTTTGGGCGAGGTACTGGGGTGACGGGAACATGCGAGTTGACTGGATCTGTATCGAATTCGTCTGTGGCGGGTTGTGGTTGTGCTGAGGGCGGTGTATTTGATCCAAAATGACCTTCGTCTGTATCGTCACGACGTAACAATGGCGTGGATGGTCTGCCGATTTCGTCATCATGGGCGTCCTCGAAAGGATCTTCATCCTCATGCTGCTCCATATCGTCTTCAGTCTCTTCCCTAGTGGACTCGCTATGCGACTTCAGCAACACGGCTCGCGCAGCGTCAAAGTCTTGCTTCTTGTCATCGCGCGGCCCAAAGAAGTTGGCGATGTTCCCTTTCTTCGTTCTTCTTCTTTTCGCAGGTGGCTCACCACCGCTGGTGGATCGGCCTGTGGACATCATAGCTTTTGCTTCTTCGCCTCGCACAAGGAACCCGCCGATCCCTTTGTTGTTTGTGATTCCGTCTTCAAACCCGCCAACGCTAAGAGACAAGTTGGCACAAGGCCATGCGCGCCCGCTAACCACAACCTGTGCAAAGAGATTCTTGGCTAGGTCGAACAGCATGGTCTCTGAGAGTGGCTTGCCTCCAGGTATGGGAGCGGATCGACTTCGCGTCTGCGTGCCTTGGCGGTGGTAGAGATTGAGAGTTTTGGGCCGTCTTTTGTTCTCCATTACGCCCTCTTCGACACACCTCGAGAAGATGTCGGCGGCGAAGATTCGAAGCCATCTGGCGCCCTGCTCGAATGAGTTGATTGTGGGTCTGAACGATTTGGCTGACAGCATGCTCTTGATCTGTGTACGCGGGTTCACTTCGCTATTGTCTTCTCCTCTTATTATCGAGTGCAGCCATGATCCAGTGTCATCACCGAGCTTCTTCAGCTGGTCCAAGGGCTGCTGGACGAGATCCGCTACTTTATCAGTGCCGAACATGGCAACAATCTCATCCCCTAGCTTTCCACCAAGCATTCTAATTTTAGTGAACTTCATGTCCGACAGAAAATGCTTCACTGCTCGATTTCGAATGACCGTCTGCTGGTTGGGCTTCTTGTAACCAGACCCCAACTTTGCGAGCATCTTGTTCCTGGCCAGACCTCCAGAACATGTGTATCCAAGCGTGTTCCATATGTGTTTTCGAACGTCGCGTACAATCTCCGACGCGATGACCATGCACACATCATCCCAATCCGGATCCTTCTCTTCGCCGCCCTCGACGCCCGTTTCGACGAGCGCATCGGCAGCCCAATCCAAAACGGTAGTCGGCACCTTGGGCAAGTACTCCGTAGGGTCATCATATGGGGCGGGTCCTCTAAGCTCAGGGTATCGTTCCAGCAATATAGTGTGCACCTGAGCGCTCAGATCCATAAACACCTCGTCGATACTCGCTTTCTCCACACGCTGCTCCTTCTCCGGCAGAGTCTCTTTTATGCACTTCAAGATCTTCCGACTTTCCAGGCGATACGGATCCAAGCTCACTTTATGCGTGGCTATGTGTGCGAAGGCATCCTCATGATACGCCCACGTCTCGTCGCCCTCCTTCCACGTCGCGACATGTTGTAGTATAAGATCGGGACACTGCTTCAGCGCCTCGGTAAACGTGACGTGCCGACTCAGCCCACATGCGCGTGCAGGGTAGTTGATTGCTATGAGACCCTGCCATTGCTGCACCGCGAGGGGTTTGGTAGGATCGAGACCGAGCCGGACGGTTTCGCACTGCGCATAGAAAGCGTCGAGATCCACGTGTGCAATGACGCGGAGAGGGGTTTGCGTACTGTACGACTTCAGCTGGTGTAGCTGCTTGTACGTGAATTTGGATTTCGGGATGCGACGCGGGGACGTGACGGAGAAGGGAGACGAGGCGAAGAAGGCCGCTGGCGAGGACATTGTGGAAATCAAAAGACCATGTCGTACCCTGCCCAAAAACTATGTGTAATGATCCTCGATGCGCTTGTCGCTAGAAGCTAAGACGCGGTGGTTGTTTTCGCGGTTTCAAGCTTCCGTCGCGTCTTCCCGCGATCCCGTGGCTGCGCGTCATTCACAGACGAGATCGCGCTAGTCATCGGAACGCCCGATCTGTCTTCGTCACTCTGCATGTCTTACGAGTCCGTGCTGGTTCATGCCCGTATGTCCATCAACTAGGCGCTAAACTGCGTGTAAATGTTAGATATTCAATGATTGTGCACTACTCCACGCTTGACTGCGAGAATCAATGTCGTCATGATCTAAGCGCGTCAAAAACTATAGTTAAACTTACACTTTTCAATTGACAATCGATCTTCAATACATACATTCTCATATTCCCCTACTTATCCTACCTAATTCATCGAAATCACCTCACCCACAATGTCCTTCCGCAACCCCAAAATCATCATTCCATCCGCCATCAACATCTTCGCCATAGGCTCCTCAACCTTCTACCTTCGCTCAAAGATAAACTACAACCTGGAAGAGCAAGAAGCGCGACTCGACGAGATCGAAGGGACGCTAAGAGGCCACATTGGGCTCATCGAAGACGCATTGGATAGAGTCGAAGGCAAGCCAAACGCGAATAAACAACAAGAACTCTACGGCAAGCGAGGGAGAGACGAGAAGAACAAGTAGAGTAAATAGCCACTATTGGTTGAACTAGAAATAGTAGCTGATTGATGATCAAGGTTAGAGGAAGGAGTTGGTGCAGGGATAGAGAAGTGTTGTGTGGTGGATGTTCTTGCTGTTTCGAAAAAGCTTGGTTTCGATAATGGTGTGCCACCCTCTGGACGCATGATCTTACTTGGCCTGGCAAATTCATTGAAATTGTATAAATTCCATCAATACTCTTGACTACTGGTTGACGCTCTCCCTCTCGGTTAGTCGAAGTACCAGGAACCAAGATGCAACGAAATCTTGCAACAGCTCAACAACTACATCTAGGATTAGAATGAAGATCTTGTACCTAAATCTGTAGCAGTATACGTCCAGCATGAATGAATTTTTTTTTCAATTCTAATAGTGTAGTTCTGCAGCTTGAAGGAGCTCCAAAGAACGCAACTTACTGCCGTGTCCACAGTTGACTGAGAGCCTCCATCATGCGAGCTCAAATTCCAGCCGTACATGCGGCACCTCCTGACCACCCTTCGGCATCGTATACGTGAAGTTCCAGAACTCAAACTCACTACAGCAAGTCAGCTTCCCTATCCAGGCTTTATCAACAGAAAACTTACTTAATCACAGCCCCAGTACCATGCAAGCCGTTGAACGCAACCGTATAATTCATGTCCACAGAACCCGTAACCTTGACATTCACGCCCTCGACATCCGCCCAAGACGCCACATCTCTCTTACCGTCCCACGAGTTCGTCCCCACCAAGAAGGAGAAACCACTTGTCTCGTTGGCCATGGGATAAGTCAAATCTAGGGATCCTTCTGCAGCCACGGCGTCCAATTCGTAAACCTGCGCATACAGCGATATCCATCCTACACTTCCATCTTTCCGGGCCCATTGTACGACGGCAGGGTTGAAGCTGCTGGGGTTCTTCGCAGGCCCACCAATCACGTTCTCGGCAAAGGATTCGGCGCCGATGGTGAGATTGGGGGAAATCCAGGCAGTGACGTTTCGTGGATATGTGTCAAAGGGCGGGGAGAAAGTCGATGTGCTGACGCTGTGTGTACCAGGGAAAGCGAGCAGAGATGAAACTGTCGCGTTGGGAACAAGAGTGTTGTGGAAGGGGGCGAGGATAGCGATGAGCGGACCGATGGCAAAGTCGTTCTTGTGGCCCATTGCATATGGCTGCTACAGTGTTAGTTCCAATTGTAATTCGAATTAGACTCTAAATATTACCTTTGCGTTGATGGGTGCATCCTCCTTGCCAACGAGTGTCCACATTTGCAGAGCTAGAATGCTGAGATACCTGTTCATATCGAATCCATAGCTGCGATCCCAAGGTCCTGCAACGTTCTTCAAATTGGCATTGTACAACTCCCCAAGGGACGTCCAAGTCTGCCGTATCATCTCCCCTCCGTACTGGCCCATCAGACTGTCTTCTGGCAAATACTTCGCCCAGAGCGTCAACGCATAGAGCGAAACCCCAGCATAGGTTCCGGAATTGAACTCTGAAAGTGTGTTGTCGCGCGTAAACAGGTCGATGACTTCTCTCGCGTAGTTTTCCCCAGCAATCGTCATATTTGAATCGTTGACTCGTCGTCCGATCCATCCTGATGTGAACGCTCGCATGATAGCTGGATTGCTGTATGCCGGGTACAAATTGTCGTTGTCAACCCCTCCTACGCGGTAGCTGTCTCCAACCGTTGTGTTGAACAGGCTTTCCAGCATGTAATCCTGGACGTCTTGCGGAATGAGATGGGGGAATTCCTCGAGCATGAGAATCAAGGTGGTACCGACAAAGCCTCGCCAGTTGGGATCCCAGGTATTATAAATAATGGGCTGGTATTGCATGGTCCCCACGGTGGGCTCTTCAGGGTAGATCTGGTAGTCACCGAACCTGGCCAAGTCAATTACTGGAGCTCAACCACGAACTTGCCATTAGAGTTGAGATCCGACAATACTTTTCTCCTCGCCTTGATCTCGTTGTACATCTCAAGATGAATGAAAAAACTCACCACTGCAAACTCTCATTCTTGAACTGCGCTCCGATAACATTGTTGACAATCCTCACCGCTTGCTCAACGTCGTCCCCTTCGTTTCGCGCCAACAAACCCGCCGCATACCAAGCACTCGCTCTCGTCTCGTGCGTCAGCGCCGCCGAGTTCAAGCTGTACAGATAGCCTCTCTCAGCATCATAGAACATGTCCATCCAATCCATTGATTCGTGCAGCAAGTTCGTCGCGTACGAATCGGTAGCATTGCGCTTCGCAAACCGCCCATAGCCTGCGGACACACCCTGACCCAAAAGCGTCACAGCCACCCAAAGTCCTGAAGCCCCAAGCATTGCGAATAACAGCGAAAAACACGCGACGGCAAGGCAGGACCAAGGAATGGCGCCATGCTGTCTTTAAACGTTTTGCGGAGACCGGCCGACGGCACGGTACAAAGATAAACGCTGTGACTTTGCCGTGTAACTTCGCGGGGTAAAGTAGACAACTTAGAGCTTGGATTCCGAAGAGTTGCCCTTGAATTTGTGGAGATCGGAAGAATAGCATGCGAAGAAGTAGACCTACACTGGTTAGGGTCGGGGTTCAATGGCATCCTGAAATTGCTCGGCCCGGCCTTTTGCCTTGCCGTTGGCAAGGTGTGATGGGATCAAGAGAAGGTAGGGTAACCAGGCGGAAGCGCGCAGTGCTTCCGGTATCAGGCAAAGTTCGAGTCAGTACAAGGGCAGATTGTAAACTGCCGACGGGCAACGACTCTTGTCACATTAGTCACGTGATGATAGTCGATCTTCGCCGCCCAACGGCTGCAGAGCGGTGTAGCAGATCATCACAGCGTGGGTTGGTGCCTGTGTCGATCGACGGGTACTTCCATACTTGGGCATTGGAAGTGAGTTTTCCGGCATCGAAGCATCCGACGCAGGGCATTCTCTTGAATCCAAGATCGTGAACTAATATGTGATGAGAGTCGGCTCCATGCATTCAGGTGATGCGCAGTCTCGACATGCGTGACAGTTACGGTACAGACTATATAGGTGGTCTTGCAGCAAGCTGTCGATCTCAGCCTTGTGCAGTGACCACCTCGGTAATAAACGTAACATCACAGAACATGTATTGTATCGAACTTGCCGACGGCCGGCGAGTATCGGTTTAAGCATCATCGATGTAATAGAGGAGTGGATAAGTCCAGGGGTGTGGCAAGGGCGGGCGCAAATTTGCTTCCCATCAAATCAGGGATCATTCTGTGGCGCGGTATGGATAGGAAGGTCTATCGTTCGAACACAAGACGCGGACCAGCAACATGGCGTATCAGCGTACACAATTGAGTCATAACATTGAAGTAGTCTGATTTAGCATTCCAGTCGCCCATTCCCACGCAATCTATGCAGAATAGGCAGACATCCGTCCCGTCATGGTAACGTTCACTTCGTGTGAGCAAAACTCCCCCCATGAAAGGTATATACATTCGAAGAAAGGCTGACTCCAGGAGATGAGCACAATCGGAAAAAGTACGGCAAAAGCCCTTGAATGGGCCACAGAAAAACCTTGAGTGGAAAGCTGGGTTTCCAGGGAACCATTCTACTGCTTCAAGGCTGGAGGATACGCTCCATAAGCGTGCCTGTCAGGTCAAACGGCTCCTAAGAAGTACTGGCTCGCACTCTTGAAATAATTGGTATCCCATCGACATTAATAAAAGAAAAAAGAACATCGCAATACCAGGCAGCGAACAACAATGCCTTGGCTTGATCCTCGGCAGAAAATGAAATTTGATTATCATGGCTCATAGGCTCCTGGAGCTGGCTGCGTGTCAGACAATTCGCAGTCCAGCGTCTCAAGGGAGCAGTACACCTGGATGCTTTTCGATAAAACACTGACGGACTCCGAACGGGTCCATACGGAATTCAGGGGGGTCCATTAGGGTCAAACAGTGACCGTTATCCATACGCAAAGTCCGGAAAACATAATGAAAAGTATCTCCAGGAACCATAGAATGACGGAGATATAGAGGCCACCTGGGATTACCTGGCGGTCATAAATAGTCCACCTTGGCTGTCTGGAACAGGAGATTGTATGGCATTCACACCCTGTGCAAGGCTAGTAGTTTCTCTTTCCAGGCCCAGGATTTCGGGAAGATTGTGGCTGTTGCGACAGGGGGTATTCTGTATGGCTGTCTGTGAGCGACGATGGTTGAGAGTTACACGGGAAATGCTACTTACGGCGACCATCGGAAGCAATATAGTAACCTGGAGCTGGTGTGGTACTACTGGGGCTTAGCGATAGACCATATAACGGTCGTCGAAGTAACCAAAATACCTTGAGGCTGGATAGCTGGCCGTTGGAGGCGCCGTGGGCCGTCCGTATGGGTCCGTGGGAGCCTGTGTTGAATACGGTGAATATCCTGGTTGGGTTTGGTACTCCCTTGAATCCCGTCCACTGGACTGTGGGTAAGCGTACGGATCCGCAGGTTGTGTCCTTGGGGCTGATACTGCTGGTGCAGGTTGGTAGCCTGGGTGTGAGCTTCCATATGCGGCCGATGGGGCGTGCGTGTAGTTTGCTTCACTGCCAGAATAGCTACCAGCAGAAGACGCGTACGGCGTTCTCGACGACACGGCGGCCGCCTGACGAGGTGGCTCTGAAGGATGCTCATATGGCTTTGTGGGACCCCAATGCTGACGGGCAGCATGTGTTCTGGAGTCCTGATACGCCACTAAAGAAGAGTTAGGGCCTCTTGATACCTTAGTATCGCGAAGGTGAGGACTGTGACTACCTCCACGTCCTGCCTCGCCTGGTGTCCGTTCCTGCTGCCAACGTTGTGAGTCCAATTTAAGATCCTGAATCATTTGCTGCATCGTTACGTCAGCAGTCTGCTCCATCTCGAGATCCGAGTCATCTCGACATACCGAAGTGAGTGTGCGATAGGCAGTTATCCAGTAGCCAGGCTGATTCTACTTGCTTGTCAGTTGTCTGTTGGAGGAGGATGCGATGGAAGGAGCGCCGGACCTGGTATTCTCCGGTGCCTACGCCAGGCCTGACCAGCGCATCTGGGCCCAAGTAGCGCTGGATGTCGGCCGTGATGACCTCTCTCGCAATGCCATCGCCCGGCACAAACCACTGGTTTGCACGTGTTGACGACATAGTGAGTGAGACTTGGAGGTAGAAAGGTGACGGGAAAGAAAGAGGACACTTGTGTCAGTGTCGAGAGAGGGCCAGGCTGTACGAGCTGAAACGGGACAAAGAGGGGCTCACGGCTCCAGAGTAAACGCAGGAACAGTCAACACGGATGGCAGCAAAGGATCCTGTGGTGTCCAGAGGTTTCCAGAAGAGCGCAGGAGCAATACGAACCGGGAGAGGTGGGGGCTGGACCAATATACCGGCAATGGGAGGGCTAGCCTGGAGCAGAGGGCTGACCTGTGATGGGTGGGTGTGGGGACCCTTTTGGGAGACAGACAGTGGCCTATGAAGAGGGAAACTTCCTGACGGGGTGCAGCCTTGGCTGTCGTGGACACGACAAGTTTCGCACAGGTACACAGGACGGCGATTTGCGCAGTGGCAGCAGCAGCAGGCGGCGTAGGAGCGACAGAGCAGATACTTGTTGAGCGCTGGCGTGTGCGGCTCTTTCACGACGTAATTCGACGGAGGCGGGGGGTTCGAGAGGCCCAGTGCAGCAATGGCGGGGTCACGATTGGCTGCGACGACAGCAGGCAGCGGCGGGCGTCTGCACGTCAACCGGTCGGGCAGCAAACAGGTTGGCTCGACGAGGGTGCGGTGACGGCGATGTCGCACAGGAACGAGAGCGGCTGGCGTGGTGAGGTTCGACGGTTGCGACGAAGCAGCGGAGGGAGAGGAAGCAAGAGGAATCCACCACTTTCCGGAGGCGCCCGATCTACTTATTTCGACGCATACTACCAGCCAGCGGCCTCAGGTACCCATAGAAAGGATCGCTCGAGCTGGCTTCGCGCGGTTTGGGTACCACCACACCCTCCTGCAGCTCAGGTGGGCGACAAAACTGTGGGGACGGGCCCTCAGGCAGTGGCGTCGTTGGGCAGCAACTGGGCCCAGAGCCGAGCTAGTCTGTTACGCTGGAATCGTGTTACGAAAACGCCCCTCTGCGCACCGTACGCTGTAAGCAGGCCCGCGGCTGTTATGAATCGCCCGCCGCGCCAAAGGGGAACCAAACACGCTGACTGCGCGTGCTTGCCGGCATCGGGCTAGCTGCCGCCGCTTGGCGATACTGACCGCTGCTGTTCCGAAACATACGATACTGACGTTCGTGGTCATCCCCAGCGCGCAGGCCGTTGCTTTGGCCGTCATTCCCCAAGAGGTGACGTTGTGACGCTGGCTGTTGTGACGCTGTCTTGTTGCTGGGCTCGCGCTCTCCCAAGATGATGGATCCTGAATCCTGACGCCTTATGACAGCCAGCAGCTGCTCACCGACTTCCACATCTCACACGAGCCCTATCCAACGGCTGCAAACTCTGCTCGAGCCTTCGCTGGACCCTGGACCGGTGCGTCGATGGAGCGAGAGCCTACTTGGGCACGTTTGCATGCACCCAATCTCTTCACCAAAGCAAATCGCTTTCCAGCTCAGGAGCACGTCGCGATAGGCTGTTCGCCAGCACCGAGCAGCCTCTGCTGTACATGTTCCGCAACGCTGGCTGCCTATGGGATCCCTTCCTCCTGCCGCGCACCCTTCCCCACTTCCCATGTTTCTCGTCGTGGCTGGTCCCTATTAGTCAACATGGTGCACCGCAGTGGGCTCCAGCGTGTACGCAGCAGTTGCACCAAAGACACGACTGTCAGGGACAGAGGATGCGAGGACGCGAGCACGTGGTTTCGTGGTACAAGTCTCACAGTGTAGCATGTGCACGTTACACGCGACAACTACAGTGCCCAGGCCATGGCTTCTTTTTTCTTTTGCACCACCATGCGATACCCAGTCGGGCCAGACAGGTAGGTCATATTGCGCCAGCGTGCTCGGCCGACTTACTTTCTACCAATCTCCATGATCTTGAAGCCTGTTCGCGGCGCATGCACCCGTATTTCTACACCTCCTCTGCCCTCTACTGATATCGTTACCTCGTCTGGCGTCAGTCCTATCAATCGACCTCGATCTCTGTATTCGGTGCCCCAATCCGCGGGATACAGCTCTACCTCAGTGCCCTCCTTCAATGCGAGTGGATCGTTTCCATCGACCGAGTGTTTCGATTCGGAGAATTCGGATCCTAGGACATGTTCTGCCGCAGCTTTGCCGTCCAATGTCGTCGGCTTGGGTGCGGTGGATTTTGCCTTTTCGACCGCTGCCCGATATCTCGCGTGCCAGGCAAACAGTTTCGGAAACTGCGTATCAGAGATGATATCTGCAGGCGGTTGTAGATCGATGATCCAATCAATGGCCCAGATCGCTGGATTGTGTTAGCTTTGATCTGCCATGAGCTAACACGCGTGTGTAGGTGAGTGTGAATGGACGGCTGACACCCCATGATTCAGGCATGTGGTTGCCGATCGATGATTGTGATTTTGCTGTACGACGCGTCGTCCCGGTGTCCCGATTGAGTCCAAGCCGCCGATCCACATGTTCGTCGAAGTGCGAAGGAAAGAGCAAAACACAATGACGAAAAGAGAGCAGAAGAAAATACGTCATATTCAACATCACGACAGTGCAACAACCGACAATCGAAGAACCAGCAACGAAGAAGAAAGAAGCCCACTCACCTTCAACATCCGCCAGTCGCGGCCCCTCCCCCCTCAACACCCACTCCCTCCCATCCGCCAACAGCGTCTCCTCAAGCAACCCAAACAAGCCCCTCACATACGCCAAACTCTCCCCCCGCCCCTCCCGCACCTCCTCCCTCGTCCACTGCCTGCCCAAAAACCCCTTCCGATCCTTCACAACCGCCTCATCCGCCAGCGCATCCAGCGGCAGCAACCCAGCCGTGACGCTGAATATCGGCCCCTCGACCATATACCGCTCCAGCAGCTTCTCGACAAACTTGTCCTGCGGGTCTGTTGCGCCGAGCGCGCCGGATGGGAACAAGGCCTCGAGTTTACGCAGGATTAGCCGCGTGTCGAGGTAGATGTCCCGGCCGATGGCAAGGATGGGGATGCGGCGGTAGTGTACGGGGAGGAGGGCGAGGTCTGGACGCGGCATTATGAAGGGTTGTTCCTAGGTTCATCAGTTTATGGCATGGCAGGGCAGGGTAGGTTGATGGGTGTATACATACACAGAGCGCGTAGTCGATGCCACGGAGGGCGAGGTAAGTCGATACACGCTTCCCGAAGGGGGAGAAAGCATAGTTATACAGAACGATATCGTTTGAAGCGCGTTGCGACGCCATGGTTCTGTTCTCTGCCGTGCTGGTGTTGCTTCTGTCTAGTGATGTTATGAGATCGTTTCGAGACCCCAACGCGAGGGATAAAGAGGGGTCCAGCGCCAGAACATCCTTCGATCGGTCGTATGACGTACAGACCCGCGCGCCCCTCCATTGTACATAGGTACCTACCGGTAGCTTACCATGGGACTAGGAGCGCCAACGAAGCAGTACGGAGATCCCCCTCTTTGCTGGACACGAGCTCAACTGCTGTGGCGTGTAGGCAAGTAAGCGTGGAGCGACACAGGCATGTCATGCGAATCAGAAGAGTATTCGAGATGAATCGTGAGAAGAGTAGTATTCCATTCCATACATATCATGTCGCGCGACTATCTGAAGACGAGTCTCATCGCTACATCCAAAACCATCACATCGCATCGCATCGTATCGTATAGCATAGTAAACCCCCATCTATCAACCCGCAGCCCGGTATCGTGGAGGAAGGGAAAGGGAAAAGGGGTATCATCCATCGTAGGGGAAAAAACAGGCCGCAGCCAAACAAAACGCCGTTGTAATGGAATTCCAAACTCAGCCCGTGTAATCATAGCCTCTGCATCGTCGAAAGGGAAGAAAATGCTCGTGTTGACGACGCTCCAGCTCAAAGCACAGCAGTCGCGGTAGCCCGTGTCGTGAAAAGCGTGGAGAGCTTCGAAGCCAGAAAGCGGCGAAAAGGCATCGAGAAAGCGCCGTCGAGAGGGCGTCGAGCGTCGAGATCAATAATGCGGAACGTGATCGATACCAGCCCAATCCTCGTAGCGCGTAATAACCACAGACATAGCTCGAGCGATGGATTCAGAAAAGTCAGAGTTGCCAATATGCATAGCAACATCAAACAAGCCGAAGATCTTGCGTCCGTTCCCGTAGGCTCCTCCACGACTGTAGGCGTCGTCGTAGCCGTAGCCGATGCCGTTGGCGGTCCTCCACCTCTGCACTTCGGTGTATAGGCGCAGGCAGAAAATCGACAGGATGATAGCGGCGATTGGCAGCAACCATCTGGAAAACCCACGAGAGCTCGAGACGGAGGATTTGGTTGTGATCGCGGTCGTGGTAGGAGGAGCCGGTTGAGACTTGTCTGTCTGGGTGCCGCTGCTCGAAGTCGGGCGCTTGGTGGGAGCCTCGAGGGGCGGTTCTTCGTCCATGATGTCGATGGGAACGTCGTGCACCATGGGGTTGGTGAAGTTGGTCTGCACGGCGATGGTGGCTGTGGGCTTGCGCTCGAATTCGGTGACGACGGGCTCCTGCGCCTCGACTGGGGCAATAGTGATTGTCGCCGCGGATATGATGCTGGCGGTGAGGTGCGGTGCGGAGGCGACTGGTGCAGGCGGCGTATCTGTCTGGCTGCCAGTGTCGACGGACTCGGTCGTGATGGTGATGCGGCGCGCAACAGGAACGACGCTTGCAGCTTCCTCGACGTGGATGCCAAACTCTAGGGTGGGGGGTTCGACAGGCTGGACGTCGACATAGCGGATGAGAGAGAAGTCGAGCGATTCGATTGCATCGTAGACAGAGTCGGCGTCGTAGTCGGAGGAAGCGGCGAGCTCGTCTTCCAGCGAGTCGCCCACAGTGCTGGTGTACACGGGCAGCGGCTCGTTGACTGGCGACATGACTGCCTTGGCGGCGGCAGCAGCAGCAGCAGCAGCATCGTCGGCGGCGAGAGTGCGTTGACGCTCCTTCTGCAGCTGCTTCTCGAGATGGCTGATGCGCTCGTCCTTGACCAGCACAGTGCGGTCGTGGCCGTGCATCTGGTCGCGCAGGTCCTCGAGGTCTTGCTGCAGCCCGGCGTTCTGCTTCTCGACCTCGTCGATAGCCTCCATGTCCTGCCGCAGCTGCGCGTTGTCTTGGTTCAGCTCCTGCATCTCTGCGATCAGGTCGGCAATCTCGAGGCGCCTCCCGTGCTCTGCTGCCAGGGCCTCATCGCGGGCGACGACGACGGTGTTGCGCGCGGCCTTTGTCTGCTCGAGCTCTGCATAGGCCTTGCTGAGCAGGGACTCGTTCTGGCGGGCGACATCGCGCTCAGTGCTGACGTCGTCGTGGAGCTTGTCGATGTGGGTGCGGAGCTTGTCGAGCTGGCCATCCTTGAGGTGGAGCTGTTGTGCTTGCTTGAGCGAGTCAGCTGAGAGGTTGCTGTACTGCCCCTGCAGCTCGACATGCTGCTCCCTCTCCCGAGCAAGCTCCCGGCGTTGCTCGTCGACAGTCTTGGTGAGCTCTGCGATGCGTCCGTGGTAGAACTCCTCGTCGGCGTGCTTCTCGTCGACGTGCTTCTGCGCCATGGCGGCCTGGCGGTTCTCGAGCTCCTGGTTCTTGTCGCGGAGGCTGCGGGCGACTTCTCGCGCGATGCTTTCAGCTCTTTGAGCCTGTTCGAGCATAGTGCTCGCTTGGTCGCAAACGGCAGTCCGCACCGTCAGCTCCGCACCCCTGTCACGCGCCTCCTTCTGCAGCGACGCGACCAGCGCGTTGCCCATCCTCGCCTTTGTCTGCAGGCCATCGACCTGCGCCTTGGCCGTCTGCACCTCTGCCTCCAGGGCAATCACCTTTGACCTCCACGGCCGCACGGCTTCTTCTTGAGCCGCAGTCTCTGGCGGCTGCTGCCCAGAGACACCCGAGAACTGGTAGCTTTGTTCGACTCCGAACGCGAAGGGCAGGGTGGGGAATGACATGGTAGTAGTAATGCCAACTGATGGCAGGCGAGTAGTGGTGATGATTTGGAAAAAGAGGAAGCAAGCCTGGCAGAAGCTCAATTAAGTACTCTGCGAATACTGTACAGCTGCTATTGTTCAACGGGCAGAATGATGAACGAACTGTTGATTGCTATTATACGACAATTACAATAACAGCATCACAGCTGGGTGAAGGAGCTGGTAGATGTCGCTAGGTGAAGGAGACTCTCTTCTACCCGACATGTCTCCCCACATCCAGCAGATTGCCATCATCAGGTCCAGTAAACGTCTTCCGCCCAGTTGTAATCCAGAAAATCGCAGCGATCAACATGACAAAAGCTGTTGCTGCCGATGTGTAGTTCATGTTCTCGCTGGTCACAGGCGTGACGCTGGGCAGATTCGCAATCACGCAGATGAAACCCAGGAAGAGAAACCCAATGATGTTCAACACAATACCCCACCGCCCGAGCGAGTACGATCCCTCGAGTCGAGTCTTCTTGCCCGAAAAATGCGCAAGTATGCGGGAGAGAAGGGGCATGAGGTAGGAAAGATCTGTTTATATCAGTCAGTGACTCTTGAGCAAAGTGACACCCCTACTCACAGAATCCTTGCGTAGCGATGGCGATGATGGTATTGAACCCCGTCGATGTTCCAAAGTAGATGGAATTGAAAGCAGCTTGCACGACGGCAACCAAAAGCAGAGCGTGGACAGGCACACTTCGCGAGGAGACCTTGCTGAGCGTGTTCGAGAATGGCAGGCCTTGATCGCGCGCAAAAGCATACACAGCTCTTGACCCTTCCGCCATCAGCGAGTTGGCGGCCACCAGCGTGATGATGGAAATCATCGACGTCAGTGTCGATGCGCCCGCAATGCTTTTCGTGGAGTGGTATATGATCTCAATAACTGGCACGCCTGTAGGAGTCGCTCCAGTGGTCTCGAGGTCGCCAATGCAAAAGCAGAGCGCGATCAGCCAGATGAACCCTGTGAAGAACCCGATGTAGACGGACATGATGATAGCTCGGGGGGCTTGCTTGCGCGCATCCTTGATTTCTTCCGTCATGTGCGATGGAGCGTCATAACAGCACATTCCAAACGCACTTTGGAGCAGTGCCAGGGCCGTGGCATATGATGCGCCCCAACCGGTGAAGTTCTGGAAATCGGTAAAGACGTAGCTAGCTGATTGTTTGTTCTTGTTCGTCGTCAAGATCGTGATTAGGCAGACGAAGAAGGAGAGCAGACTCCAGCAGAGGATGGCTTTCGACAGCTTGTTGAGGATGTGGGGAAGGTAGATGTTCGATACAACGGCGACGATTGTGATCAGGTAGGCTACCAGGACGGTGTGATAGCGCTCAATCGTGAATCCGTAGTTCAGTTGTGCCGTGCCCAGGATGAAGTTCGCAGCTACAAAGTTGTTGACTGCGCCCATGCAGATGATACCGATCAACATGAACCATCCGCAGACATAGCTGAGACCTCTGGCGTATCTGGACGGCGCAAGTATCGCCACCCAACTGTATTGTCCGCCAGCAACAGGGTATCTTCAATCGTCAGCCTTATCCATTAGCAACTCTCAAGCAATACGTACGCGCTGCACATCTCAGCCATGGAATACGCCACCGTCAGAGTGACCAGGCAGACTGCGAGCCAGCCCCATATCATAACAGGAGGACCTCCAGATTCAACGCCGATGATGAGAACGCCGGAGACTGCTGTCCATGATGAAACGATGCTGAACGAGAAGCCAACCATTCCCAGCAGCCCAAAGTTGCGCTTGAGCTCTGAAGTTCTATCAGTACATTGTTTTTCTTGTTAGAGAGAATTTAGTCACCTTGCGTATATCCCAATTGCTCAAGCACATCATCGTCACTACTGGCATTGCCAATGGCCTTCTTCTCCATGTCTGACATTGTATTGGACAATATGACGACAGACCGGAAAGAACAAGAAGAAGCTACCAATGAAGCTCTTGAGAACTCGAGAAGAATACTAGGGCATGTTACATGGCTGTGTACATATATATGTGTTGAACGACTAATCGCGACCTCGTCAAGATCTGCACCCGTGTAAAGCATATGCATACTCCAACCATGTGCGCGGATAGATTGCTCGCAGCCATCCAATACCATGCCAAGTGGTAACAAACAGACATTAGCAACCATTGGAGATATGGGACTTGCTATCGTTACCCATGTCGAGGAAAGATAGACAATGCGCGTTTAAGTGGACTGAGCGAGATAGAACGACGGGCATGGGGGTAAAAAGTTGTGTGGAGTACTTTATTCCCGTTCTAGGAAGGTCCATACGAGGTGACCTGACCTTATGTATTTCCCCGTGGAGTCTTTACAAATCGCACAAGTACCGTTTGTCCTCGAGATATTCGCAGGGAGACGATGATCAGACGTGAGGAGGAGTTGGTGTGAAGATGGATGAAGGGGGAGGCGGCTTCCGGCGAATGACGGCTTGTGGAGCTTCGACACCAGTACCATATCTTCACCTCCAACGCTTGGACATCCAGTTGACACACACGCCAGAGTCGCGCGTATACAAGGCCTTCCATCGTTATCTCACCCAGCTTTGTCATAATTCTCTTAGACACTCCTATGCGCCTCGGAGTCTGTCTTCGCGTAGAAACGTACCCCGCATTTCGGCTTCGCAACCTTCCCTTTTTCCTTTGACGTCTTTCAAAACACCTCCAACTAACAGCTATCATTCCCCCTACTCCAAGTCAGTCAGTCACACAGTCATTATGAGTTCAAACCAGTCAAGCCGCATCATCAGCGCCAGCACATCAAGGCGAAAGATGATTCGCTCACCGCCTCCCCATGTCCATCTTCCCTAAGCCAAGCATAGATAGGGCAAGGACGCCGCCGCCGCACAACCATGTTTTTTCTTTGTACACCTTTTCAAATTCTCTCCAAGTCATCATCATCATCTACACATTTCCCCCAAAGCAGAGAGACGGTTTCACCCACACCATGACATCCCAAATCCCCACCTCCGTCCCCTACGCCTGGCCCCACGACGCCTCCCTCTCCCCCCGCACAACCGCCCTCCTCATAATAGACATGCAGCGCGACTTCCTCAGTATAGGCGGCTACCTCGACTCCCAAGGCTACTCGGTCACGCGCTTCCAGTCGCTGATCCCGGTGCTCGTGTCCCTGCTGTCCGCCTTCCGCTGCGCAAACTTCCCCATATACCACACGCGCGAGGGCCACGCGCCACATCTAGCCACCGTTTCGTCGCGCGAGCTGCACAGATCGAGCGTGAATGGCGCGCCGATAGGCTCGCATGGCCCGCTGGGGAAACTACTCGTAAGGGGCCAGAGAGGTCATGATATTATCGCCGAACTGCAGCCTTTGTCCGACGAGCCGATAATCGATAAGCCGGGGAGGGGCGCGTTTACGAATACCGATTTGGATCTGGCGTTGCGGATGAGGGGGATACGGAATTTGGTGGTTTGTGGGGTGACGGCGGATGCGTGTGTTAGTAGTACGGTGAGGGAGGCGAGCGATCGGGGATATGATGTGCTTGTGGTGGAAGACGGGGTGGAGAGTGTGAGTGATGAGCTGAAGAAGTGGAGTCTGGAGGCTTTGAAGGTCGAAGGGGGCTTGTTTGGTGTGACGGGAAATTATGAAGCAGTTAAGGAGGCTGTGGAGAGTTGGATGGGTAAAACCACCACCAATGGCATGAACGGGGATAAAGCGAATGGCAAAGAAAGTTACGATTCAAGGTGGTACTATGAGAAAAAGAAGGGTAGCGATGGGTGATGCAAGTGTCGGGAGACATTACACGAACGAGGAGACAAACGAGTTCAAGTGCATGATATGTGTATTGCATTGATTGATTGTAATCAAGAGAGATCCAAGTCTCAAGTCATGAGGCCTTTCCAGACCACCTGTTGTCAGAACGCCGTGCAGACCTAAAAACCGTGCCCTAATCATATCGATGAAAGAAAATGTCACGACCATCTGAACCACCCGACCGAAGAGCGTCGGGATGGTGGAAGTGTCATGACAAGAGAAGACAAGCTGCTTAACCACCGAAACCGTAGAGGGTACGGCCCTGGCGCTTGAGAGCGTAGACGACATCGAGGGATGTAACAGTCTTGCGCTTGGCGTGCTCGGTGTATGTGACGGCATCACGGATAACGCTCTCGAGGAAGGTCTTTAGGACACCACGGGTCTCTTCGTAGATCACTGTGATGATGTTAGTGGTGTTGCGATGCGATGGCAAGGTAGAGGCAACTTACTGGCAGAGATACGCTTGACACCACCACGACGAGCAAGACGACGGATAGCGGGCTTGGTAATACCCTGGATGTTGTCACGAAGAATCTTGCGGTGACGCTTGGCGCCACCCTTGCCGAGACCCTTGCCACCTTTGCCGCCTGGAGGGAGATGTTAGCATACTGTGTTGACAAGAAAGAAACGCGTGGTGCAGCGACAGCGTTGCGATGTCGTGCAGGTGAGAGACGCCAACGCGATGCACCGCGGCTGAAGTGGGGTGACGCGACCCCATAAAGCGCGACGATCGTAGTGGCGTCGACAACATCGGCAACGACAACGACGCGATAGATATCGGCGGCGACGACGACAATAGATAGATTGAGTATTTACTTACGTCCAGTCATGATGAGAGAGTGTTGGTGTTGATGGAGTTTGATGGAGTTGAGCTGCAGTTGTGAAGCTGCAGTAGAAAAAGACGGATTGGATTTAGATGGCGAGAATAGCTGGATGAGAAAAGGAGAAAACCAACAGAAACGGGCGGGCAAGCCAGTTAAATAGGCAGGCGGCTGCCTCAAGATCACACCGCTATGGCGCTAAGCGAGGTTGGGAAGCGCAGGGCGCGGGCGGAACGAGCAACAAGAAATCGCCGCTGCGAAACTCTCGAAAATCAATCGTCTGGAAAGCAGCACTTGAAAAGAGCGTCTTTGCTTGCTGGCGCCGTTCGCTTGCTTTCGACTTTGCGGCTAGGGGCCCGTGCGCGGCCGAACTTCAAACGCGTTCCTGGACAGAACACCGACGTGCAATTGCTCGGAGAACAGCTTTAACGCTGTCTGATAATCTGAAATGACCCAGTTACTTGTCGAGAGTCATCAGTCAATAATGCATAGGTTTTGAATATCCAGGACACTGTGCGAGGCAGTTCGAAAGATGCAAAGTGTAGTCTACTGCGCGTGCCGGACGCGTCTACCAACCTCTCCGCACCTTCACAGAACACGCACCAGCGATCAGAACTCCTTTTCTATATCAAATTTCATCGATGCTCTTTTCACGCGTAAAGCCAGGTAGCTGCAGGCTCCTTTGTTTCTACCCATCTCGTCGTCGTCTTGAGATAGCCACTTCAGCACCGCTTCTGCTTGGCCGGACCAATGTCGTTTCACACGCTGTATTTCGTATGCAAGTTCCCAACGTCATACTTCCTCGTCGTCGCATATATGTTGGCTACTAGTTTAAGGGCATGAACGACAGTGTGAACCAGCTAAAAGTAGTGTGTCATGCGTTGCGATGCTGTCGAAGCACAAAGAGGCTTATAGCCATCTCTACACACATCATCTTCAGACACGCCTTGGCCTGTTTGGAATACGTATCATGTAGACAGCGACGGCTCTCTTTGTCAAACGCCCCCTGCCGAGAAGTGACGGCCTTGCACTGCAAGGCAACAGTCTCATGCTGGTTTGCAACGCTCAAAAGCTTGTATGACTCACGCCACTGATCTATGGTGGACTCTGGTTTGCTAGAGCAGAACAACAGGCCTAAAACGTCCGTTTGATTACCTACAACATTCAACCATGGCCAGAGATCTAGATACGCTGTGTTGGAAACAATGATGCAAAGCTGTAAGTAGCGTACCCGTTACATTTCACAAGAGGATGTCAGCATGTGATACAAAGGAGATTCATTCCTGTGGGATCCGACCCAACGCCTGCTAAAGATTGTGCTAGAGGTTCTCTTCACCATAAACAAAATAAAACCAATGACGGTCAAGTCCACCCTTCCACATCCCATGCGATAATTTCGAGCACAAGTATTTACTTGCTCTCCTCATCAACCTCCTTCTCAGTCTGCTCTTCGTAGACAGGAGGGGACTCGTATGCAGGCAGCTCAGCAATGTATTCCTTCTCATCGCGGTATTCGGCTTCCTCAACATCCTCCTCCTCCAAAGCGATCCTCTGGTAGCTCTGGCCCTTGGTCCTGGCAATGACGATTGCAATCACACAGCCCAGAGCCATACCGACGAGATATGTCAGAGTACCTGCGAAGATACCAACAAGAATCGGCACAAGAACCACGAAAAAGGCGCGGTGGAGGAACATCTGCATACGGTGGTGGGAGCGGTGGTGGCCATGACCGTCGTGGTCCATGTGGTGGGGACGGTGGTGGGGGTGGGGGTGACCAGGGCGAAATCTGTGTGGAGGCTTGCCCTCGGTAGTCTCTTCCGCCATCGGGTTGGGGCGGCCATGATCCTGACCCGGACCGTGGGGTCGCTTGTGGCAGGGCTTGCCTTTGCCCGTCGACTTGACCTGTTCGATCTGGTCGGCCAGGATGCCCCTCCACTTGCAGAGAAGCGGCCACTGCCTGCACTCCTTCTCAGTCACAACTGGCAAGGCCCCGGTGGCTTGCTCGGTCTCGAACGACGCAATCATGAGACGGCCATTGGCGTCCTTCAGCACGTTGATTACGAGAGCCGGAGGAGCGACGGGCATAGACTCGATAGCGAGGATTTGGAACGTCAGAGGTAGCAGTTCTGTGCCAGCCTCCGATACGGTCTCGGCGCTGCTGAAGTGGAGCGAATAGCCGGTTACGGCAAGACGGACATCTTCGGCACCGGAAGTTTGTGCGTCGGGATGAACTTGGGTGACGTAGAATTTGGGCGCCTGATATGAGAAAGAAGGCGGGTAGAGCTTGTTGCCATCAATGTTGAGTGTATCCTCATTGGCGTCGACTTCGAAGTCAAGGAGCTGTTACAGTCAGCGATGATAGCGACAGGGGAGCATGTCGGGTCACCTACGAAGTGGTTTCCAGTACCTTGCGTCCACTTCAAAGAGTCTGACTCCAAAGTCGCAGAAGCACATCCGGGACATTCAAGAGCAACTGATCGCTTGAAGGGGTTGATCGCAAGTGTTTCCAAGGAGTTATCATCGCCGAGATCGTCCGCGGTAATCGTAGGTGGGAGAAGGACAGCGCTGGCGGCCAGCGCCAGATTCGCAAAGACACTCAGTTTGCTAGGCGACATTGTTAAAAAGTTAAAGGAAAGGAGGGGTTGTGGGAAGGTTGAAGGCAGCTGGAGAGGCGAAGTAAGCAGTACATGTGCTCCTGGCGTGATTCGTCGGCGACGCGTCATCCTGTCCTGCGTTACGCGGAAAGCACGTGCAACGGACCGATGCCCGCTTTGAAACAGCTGATGAAGCACCACTACGAGTCATATGAACCAATCCAAACACCCCGCAGCTAGATCTTCCACACTGACAAGACGCCGGGCTTTGATGTTTGGCGCGTCGCGCCGGGATTGCCGAGTGCCCAATGCTTGCTCATGCCCTTTGTCTGTCACTACCGACCGTATGCCGATAGAGCTGACTGTCGAGAGAAGAACCTTTCAATGTAAGACTTAAGACTGTACCTCCATATATATATTCGTGAAAACAATGGAACTTAAAGCTATTATCCACCAAGGAGACATTTGTGCGAAACGCTGATGTTAAGGATACTCGCTGAAAACAATCAAACTCTCAGCTACTTATCAACGCCACGACCCAGAGGTTACTCTCTCCTTACGCAATCCTTTCGCACACTTGCGGCGACTCCGAAGTCACTATCAAGCAGTTCCACAGCCTTCATGCCAAAAAAGGCGATGCTACCGGCCATATCAAAGCTTCCACAACGGAAACGATAACCTTAAGCTCCCTCTACGAAAGCGAACTAGATCGAAGCAAGGAGTCGAATATCAAGCAAACTTTGAGTTATTGGAAAACTGACGTAGCATGTTAATAGTTATCCAGGCAAGCTGCTCAACCGCGGACGCAACCCTCGTTGTCACATTTCAACCGCTACCTCCAGCAATATCCTGCTCCCACCCAGCAGCTACCCAAACCTTCTTATCATCGCCAGGGTCCAGCTTATCCGTAGCCACATCCGCTCGTGCCACGATAGGAAACAACTCATCTATCAAACCATATATTGCGGCATTGAACAGCTTCGGACTATCATGAATCAGGTACCCGCTTTGTTCGTCGGTTTCCTCATCCAGCCAAACATCATCTACAAGTGACGACCGATACAGAACCTTGACAAATGGGTGATTTCTGGTTGTGGAACGACCCGTGTCATCGCTTAAGGGAGGGTAGTTTTTGACGGAATCAAGGACATCCTTCGTTGCAACAAGACATATACCGAGTTGCAAGCCCCAGGTCAGCTCTCCCCGCAAAGCTTCGTAATGCCTGCTTTTATCAGTCGGTATTCCAAAATCCAGCAGATGACGAAAAAGGGGTGCTCTGACGTACTCGCGAATCTTCTCTATGTCTTTGCCTTCCAGAGCTCTGTCATCGATAAACCTGCATTTCCAAAAGCGTTGCGCAACGCGCATCTCATCTTGGTTAGAATACGTTCGGAGCGCATCACTGAACGTTTCTTCTGTTAAGCTGTGGAAGGTCTCTTTGAACTTCTCCCATGCATCGTCATCCTCAAACGTAGCCCGGTAAATGACAAATCCCCATTCCTCCTCCCAGCAACCAGAACCTTGCAACGCTTCGACGAATTTTGCGGGTGCAGTATGTTGCATAGCAGCCTCGCTAAATTGACGAGATTGGTGGGTTGACAAGAAGAGCCCGTTGGCGATTCTTGGCTGGCGCTGAAGCTGTTTGGGTGTCGTTATGAGCGGGCAATGTTTTTGGTATGACGGGATATACGACGCAGAAGAACCTTGAGGGTAATATTTGGAAAAAATATGTCTTTCGCTCGATCGTAAATTCGTTGATGGCAAAGCTTGAAGACGGCGTTGTGCAAATCTATTGAACCTAGACATGATTCATCAGGTCTTTGCAGTCGTGAAAGGCCACGAGACACGGGGTTTATATGCCAATGTCTTACCCCGCTTATGTACGCGAGATTGTTATTAGGATCACCACACCAATCGAGAGTACGGGAGTAACAGTGAAAGTGTATTTATATTTATATGCTTTGCACAGTGCAGATCTTTGCGAATCGCGATGAATTATCTTTGCATGTTCACTAGTAACCTGCACTCATTCCTTGGGCTAGTATGACAGGAGGTAGTAAGAAAACCTTAAGAGGGTTGTTTGAGCTTCCAGAAGTTTTAGCATATAAACATAGACTATCATGTGTTCGACAAGAGTGGCAACCATGCACAATGTTAGTCCGCTCATCTTGAAAGTTTGGCTATAAAACCGGATTGACAAATGCAAAGAGCATTTTGACATACTAGGCCCAACTTCTGTCAACCCGCTCGTTGATTCTTAGTATTATTGTGCCCCTTGCAAACCTAGAACGACCACTACACTTCCCATCATTGACTTTACCTCCTAGTCCACTTCCATTAATGAGTTCGTGTCCACTGAGATATACTCATCCAAATGAGTTTTCATATCCTCAAGAGCACGTACACACATCGTTGCTTGTACAGCGCCATGTAGTGAGATGGCTAAACATGGTCACTATGAGGCCACATGGATGGAGAAGATATAGGAAGAACTCACCTGTGTTAGAACGGAAGTATGTTAGTAAGGTGTCGATAGCGGGGCGAATCTGATCTCGTGCATTGGTGGCCTGAGTGGTCAAATCATCTCGTATGATTTCAGTGAATGCTAACATATCTGGTCAGTATGTTCTGTGATTGCAGGTAATATGAGCTGGGCTAACTGTTCCAATTTGGCTGATGTAGGTGGGTAAGGAAACGAATTTATAACGTACCATCAGCGAATGGATAAGTCAATCGATTCTGAACCACTCTGCCGAAGTCATTCCAAGTATTGCGCAATCCCACAAACGCAGTAGCATGCGATTGTCGAATTTCAGTGTGTCTGTAATAATCGAACACTCCAATGGCATCCCGCAATCGACCCAGCCGCGCAAGTTCGGTGTAGCTATTCCATGCTTGCGATAACGGTCCGACAAAGTTTCGCCTGTTTGTAATGAAATTACGGACTGCGTTCATGTTTCGCTCTAGAATATAGAGATTTGTAGTATCTCCATCAGGATTGGATCGCCCAAGCATTCCAAACATGGTATCTTGAGGTGTTGCTCCAAACGCAGGCCGAAACCCTGAAGGCCAAGGTTGTTGGAAAGGACCATCGGCAGTGAAGATACCAAGATGTGCGCTTGGTACAGCACGCGCTGCAAGTTCTGTGCCGCTTGCGCCTCTTCCTCTTGCCATGGCCTCGATGGCGTTTCGAAGGGTGCTTGGCGGAAAGACGTGTTCTGCATCGAAGTTCAAGGTCAAGCCGCGAGTGGGTGTAGTTATAAGATTTGATCTTCCACATGCACATTGGCGTTCGAGATAAACAAATTGACGCCCAGCACCCCCGTTCGAGTTGAGACTTCTGACAGTTGGATAGTTGTAGCGAGTGAAGGTAGTTCTGAGTCCGTTCAGGTTGGCGCGAAGCCATTCACTCGCGGGAACGGGTTTTGCTCTCTTGTCCAGTACACTTCGTTGTTCGAGCCCAAGAAACGTGGTGTTCGATATTGTAACATCTGTCGTGAGGATTCCATCCAGCGTACGCTCCTTCAGAAGTCCAGCGTCACATGTGTTACAATGTAAATCGAAATAGTTACTTTCGCAAAATGTGCCAGGACCTTCGCCATCCGGAGTTGAGGCTTGGTTGCCCCCATAAGGCGTACAACAAATATCAACCTTACTGGGCACCGGGATGTCCTGTACGTTTGGATCATCGCAGCACAGGAGTGAGTATGTACCCGATCGGCAAGCTGTAGCGTCAGTTGCAGTGACAATTTTTCCGGATGGACAAGTAGCTGAGCAGTCGGTCAAGAACGGACCGTGTCCAAGGAGAGGGAGGAATGCGTTTGCCCATTCTTTCCATGTGCCTCTCGCTCCATGCCATTCGCAGCCGGTCCATGGAGGCGGATCCTTGCAACACCAACTCTTGAAGCCTCCTTCCAACGTGCATGGCTGTTCGCCACCATCGCCGTACTTGCCGGTTGCGATCTTCTTTGGGTGCTCCTTAGGACAGTCTGCCGATGTTCCGTAAAACCATGGTGCATTTGTGATAGTTCCTAAGAAGCCCAATCCTGTACAGAATGGCGCAGATCCTTCCCATTTGCAGTCGTTGTAAGCCGAAGTGTCTGTATTAGATGTACAACATAGATTCTTCGCGTTCGTTATGCAGCCGTCCGCGTTAGTCGCTACTTCAACTTCACCTTTGTTACATCCACTTTTTATACAGAATGGACCACTTCCACGCCAAGTGCACGTTGGTACAGAAGCTTTGGGACAGCAAAAGCGTTTCTGTTTCCCATCTTTGCAATTGGTTTCGAGACCAGCGTAGCCTCCTGACTTTCCGTTGCCGGATGCAGCCGGTGTGAGTTCTGGTGGACATGATTCGCCGCATCCACTCCAGACACACTGTCCTCCAGAAGACTTGGTGTTCATGCGTTGAGCTAGCGATAGCTCCTTTCGACCCGCAGCGTCAGTGAGAGATCGTATGGCCGTGCCATTAGCGTCGTCTGTGGATGCTGCCCACATCATGATACCGTTTAGACACTTTTCATTGGCGTAGTCCATCTTCTTCTTAAGAGTCTTTGGTGAATCGTAAGAAACCCATTGGTTGTTATCCCACGTAACGATTTCTACACCAGCCTTATCGTCAGTGGTGACTTTGGCACCTGCCTGAACAATTTCCTGGATTTCAGCATAGGAAAGAGTTCCAGCAGACGCAGTACATTTGCCGGGGGTACCACCGCTACTGAAGGGGCACCCTGCACTTTTACAAGATGGATCACTGAGTGTGAAGCTTCTGCCATAAAATCTAGTTATAAATGATTAACAAATGCCCTATTTTAAAAACGTATCAAACTCTTACCCAATTCCCAGAACTACCTTTTTAGGATCGATTTCGTTCCTCCAAAGAAGATCTAGTGCAAGGTCTATCTCAGTTAGGTTTGTGTGTGCATTGACGTAGGGACCAAGCCACGGAGAACTTGAATCCCAAGTGCCGTGAAGATCGTAGCCTTGCTCATGTTAGTGTTTCAACGTTAGTAGTAATCGTTCTTGATACATACTCATGATGTTAAACCAGTCCAGGTACTGGGCCATCGATTTGATATCGAAGTGCTGTAAATACCAATAAGAGGAAGGCAATGTCAAGGTAAGTCCATACGTGTGTCCGTCTGAACCCAAAGCGTTCTTGAGGTTCTTGAGGAAAGACACATAGTTTGCATAGTCTTCAGGTTTTCCAGAACGTTCTGGTGCTACTGGGTATTCCCAGTCAATGTCGACACCATCCTAGACACAAACAATCAGCTTGATTGATAGCAAAAAGGGTTAGTCAGACACACGAATCCATAAGTTGACATGAAGTTCAACAAAGAGGAAAAGAATTTGCTCTGTGCGTCTTTTGATGCAGCAAGCTCGGAGAAAGTCCTTGCAGTTGGCTAGCAGCTTGTCAGCTTGGAAATGCAGCGACGGTATCTATGCGTGAGCGATGCTTACTTGTTCTGGATCGTTCATAGACCAGCCGCCGATGGAGATCCATGTTTTCAATCCTGGATTTGCCTCCTTCAGGCCTGTGAAGCGTGGGTACATTTCCGTGTCCGCCTCGGACATTGGAGCAACTTGAAAGCTCTTCGGATCGATAAAGGCAAAGGCAAAATTCTAAGACAAAACGGTTAACCGGCAATTAGGTCACTGGGGTAGCGCCTACCAAATGTGTGTACGCATTGTACATGAGAGACTCTGGGAATAAGCCTCCGCAAGCTCGTGTTGTGGACCATCCTGCATAGTAGCCAATGATCTTCTGCGAAGCGCTTTTACCTCCCTTACACGAAGGTTGCTTGACTTTCTTGTCGCCACAGAATTCTGCTGTGGTCCCTATGGATGTGTGTTAGAAGTATCTAAGAAAAGGGGTAAAAACCAACCGCAGAAGCCGAATTTGCTACAGCACACGTTGAGTGGGCATTTTTCTCTAGTGCTCCATGTCGCACCCCTCTGCTGTCAGCATTCTTCTGGGTCCATAACTCGAGGGTATGTATGTTACCAGCCAGGATCGCATTCTGACTTCTGGTCGCAGGTGGAAGTACAGTTTGCAGTTGAACAGTAATCGGGCCCAAGGCCGCAGACATTGTTCTTGCCGCAGCATCCAATCTTGCAGGGTGATGTTGGAGAGCTACATGGAGTAAGAAGTATGTTCGGTTCCAAGTAGGAAGACTCTGGCCAACATACCAAGTGTATGGATTCTTCGCAGGTGCATCCGATTGTGCATAAGCAGCTAGGATAACAAAGAAGAGCACGTAGACTCGATAAAGCTTCATCTTGCTGTAACCCCAAGCGTTGAAGCCTAACAAGAGTGTATTGCAGACGCTGCGGGAAAGATGCGTACCCATTATATATTTCTCTCCTCGAAACCTTGGAACACAATAGGTTCTAACAGATCGGAATTTACTGTCAGCGTCATGTCATGTTCCCATTAGAAGCAAGTTTAGGGTGTGTTCACTGGTGGTGTGCTGACTGCAGGGTCTACTCAGGGGCGCATGACATTGCCATAGAAGGAAGGTAAAGGTAGGTTGACAGACTCAGGCTTACCGTAGTCAGATACAATAGCATGAGGGTTGTACTATATACATGGGTATATATTGGGCGATTTTAGGTCTGCAAACAGTGTGTATGCGAGCTACTTTAACTGGAAAGTATATTGTGCCCAACAAGGCGTATTGTTTCACTCAACGAGAATATTGTCAGATGAGGATGAATCTAACCACTCGAAAAGCGTCATCTGAGCTCTCAACACGGGTGGAAAACCCTAGTCATGCATCAGGTGAAGCCTAAGCAAATATAGACCACTCCCCATTATCCGGTCAAAGTGCAAGAAATGATATCATAAAGATATTAACCTTGATCGAACACATGCTCACCTACGTGTGTGGGATGTACGGTTCACTGCCCATAAGAAGACTGAGTCTACAGCATAAGTTCCGGAACCCCACCCGCGTAGCATATCCTCCATATCCTCTCTTAGCATGATGAAGCTCAGGTACCTCAGGATCTGTCTGCCCGTCATTCTGGTTGTATCAAAGGTTAACTGTCAAAGTGTATGTTACGTTCTGTTAATGGAAATCTTTACACCAGCTGATAGCCCCAGTACTTCTTCAACGAGACACAAGGACTTGGCCCAGACGTAGCCACACTCTCCCAAGGTTGTTACAACGCTCTAAATGCCTCAATCCCGCAATGCCATGGCTACTTCCGCTGGATAATGCAAAGTGACTGGTACGGCTCCTTGAACAACGTGACGTATCAAAATATGCTCTGCAACCAGACTTGCGGAACAGCGTTCAATAGCTACCGATCAAAGATAGTTTCAGGCTGTTCCAAGGATCCCGAGCCGTTTCAAGGAATTCCAGCCACGTATTGGGCAGATGGTGCTATATCTGCGTTCAACACCATCTGTCTCAAAGACTCCAAGACAGGAGAGTACTGCACAGGTCAGTTATTCCCTACCAAGGAAGTCCGAAAGTTCGAAAGCCAGTTAGACAGTGTATCAGCTTCCTAATGGTTCATACAAATTATCACATTTTTACTTACCAAGGACGTTCAATAGACTACACGGCGAAGTTGTACAACGGAACAACCCCATTGGACGACAACGTCCTTAACTGGCCGCAGTCGCAAATCTGCTCATCTTGTATGATTGGTTTGTTTCGCCAACTTCAAAGTACACCATATTCCAATTACGGCGACGGTCTCGCCAAGACGTGGGCCGATGTACAGAAGAAGTGCGCGATTTCGTACCCTACAGCGGTGCCTACCCTGCAGACAAATGTCACAAACAGGTTTGGGTTCGCCAATCCAGGATCTGGATACAACTACGGCTGCCTGACTGGCAAGACCTACAACGTAAAGGCGGGCGAGAACTGTGAGATCATCGCGGAAAGAAACAACGTGTCAACAGGGACCCTGATAAGTATCAATCAACTGTTGCCTGACTGTAGTAAGTATTCCGATCTATCATGAGGGAACTCGACTTACATTGGGAGGTGACCTTCAAGGAGGCCAAATACTATGCCTGCCGTCAACATGTCAATCCTATGTTGTCCAAAGCGGTGACACGTGCATCTCGATTGCAGAAAAGCGAAACCTACAGCTCCATCAGATCATTGCATGGAACCCGTCATTGAACAACTATTGCACGAACCTTCTTTCCGGCCGGAATCTATGTATCAGTCCACCAGGCGGAACTACGAAATTGACGACAATTCCTGGAGCGACAGTGACTAACACCGCCATCTATGCGACGTCGACTGCCTCGCCGCCTAGCCCAATAGCCTCGGGGACGACCAGAAAATGCGGGTCGTATTATATGGTCCAACAGGTAAGCTGATCGTTCGTGCCCAACCAGTCTGCGATGATACTGAGCGCGTGTAGGGCGATTACTGTCAACTTGTTACCTTGAACCAAACGATCTCGCTGGGTCTCTTCCTAGCTATAAATTCGGGGATCGATTCGCAATGCAGCAATTTGCAGCAGGGCATGTATTACTGCGTTTACCCTACTGCAGATTGGAACACCACAACGAGCTCTGAAGTTGTTAGCCCACCAGCTGCGACCCCAACAGGTATATGTTTTCCTATCACTACTAATTCCTGATGGATGTGACTGCGCTAACGCATCTACAAGGAACGACTCCAACTTGTTACGAATGGTATGTCATACAGACCGGAGACTACTGTGGGAAGGTTCAAGAGCGGTTTGCTATTACTTTCCAGCAGTTGCAGTACTGGAACCCTTCGCTGCAAAGTGACTGTTCCAATTTGCAGCTCAGCGTGGCATATTGCGTGCATGGAGCCCAAGAGCCACCTTCTGCTATTCGTATGCCGGAACCAACAGGAATTAATGCTCATATCAAGAGGATGTTTCGAAGGGGACCTGTGGAAACGGGTTCATCGGTCGAGGGTGGCGTACCTATCGGGTGGCCATACCTGGACGCACCACGATATAAAAGATCCGATGAATAATGAACGAAAGCCTGCATAGTATAGCCAAACGCGTTAGGTATTGAAGTTAATAGCAAAGTCTACTTACTACTATGATGTTCGAATGTGGAGTTGGTTCGTCTTGCTACCTCTTTATCACATGATCTGCACACAGCATAGAGAACATTTTCAATCATGCCACTCGCAAATATGGGCGAGTGACGGAGAAGCGACGCTTTCGAAGGCTCTACGGTCATAAGCAGCAAGAAACTTAGAACACCAGCAGTGCCACAATACAATGTGCCAATCCCAATCTAAATCCTCCCTCAATGCAGTAATGGTGTGGAGGAAAGCATATTGCGGGTCTCGACCAGGTGAGCGTTCCTCACGCCTGGAAAGGTGGGGTCAAGATCTTACATGGAGTGAACCTAATTCTTTTTAACGTACGATCCAGCTGATGTTCGATCATTGCGGATGTGTATATCAATGTGAAACTCGGATACGCCTGGGCGATCGCATCGAGTTTGTCTTCGTGACTGCCCGCACCCCATGAAGACCACGAGCGGTATTAAGTAAATCGGAGTTGTTGATTTACTGGGAATCACATGCTGAAAAGGTGTAAACCAGTATTCTACCTTAGTTTAAACAAGATTCCTACCTTGTAACCCGTATTTGTAGAGGTGTGGCTGCTAACCAACTGAGTCGTCAGGCAGCTGTCTGTTTTAAGCTTTATGTATAGTACTGAGGAAGGGGTAGGGTAAGTAGGAGTAGATAAAATAGGTAGTAAATGACTATCACACAACACGCATCGTCCAACACTTGCTTTCGGCCTATCAACATAGCTATACATCTAGCAACAACATTGTCAATGGAATTGTGAGCAGTACTTTCGAAGGCAACGCGCGCTGATTGACGCTGCAAAAGGCTTGGGCCTCCGAAAACGGAAGTCCGTAGTACTTTGCCTTGAGCGCTCTGACAAGTTTGAAAGTGCAAGTGCGGTTTTCATGCTTGCCTGTGCAGGACAAGACGAACTTAATGGCTGTATTCCAGGTTACAATCCAGCAAGCAAGCAAGGGGATTTTACACGCTAGTCTGACGGAAAAAAGGGAAAGGAAGGAAGGCAGAAACAAAACCCACACACATCCACGACCCAAGTCGACGACAAGTCATAGATGAGAAGTATCTACGCAACCAGCACCACGTACCCGCAAGCATTTAGTCCGAAGTGGTTGAATCCGATTTCTGGATTTATCCATCGAAGATGTCAGCTCAATGTCAGGCGTCCAAAGGAGGTTTTCATTCGAAGACCTTCAATACGTTGTTTTCCAGCCATTTCTAGCTATACATCTGCCTTGGGCGGAAATCAGGTCAGCAACCGACCAAGTTCAAAAGAAGACTCATAACACAAAACGCCGGGGACGAAGCTCAGGCTATCAGTACAATTCCTTGACAGTTCTGTAAGGGAAACCGTTGTTGTCCAGACAGTACAAGGTAACAGATGTGTGATACATATACCCCGAAGAAGTGTGTGCGTGTAATGTTGGAAGTGATATTATTATGGAAGAAATCGTCCCACGAAATATCAAATTTCCTGTTGAAAGATAGAGGTTTGTGGGGACCAAAGCAACTTTGACGCCCAAATCTACCCTGAACGCAGAAATGACAAAATCCCCGACTATGACTGGGGACGGGCATCGAGGTTTGCAAGTCAACTCCAGTCGGCTCGCCGGCTCGAGTATGTTCCAGTGTGTCCAACCTGCCGGCAGCCATTGTCTTTGGCCATACAGTCTTCCTGGAGTACCAATATGCTTGGAGAATTGGAAGGAACTGAAGACGGGCAAAACACTGCCATGAACACCCTCCAACACAAGCACGATCATGATTCAAATAGTTAAATTCATTCAAAGTAACATTAGAGTATAAGCTCGCCAACCTGGTATCTCATGAACCCCCAAACGCCCAAACCCTCAAACAGCCAACGCCCCCAACGCCACACGCCTTTGACCTAATCATACAGTTCATAACATCATACGTCCATCCTCACCACCTATGCACCGGCACCCCAGGATGCATATTCATCATATACTGTGGCCCCGGCATAGCCCCCCCTCCATAAACCCCCGCCCGACCCGCACTCCTCGGCATCTCCTGCCCATCAGCGCCAAACTCCCTACTCTCGCCCCCCTCCCTCCCGCCATTCCACTGCGGCTGCGGCCTCAAACTCGCCGCACTCCCACTCCTACTTTCCATCTCCATGGTGCGCTTCGCCATGGACTCGGCGAGCATCAGGTCCTGGTCGTCGTCCTCGCCGAGCTGGCGTCGCGTGGTGGCGCGCGCGTAGGCCGAGCCGCGCCGACGGACGCAGGTTTGCAGCGTCGTGTTGAAGACGAATATGAATAGCGTGACGGCTGCGTAGCCGAGGATTATCGAGCGCGTTTGAGAGGCGAGGTGCAGGCCGAGACCGCCGGTTAGGGCGAGCGTGATGAAGAGGATGGATGTGAGGGGGGTGTGGAGACGGGGGATTAGCTTGTGGAGGGTGGCGAGGGGGCGGATTGGCAGGACGGAGAGGAGGACCATGGGGAAGAGGGATATGAAGGCGAAGATTTGGTGGGGGGTGTTGAAGCCTTTTGACTGGTTTTTCGTTAGTGTTGCGGAAGTGGTGAGAGAGGGGAGTGACTTACGCGGTTGTATTCATACGACGTATGGATACCTAGTGCATACGCAACGATTAGGAACGCCAACATCACTATCGAAACGCCGACGTGGATCTTGATGTTTTTGAAAAAACCGGCGAAGATAATGTTAAGCGGCCATAGCACGAACAGCGCAAGGCATCCAATGATTGCGTGCGCGAGGTTCGATCGATCGTGGTCTCTCGTCATGTCACCTTGCAACTTTACTCCATTCATCGCATTGCTCTTCGTGGGAACACCGCCTGTCCCTGTGGCGGCGACCATGTCCATGGTGAAATGCCCATATCGGATGTGACGCTTTAGGTTTGCATGCTGAGAGTTAGACTGCAGAAGATGCGCATTTCCGAACGCATAGATCATGGGATGTGCTTCGTTCTTGACGTCCAGGGAGCCTTCGAGCCATGATCTGCAGTTACTGCAGCGGGCTTGGAAAACGAACATGGAGTCGTTGATCATCGTGCCGGGCAGAACTTCCACGTCGACGGATGGCGTGAAGCTCGGCTCGGCGTTTTTGCTTCCAATGCGAGGGCTGATTGTTACACCTGTAATGTATTAGTCCCTGTCGAGCGTGGATAGAGATGAATGAAACATACTGTCACCCTCCTCATTCGGATACATAACAAACATCAAGCTATCTTCCATCTTATCTCCAAACCCAACACCGACCCACGAGTACGCCGGCGAAGTAAAATATACAAAGACATCGTCCGAGTCATTAGCAATGTTGAGCGAGAACTGTGTTTCGGTTTCCTCGAGGAAGAACGTCGACGCAGATACCGATGCCGTAGTATTTTGCGCCGTGGTGTTTTGCGCCTGTACGAGTGTTGATAAGACTATTCGAGTAAAAAGAATCAGTACCAGACCTTTACTTTACTTTGCAGGCAAAATACTCACATCCAAACAACACCACCAACCACCAAACCGTCTCCCGTGGACCAGCCATGTTAAATTGAAACGAAATGAACCGAGCAAAGTTTTCAAATCCGCAATGCAAAGCAGCAGAGCAAATAGATAAGAATCGAATCAACAATAACAATACCAACAACAGTCAACAAGCGAACAGAGCAACAAACACCAAAACAACAGCGCCTTGCAAGAAACGCACCGTACGCCCAGCACCCTTATACCTCATCCCGCCATCCCACTCCGCGCGCAAAACAATCTAAACCTATAAAACACCCCCCCTCATGAAACACTCCCCCTCCGCAGCCACCAAACCAAAACCAAACAACCCCATCCACAAATCGTCTCACTGCATACATTTTCTCGTCTTAACGGGCGCTTAAACGCACGCACACATGCAGCTTTGTTTCCTCAAGCCCGGGGTTTCAGGATGGGCGGATCGGACGACGGGGGGGGGGAGTGGGCCGTCCAACCACAGCGTGCGAGGGGGCCAAGAGAGGTGGGGTGGGGGATTATTGCCGGGCGCTTTGAGTGGTCCGGGGGGATGCATGCCGTGGAGGTAGGTATTTTTGGGGTTTGTCCTGTCTGTCTGTCGGAGGCAGGCAAGGCAGGCGGGTATTTTTAGCAAAGGGCTGCGGTTATTTTGCTTTTTGAGCCCTGTGGAAACTATCTACCTAGGATTGCTGTGCATGTTGGGTGACGTGACGTGCCTGACGTGCATCCCGTGCATATGTGTGTGCGTGCTGCTTTACGAGAAGAAGGGCTCTGCGAGGGGCAGTAAAAATGCGAACGAACGAACGTATGGTCTGAGCCCGTCGCATCGCATCGCACAGCACATCGCGACAACTCCTGCGTCTCCGCATCGGGAGAGAGAGAGATCGCACTCACTAAATATCGAAACGTGTTTCTAATCTTGTCCACGCTCGGTTCGGTTCGGGTGCTGCACATATATGAAAATAAACCATGAATTTCAAAGGAAAGAGAATTATGTACTCCGCATCACTCCCCTCGCCCCGATCCTGCAAAGCCAGTCCTCCTACCTGACCCCCCAACAACGCAAACGAGCAATAAAAAAAGAGTAACCTGGAATGGGGGATAGAGGAGGAAGACAACGTAATCAGCAAACCACCTCTTACTTGCTCCGGGTATGCTGGTCGTATTCATAACAGTCATTAAGGCATATGGCGCATCGAACCGTGTCCTCATCGCGGGGCCATCATGTCGTCAGGTCGTGTGGTATCATCTTGGAACTTTTTCTGACAAACGCATTGAGAGACGGACCGCGTTGGTTGGAGTGCTCGAGACAATCTCAGTCTGTCGGTCAAGAGAATCAACCCACCCGCCGAGACAGGCAAGTCTGCCTATTCCGGAATAAGACCAATTTGAAGCCGGTCACGTTGAAATCGAGTTGCAGTCGTGAAAGCAAATGCGCGTGAAATCGTTGGGCGTAAATCGCCCACGCACAAGCTTAACGGTAGCGGCTGCGACGGCTGTCAAATGACACCTCGTGCTCGTAGAATCGGTCATCATAGCCTGGTCGACGATCCCGGATCTCCTCGCGCTCAAACTCAATCTCGCGTATGCGGGACTTCCTCTTGCGGCGAATCTCGTCAGAGATCTCCACAAGGTGTAGAACGTCCTCCTAAAAGCGAGTCAGGGTTCTGTAGCAGGCGGTGATGGATGTGGGAAACTTACATATCGGAGGTACTCCATGACGTAGAAGAAATCATCTGTCTCCTCGCACTTGTAGCCCATGGACTCGATGGCGTCCTTGAGCACCAAATCCTTGGTAATCTCGGTCCACATGTCCTTTTTCTTTGGCTTCACAGGCCCGAAGTCTGTGACACGTTCATCGTCAGCGCTGATGAACTTGGAGCGGCGAACACCGTTGTATCGCTGCCAGGTGACCTCTTGAGCACCGCCACCCGCACCATCCATACGGATGCGGTTGGTACCCGGAGGAACATCGACTATCGCCCAGTCTTTGGTCGCACCGTTCCAAGCCTCGCCCATGTAGGATCGCTCCATTGCCTTGCGGTTGTAGTACTCTGCCTCCAAGTCGAAGTCATCCCCGATTGGAGCAGTGTGACTCCGCCTGGGAGGGCTGAAGGAACGCTCGCGGGCCCGGATCTCAAGCTCACCTCGGTCATGACGGCTGTCACGGTTGATATTGATGTCCAGCTCCTCGAAATCTGACCTGCCATTGCGGGTTCTGCAAACGGGTTAGCTCAGTACGTATATGGCAGAGACGGTATACTCACTCTCGTCGGTTGATTTCGATCTCGATGCTCTCGTTGCGTGGGGCTGGAGGAGGAGGGGGCGGGGGAGGGGTGGGCGAGCGAGCCCTCTCAACGCCATGATCAATGTGGCGGTGATGGGTGATGATCTCCTGGATGATGGGTGGCCTGATCTCTGGCTCTGGGGCAGGCGCTGGAGGCGGCGGTGGGGGAGATGGCGCGGGCGAGGGAGAGCGCTCTTCCTTACGCCTAATAATGATCTCGTCCCTGATGATCTCGCGGGGTCTTGGCGGCGGCGGCGATGGCGGCGAGGCCTCGCGGCGGCGGATGACAAACTCCTCACGTTCGCGAGCGACCAGCTCTCCGCGAGAACGGGGCGGCGGCAGGCTCTTCTCGCGCCCACGGATGGTGATGGTCTCGCGTTCGGTGCTGCGGTCACGGCCACGGCTCTGCTCGCGGCGGGAGGTACGGAAGTCAAAGTTGCCGTCGCGCTCCTGGAAGCGGATGGAGCCCCGTTCGGCCGAGACGCCTCTGCCTTCGCGGCCGACTTCCTTGTGGGTGGCGCGAATGTCGACGCTGTCGCCGCGGGTGCGGAAGCGGATGTCTTCCTTTTCAATCTCGACCTCGCGGGGCCGCGGGGGGGCGCCGTCACCGCGGCGGAAGGGGATCTCGTTGCGCTCAAAGTCGGGCTCGCGGAACTCTGGCTGGCGGGGGCGCGACTGCTCACGGCGGCGGATGGTAATGTCCGTCTCCTCTTCGCGCGGACGGGCACTGCGGCGCACGCTGACGTCGTCACGGTCGAAGCCCCTCACGCTAGCGGGGGGCGGCGGCGGGCGACTGCTGCGCACCGAGACGCTGCCCGCGTCGTCGTCGAAGCCGCGGGTGCTGCGGGGTCCCCTCGACACGTGATCGTCCTCGCGAGGGCGCAACACCATGGGGCCGGCAGTGGGGCGGTTGTAGTCCTCGCGCAGGAAGTCGGGCACACTGCGGCGCGGCTCGCCGCTGCGACGGAGCTCAATGTCGAGCTCCTCGTAGTTGCGCTCGCTGCGGTTGCCATTACCGCGGTAGAAGTCACGCTCGCGCTCCTCATACAGCTCGGCGGTTGGGTAGCGGCGAGACATGGTGGTGGGCAGCAACAGTGGGCGGCAGCTGGGGGGGAGGGGTCGTCGTCAGCCTCGCGTGGAGAGCAGCAACGGTGGTGCAAAAGAGATGGGACGAGGAAGACTGGAGGGGGAGGGAGAGATGAGGTAAGTAGCCGTGGGCAGGCTGTGCTGTGCCCTGACGTTATGGAGAAGCTGGCCTTGCTGACCCCCGGCCGGTGTGCGTGGTGGGGTGGGCTGCCAGATCTTGGTTGGGTCTGCTGCGTGCTGCCCTCGCCCGAGCCCATGACGTAGTGTTCGCGGCAGTCACGCTAGCCGCTAACTCGCTCAAGAACGATCAGCCGAGCCCAACGACGGGCCGTGACTGGCTGTGACTGGTTGTGGCTGCCCATAAGTGCCCAAGCGGACGCACTGCTCGCTGCCCGCCTGCTGCAGAAACTGCATGCCATCACCGCCGTCCCAACATGTCACGTCTGGCTGTCACGGCTGTCTCAGCAGGTAGTCATCTGCAGGAACAGTCTTTTACAGTCGACATCAGCAGATAGCGTGTTCGTGTTCATGTTCATGCTCGCCAACCGATCGATTCGTGAACTCGTCCTGCCCGTGCAGTGCAGTCCACATGCCCGTGCCTAGCCTATGTGATATACCATGTCCAGGCCCATAAAACAGACCATGCCCACAACCAGGCCATGCCCACAAACAGGCCGTTCCCACACAACCAAGCAAAACGCCATCGCATGCAACGCTACCAGTCCAAACGCCAGAATTTCACCCAACCAACGCTTAACCCTCAACCCCCCAAAACATCTCACCCAAACGCAACAGCCACCACAACCGCAACCACCACCGCCAGCAGACTCCCCTGGCGCCGGCCCACTCCGCCCGTAGAACTGTTCCCACTCGTCAACGCCTCGGCGCTAACGCTCGTCCTGCCCGTCGCATCGCTCACTCCATTTGCCTCGTCCACGCTCGCAATCGCTGGCCCCATGTTGAAAAAGTCAACCAGCACAAACGTCGGTGGTTTGTTGTACACGCTCGTGCACTCGTCGACCGATACGCCCAGGCTCCCGTACCCCGATTGCGCGTTCGTCGTGTTGGCGTAGGTTGCGTTGGGCGACTCGATGAACGACGATTGCGAGTACAGGAAGTGGTTCATGAGGAACATGCGCCCTGACTCTGAAGCTGCAGCCGTGGTGGTGAGCGACGTTGGGCGGTCGGGCGTGCACGAGTAGTTCGAGGGGTTGACGTTGTCGTATGCATTCTCGAATATGAAGGTGAACTCGTCCATCAGGTAAGGGTAGTCGGTTGATGTTTCACTCAGAGACGCGACAAACGTCATGAGACGAGTGCCATTGGAGATGAGGTTGTCGAGAGTCGGCCATGTTGTAGGAATCGTCGTTGTCGAGGGAGGTGTGTATGCGAGCTCATCGAGGCCTGCCGACTTGAACTGCGCGCCCAAGTCTGCAGCTGATGCGCTATCCGAGTTGACAATCAGGACGGTCACGACGTCGTTGGTGTTTTTGTCCATCCACGTCTTGATCTCTGATAACCAGCTCTCCAGTGTTCCCGCGTCTAACAAAGCGCAACTAGTATGGCATAGTCGAAGTGTCTCCGTCCCGTTGGCGGTTTCTGAATGTACTTGCGCGCTGAGTAACCGAACTCCAGCCTCGAGCTGTGCTGTTGTGTTGTAGTACTGGTTCCCTGACGTGGAGAAAGATGTGGCTTCATTGCGTAGGTATGGCGAATCGTGAGCGCCGAGATGTGTGATGTTGTTGTACGCTTTGCTGCATAATGATGGCGAGTTGTTGCAGGCTGTTTCCGCAGCAGCGGTCGAGTAGAGGAAGGGTAGAAGTGCAGAAGCTTGGAGAAGATTTCTTAGAAACATCGTAACCTAGGTTGTAGATGTAATCTATGGGAAGACTGTGATAGTAGTATTCTCAGCCTGACAAAACTGATGATTGTATGTATCGTCAAACGAAATTCGTAAGTCGTCAAAGTAAACAGGAACAAATAGAGTCAAAGTAGGAAAACAATGACAAACTTCACTAAGAGCGATATACCTAGATGACCAAACCTCAAGGTCAGGGAGGAGTAAGACAGTAATATACCACTCTGCAATCGTTTCGCCTCAGCCCTCCGACCAAGCCGCACGTAATCGTATACCAGCCTGGGCAACGTCAGCATGTGGCTACTGTATAAACTTGGTTAATCTGTTATATACTAGACAGGGGTAAATTAGACTAAATTTAAATAATCTAATATAATATTTAAGCTAATAGACTTTACTTATTAATTTATATCTTTAAGTATTACTTTAATTCTATTAATTTACTCTATAAATTACTATTTAAAGCTTAAAAATTGCTTAATTTTATTATCTTAATAGAAACTTTAGTATTACAATTTTTAAGTTATATAGGCTTAGTATTAGGTATATATATTAGATTATTTAAGCTATTATATTAAAATATTAAGCATTTAAATGTAGAGAGTTAATTTAGTAATTAAAGTAATATTTTAAAATAATATAGTAGTCTAAACTAAAGTACTAAGCTTTATTATTTTACTAGCTACGTATACGTTTTTTAGAATTTATTAATAAACTTAGAGACTAGTAATATACTATAAAGTAGTTACTCTAAACCTTCCTAATTTTTTACCTTAATAATAGATAGTACCTAAAAAAGCTAATATATTACTAGATTAAGCTATACTAAGCTTCTAGCATAGTACTATAAACTTTATAAAACTTTAAACTTTTAGACTTATTAAATTATCTAAAGTATACTATAACTTTAATTAATAAGCTAGTATACTTAATACTCTTTTACTTAACTTAATTAAATTAATAATCTCCTTTTTCTACTTAGCCTTTGCTACTATATACGCTTAATAAGAAGTTACTTACTTTATTTAACTAGAAAACTCTACTAATTTTAGTATAGTAAATAAGCTAGATAGAGCTCTAAGTTCTTTTACTATAATTACTTTAGTAGCTGTTAAGCCTTCTACGTTAGCTTTATATAATTATTAAATAAGCTCTAATCTTCTTAATTAACTATAACTTATAAGTCTCTTTAATTTATATATAAGTTTAAGTATATTAATAGTAACTTTAGGTAGTATATATATAGCTATATATTTAGCTAGCTACTTACTTTTATTTTAAGCTTTATTAGTTAGTAAAGCTTATTTAAAGCTATTTTATACATTATTCTTAATTTTAAGCTTAATAAGTAGCTTAGTAGTCTTCTTTCTATTAAAGTTAATAAAATTACTTAGTATATCTTTTATTTTAATTAACCTATCTTATAATCTACTTAGGCTAATAGCTATTCTAGTATATATAAAGGAGTTAACTATAATCTTTTATAAGTTATAGTAGAAATAATCTTAGGTATTATTAATAGCTTTAGTAATAGCTATTTTTTATTTTAAAATTACTACTTAACCTAAGGTAGGTTTATTCTAATCTAAAATAAGTTCTATTTTTTCTTTTAGGTATACCTTAAAAAGTTTATTAATAGTAATATCTAGTAGCTAGAGTATTTCTATATATCTAGGTAAAATTAATACTAGTATAATCCTATATACTAGCTTCTTATACTAGGTTAAAACCTAATTAGTTTTATAAAAGAAAGTATAGTTTATTATAAGTAAGCTCTCTCTTTCTTTTAACACTAGTATAAGCTTTAAATCTAACTATTTTTAAAATAAAGTTTTATTATTATATACTAACTTATTTACTTTAATAGTTACTTAAGGATCTTACTAAAAATATTCTACTATATTAATTAGCTTACTTAGTATTCTATAGAAGATTAACTTAGGCTTTAACTAAGACTTTCTATTAGTAAATATATATAATACTAATATTATTTACTACTTAGACTAGCTACTATTACTTACTAAGCTAGTAATTATTCTTTTACTTTTAAAATAGTAAGTATATATTATAGGTATTTCTATCTAAGCTCCTGTCGGCCTACCTTTAGTAGACCTCTAGGCTAAGGGCGCAAGGTCCTTAGAGCTCTAGTATATAGTACTTATAAATCCCTAGGGCTTATACCCTAAGGATTTGTCTAATCTCTTAATAAATACCTATTTATCCTATATCTTAATTACCTGTTTACAGTGCCCTTATAATTTAAATCCTTTATACTCCTCCTTAGAAAGAGTAGTTAATTCAAGATAAATAGGAGCTATTTTCTTTAACAGAAAAACAATACCTCCTTAAAGAGAACAAAACGTTACGCCTAAGAAGGGCCTAATAGTATCCTTATCCAGGACTAAAAGTAACTTAGCCCTAGAGTAAGGCCTAGCTACCTACGTTAAAGACGTAGAGAGCCTAGATAAAAAAGAAGAAACCTCTAAGTAGGAAGTAACTTACTTCCTAATAAAGAACTAGCTACTTAAGGAAATACGCAAGAGCCCCTTAGGATAACCCTTAATTAAGGAAATAAGCCACGTACTTTCCCCTAGAATACAGTTAGGAAGTAGTATTAATAGGGTTCTAGGGGTAATCTGCCAGTTTAGCGTTTTGTAACCTCCTTAGGAATTACCCCTAAGGGTCTATATATAAGCAGCCCTACTAAGTAGTAAGCAGTACGTTTAATTAATCTTAGACAGGCTCCTAGAAGAATAACTTCAAGGTACTAGCCTAGAACGTATTACAATCCTAGAAAGATACCTCCAAGTTACCTTACAGTACTTAGGCCCAGAACGCTCTACTGCCTTAGCGGAGCCTTTCTAGTTAGTATCTAACGCGGCAGGAAGGCTAATTAGGGTACTTAATATAGTAAACCTTAAGCCTAAATTAGGTACAGAATCCTGCGTCTCTACCCTCTAATAAGTAGATTAGTAGGTTAAGGATATAGACGCAGTATTTAAGTATGCCTAGGTACTAGAGGACTCTATAACTAGAACTTACTAGGTAATAGGTACTATCTAATACAGAGTACACTAAGAATTAATCTAATAAAAGATTAATAAGGGGGTAATCTATACCTAGGCTAACGTATACGCAGAGGAGTAAAAGCTAGTATAAGACCTAGTCCTTATACAGTATAAAAACTACTTAAAGTTTTAGAACTTTAAGTAGTATACTAATAACTTAGTTAACGCATTCTTGCTATACCTAAACTATAGGAAATCCCTACTTTATTAAAGCTTCTTTAAGCTTACAGATAGCAGTATAGATAATAAGTTAAAGATCTCCTTAGTATAGGTAAAGGCCCCTAAGGCTTACTAATAAGAAATTTAGCGTAATAAAGTATTAGAGACTATTACTAAATAGTTAGAGTTTAAGTAGGCTCTCTGTAATACAGAGACTGCTGTAGGTATAAAGATAAAGTTAAAACTATTAGACTCTACAAAGCCTAAATAAACAGCTACCTCCCTAACTTAAGGTAGCTACAAGAAAAGACATAACTCTAAACCCTTAAAACAGTACTAGGACTAATCTGCCGGCGCCCTGCCCTAGGCCTAGAACTAGGGCGGTAGGTAAGCAGTAAATACTAGCAATAATTAAAACAATAAGGGGAAGAGTTAGTAGAAACTAAATTAGAAAACTAATACTAACTAACCCTAAGACTTAAAGAGCCAAGGCCTAGGAAAAGAGAAGCCCTAATTACAAATCTTTCCTAATTACAGCTGGGGCTAGAGTTAAAAGGGAAATAAACCTGTATTAAAGTTACTATAATCCTATAAGGGTCTAACAGGTCTATAATACTCCTCTGCACGCTATATAACTTAGGCGTAGAGATTAATATTATTAACTAATATATAGTTAAGGAGAGGAATCTCCTCTATAGTCTATTTTATTAGAAGCCAGTAGTAAGCTTTATTAATAGTAACTGTTTAAATATTCTTAAACTATATAAACTTACACTCTTATATAGTAACGTAAGGGGAACTGTTAAAAAAGTAGGCCCTTAGATATTCTAGGCAGTAAACTTTATAGGTTATAACCTTATACTAGAGTACCCTTGGCTGCAAGAGGCAGATCTAAAGATCTGCTTCTTAACAGGTAAGTTTAAATAGTAGGCAGATAATACTAACAGAATTTAGTTACTCTCTACAGAATAACTACTAGATAATATAAGTCTAGGGGAAAGAGTGTATATCCTCTACCCTAGTAATCTAGTATACAAGCTCCTACCTAGTAGCTAGGAAGCCCTACGTAAGGAACTCCTACGGAGAGACCCTAGAACGCCTACGCCTATAGGTAGGGCGTAACTAGAAGGGGATACAGTTTAAGACGTAGAGTACTATTACTAAAAGGGGATCCTCTAGTTAAAGAATAAGTCCTTAGAGATTATTAATTATCTTTGCTACTGCGTACAGAACTATCTAGACTTAGCCTAGCTACTAGAAACAGCAGCCTATTAAATAGTTGCTAGCATATATAACAAGAACCCTAATTAGGCTAGACTACCTCTAGGCGTAGCCTATATCCTAACTAACAATATTAAGATAAATACTCTATATCTAGTAGTTAAAGATAATGCGCCTAATCTAAATAAATTAAAATTTATACTAGAGAAGCTACACTATAAGTAGCTTACGTTTAGTAAGTATTAAGTAGGTATACTTTAACCTAATAGGGAGTACAATTACCCTATTAACTTAGAGCTAGGGACTAAGGTCCTAAATCTCCCTATCTATAACCTCTTTAGCCGCAAGCTAGAAATCCTATAGGACTACCTTAATACGGCCCAGGAGAAGGGATAGATCTGTCCTAGTAAATTACCTATAGGTGCTCTAATCCTCTTTATACCAAAAGCCAACAGAACAATAAGACTTTGCATAGACTATTATAGACTAAACAAAGTTATAATTAAGAATTAATACCCTATCCTACTTATAGGTAAGATATTAGATTAATTATTAAAGGTAGCTATCTTCTCTAAGCTTAACCTCTGTAAAGCCTATTACAGGCTGCGGATTAGGGAGGGCAATAAGTAGAAGACAGCCTTTAAAATAAGG